AATAGGGCCAAAATTTTAATTAAGCTCATTTACCATCCTTTTTAAAGTATTTTAGAAGTTTGAATTATAGAAAGATCACTATTTTGGTTGGACCATAAACTGCTAGTGAATGAGGTTTTGTTTAGCTGGGCTGAGTGGTATCTGACGGAATGAAAATGTAAAGGCCCATATTAATGATCAAAACTCGGTCCCTCAATGTTCCCATTTTGTTTCCAACATAGCAAATTTGGTTTGTATACCGATGACCTAAAATCATCCAATTGGAGCTTACGTCTTACTTACCTTTTATGGGGTACCAATTCGCATCAACGACTCTATCACTAACACCAGTCTGAAGCGATCACAGAGTGATGTCGGACGAGAAACTAATATTTTAATTTTCATTTAATTCCCTAAAGAAAACACCCGTCTGAAACTACATTCGTCATCTAATTTTTTTTTATTGTTGCTATTTATTACATCGACTTTACACTCACTAAAATGATTGTGCTGGTTCTGTATTATTTTTATTTTTTTCAACCCACTTCATTGTTTTTGTTGCTGATAACATAATTTTGTATAATGTTATGTACTTGTATTATGTTAGACTAGGTAGAGCCTGTTTATTTTTAAGAGGTTGACTTATGGTTGATGAAAAGCTTTTCCCATGACAAGCTTCACGAAATATGAGGTGAACAAAACAGATATTTGAAAAACACAGGAGTACTCAAAATGCAGTATTGTTAAGCTAATAGCTAAATCACAATTTAAGAGTTTAAGGTTTAAATTGGCGGAAGAACATTTTATTGGTAACATTCATAAACAGTGTATTTTCATATTTTGTGCCGATATTTAGCCGATAAATATCAAACCGAGCGACCCGCTGCAATTTCATGACTACGGTCAACAGTTATTACACTCGTTTGGCTCTAGCATTATCTAAAATTCAAGGTCGCACCTGCTACAAGCTTTTGTCCGCGCCACAAAAAATATCAACACCATAAAATTACTTTTTACATGTCTGGGATATATCCTCAACGGACGGGTGTTAATATATGAAACAAAAGACTGATTATCAGCAAATAATTGTTCACTAAAGTTAAACTTTTTCTGCACGTACGCTCCGACGTTTTATTACAATCCCTTCGAATGCTATCGATCTGACGAGAGACGACACGATTCCTCTTCAAAAACACACCAAATGATGAAAATGACAACGGTCCTTGGATATGATTTACTAATTTGCATATACTAGGATATCGAGAAAAAATTGCTTTGGTCACTTCGAAAACAAATCGGACTTCCCCAATTCCGGAATGATATTTCATTATTTAAAATTTGGAATAAATTATGCGAATATTCATACATTTTACAAGTTGACAATTATTTAAATTAAAATTTCGTCGACGGTTTTTTTATTAGTTATTTTTCTCATTCATCGGCATTCCGATCTTTATTAAACAGTGAACTAATACTAATACTAATAACAGATGAGTTTAATAACGGATGGTTTTATATTATTTCTCAATTTAAAAAATTTCAATTGTTTATACTTGTTTGATCGGAATCGTTGTACTGCATTAAAATATTTTTGATGATACGTCGGCTTATAATACAGGAACAGTTTTAAGTGATCCATAAAGTATAATAGAAGATTCAGTCTGTAACACAATAGCATCATGTGTAAGGCAAAGCTTGTCAATCAACACTGCTTGCAAAAATCCTGTACCATCCCATAAAGTGATGAACATAAGTTTTTCACCTTGCCCTAATAATTTAATTGCTAGTTGTAATTAATTGTCATATTTTTGAAATGATGATGAATATAGTTATATAATAAACCCGGAGTGGAGGGTTCTGATGGAGAGCGAGGCGACATAGGGTTAGACTTCTTGGACATATTAAAAGAATGCGCACTCTGCTTAAAACAAATGAATAATCTAATCACTTAATTGATTATTAAAGGGAATCCAGCGATCCGCGACCCACGAGTTCAACTACAAAATAGCCTATCAAAAGGAAACTATCGGAGCTACTTAAAATCCGACCCAACCAGTGCTTTTATAAAACCAGACTATCTTCGCCGGTTCGCGTTCCGTTCACTTCGGAAAAATACCAAAGTGGGTTCCCATGGGTCCACAATATTACGAATCACAGAATTGCAACTGTTTACGTTAGACCGATAAATAATGCGAGTCAAAAATAAACACTCAAATCACCCAAAACGAAATATGGGAAAATATCGACCACTTAAAGCTAAGGGCGCCGACATATATATCAACGGCAAAAGAAACTTAAGGGTACGTAAAGCATTGTGCAAGTGTGATTTTGATTTATAAATAAATAACTTATCGAATGAATATTCCGGGTGACACAAAAAAGTGGGAACACTCTATAACTTTCAAACGGCTTGGGATAACCATTTGAAATTTGGAAGGATTAATATAGGCTGAATGTCCAATTTTTTGACAATATGTAATAACTGGTTACACTTCCGGTTTGAATGAAACGGAACTTTCGAATTTTAAAAGGCGCAACCTATATTTTTTTTGCATTTTTGGATTCAGGAGATTATTGTGCGTAGGATAGGAAGGTTTTTCTCTTTTTTGTTGGGTTTTTAATTTTTTTTTGAAAGTGGTATATCAACGTGTGTTACTGTAAGACAAGTTATACATTGACACATTGAGCTTTGTATTTATTTGAATTAAATAAGTGCGATAGATATTTACCTAATAACCAATTTATTTTAAGATGAAACTTACATAGAAAATTTCCTCCTTCTTGTATACGACACTCCGTGGCTCTAGAACTTACATTCGCTGAAAGCCTTCCTAACATTTCTAGAGTTATACTATCAAATGCAGCCGATATTCTCGGCTGTAATTCTGAGAGAAACATAAACACGGTCTTTCCCGTACCCCCAAATAAAAAAGTCTAACGGTGTCAAGTCCGGCGACCATGGGGACCAATTGACTGGACCGTGTGTTGAGATTAGTCTATCCCCATAAACATCACGTAGGTGTTCAGTGACATCTCTAAAATCATGGGGAGGCGCGCCATCCTGCTGAAAATACATATTTAATGCCACGGCAAGAGGTAAATCATCTATGGAGTCTTCAATCTCATTTCTTAGGAATTGTAAATATCGTGCACCAGTTAAGGCCCCATGAAAAAAAAAACAGATTTAATAATTCGCCTTCCTATCACTCCTGCCTAAACATTGATTCCAAACCGCTGTTGAAACTGTCCGGGACGAATCATTCTTTTATTATTTATAGACCAGTGTTAAGGCCGGTCCAGACACTCCGTTTTGCACAACGTTTTGTCTCCGCAGTTCAAGACGTTGCAGACAAAACGTTGCGTGTGGACCGGAAAACTGCGCAGTTTTGAGTCCGTCGGGAGGACTGCACAGTTGCAGCGATAACTGATCTCGTGAGCTCTGAAAACCGTGACCTGCGCAGACATGTCGTTGCGTGTGGACACTTACTCCGTTTTCCAATCCGTTTTGTTCCTCAGTTTTCTCTAATCATCCGACCATGGCAGATCTGCGGCAATGTTCTCGCGAGTTTTTGACGGATTTTATTTCACATTATGAAAGTTTTCCGTGCCTTTGGCGAGTTAAATCTAAAGAGTACAGTGACAGGGACAAAAAGGGGGAAGCGTACGAGAGATTGGTTGAAAAGTTCAAAGAAATAGATGTCAACGCGAGCAGGGAGACAGTGGTGAAGAAAATCAATTCTTTGAGAAGCGTTTATCGCAAAGAATTGGCAAAGGTAAACAAATCGATTCGATCTGGGGCTGGAGAAGACGAAATTTACAAGCCATCTCTGTGGTATTTCGATTTGCTGCATTTTCTCAATGATCAGGAGACACCAAGGCCGTCGAGGAATACCATGGACGAAAGTGAAGAGTCTGTAAACTGCGACTAATCATCACAACTGGTAAGAAAAAAAACAACAAAATTTCCTATTATTACCTAATCGCTTTATTAACTGAAACATATTCTTTTACTTAATAGGTACAATCAGCTTTTACAATGTTTATTACAAGTGTCTACTAAAAAATTACAAGTACCAAATAATTATTTATGTACGCCATTCATTGTTTAAAGTTATAAATCTATCTTGCCAAGGAACAGACCCCTCATTGTTCAAGTACTCCTTGAAATGATCTCTGACCCCGTTAGCATTGTTCAACATGTGGCCTCTTGGTCCACGCTGTAGGTCGTGCACTAATTCTGGGTTACATCTTTCACCTAATTGAACAGTACATTCAGAAATATTTTCCTGATCCATACTTTCTGGAGGGGTGTAGTTTTGGGGGGACTTTCTCCGCAAAAAGTTGTGTAAAGCGCAACACGCAAGAACTACAGTATCGACGTTGTGCATCTTTAAATTAATACTTGTGTGGAAAATACGAAATCGGGAAGCCAAAATGCCGAATGTGTTTTCAACAACACGCCTCGCCCTAGATAGGCGGTAATTAAAAATTCTTCGGTCCCTTGTTAATGTTTCTCGTCGATATGGTTTGAGAAGGTCTGGACGCATAGCGAAGGCTTCATCCCCAACAAAAACATATCTTAAAACTCTGTTTGAACTTCCAATGGATCGGGGTTTTGGAATTTTTAACTCTTTGTTAACGAGTTTTTCATAAAATTGAGTGTTATTTATGACTCCTCCATCTGAGATCCGACCGTTTGTTCCAATATCACAATACAAAAACTCGCAATTGGCATTGGCTATTGCCATAAGAACAACACTGTGTGTTTTTTTGTAATTGAAATAATAGGACCCACTTCCTTTAGGTGGCACAATTCTAATATGTTTTCCGTCAATTGACCCTAAACAATGAAGGAACTGCCACATTCTTTCAAACTCCGCTGCAACTTCCATCCACTCCTCTTCAGTCTTGGGAAACTGAAACAAAACAAAAAAAGAAGAAATATTGCAAGAGTTTCATCATTGAAAATTTGTAAAAATAATAAAAATATGGAGATCAATAATACATTTATTGTTTAATATTTTCAGGTGGAAGACGATGTGCAAGAAACTGTTATTGACAGTGGGCCCAGTGAAGCTGCTACTACCCCTGCTACTCCTGCTTCCGAAGCATCTACGAGTACTTCCCATTCTGTCAATACCTCGCACAAGTTAACTCGTAACAAGAGGAAGGCTGTTGGGAATGATGATGGCACAATTGAAGTCCTGCAGGTGATAGGGAAGAAACTGGAATCGCTACAGGCAGATGATGCATTTCAGGTATTCGGAAAACATGTGGCTAATAAACTCAGAGAAGTCCCGAATTCACAAAACATAATTGCTCAGAAACTAATTTCCGACGTTTTATTCGAAGCTGAGTTGGGTACGCTTACCAGAAATTTTCGAATTGTTGACATGAAAAGCCAGCGACAAGATGATTTTGGTTCAATGAATGCCACGAATTATTGGCCTCAACAGAATACGCCACATCAAATCAGAATGCAACAAAATCTTTCTTCACAAGTTGGACAATACCACTCCTTCTCGCAGCAGCCGCAGCCTATGCCACATAACTACGCCCCCGAACAAATACCTCACACTCAGGAGTATGAAACAATTGGGAAAATTCCGGCAGTTTCATGCATCATCCCACAGCAAGGTGAACAAGATGTACAGACACGCGCCCACCAAGCCCCTGCCCACTCTCCCGTTGGAACCTACTTGTCATCATTTCAACCAAACTGAAGTATACTTGCGTGCATTTCTATTGCTTACCATAATAACTTTTCTACAATAATAAAGTTTATAATGTTCAATTAAATAATAAATCGTTTATGGAAAATAACAATATTTCTTACCTTCAAGTAATCCTTCTTCAGCACCTTGTAGATAGCTTCACATGTTTCGGGAATGATTTCACTTAGCGATTGTTTTGATATAATTGTTGTGAGCTCCAGGTCTTTGTAACTTCTGCCGGTTGCCAAAAATCTTAAAGTTGCTGTTAGCCTTTCATGTGGTGATATTGTTGCTCTCATACAAGTATTTTCTTTCTTGATATGCGGTGTCACTAATTCCAATAAGTAAATATACGTGTCCATGTCCATTCTCAAGTAGTTTCGCCAATCATTAGGTTCGTCGCGTAATTCACTCAATAATCTTATATGGGAAAAGTCCCGCCTTTTTAAAAGCCATTTCCGTGACCATTTTGAACGAACGGTTCCTCTGATGTGTTCCAATCTTTTTTTTTTTTACAATACAGCAGGCGAAAATTGACCACAGGAGAACCTCCTCCATGGCGATATCACACAAAACTGAGCGGAAAATACAAGACTGCACCGTCAAGACTGTACCGTCTGGACGCTCAAAGTTGCAACGGTTTCATTCCGTCTTAAAACTGCGCGGATTTAAAACGTTGTGCAAAACGGAGTGTCTGGACCGGCCTTTAAGTTAACGGAATTATTATTCTCGTCATGTTTATCTAAGAGCCAATTACAATATCGAAGTCTTCTTACTAAGTCAGTTTCATAAAGATGTTGTTAACGGTTAGACTTAACCATTGATTGAAACATTTTCATTTCCAGCTTTCTAAAGAAAGAATGTGCTGGAAGGCGATGTCCAGGATAGCGGGCTGCATACAATGCACGGGCCTGTCGAGGGTTTTTTTTTGCAGTCCCCGTATATCGAGTTTTTCTCCATTTGTAAATTGATCATTGTTTTCCATGATAATCCAAATCGATAACACGACAAAATCGATAATCAGATAAAAATGTACAAACTGTCAGTATTTTCAATCATGCCGATTTGATGATGAATTGTAGCAAAACCACTTGAGTAATATTTTGTTTCTATAAAAATGTATTTACTTATTTGATTTTTTCCTTTCTGTGAGCTTATTTTTCAAATGTTAAAAATTCTTGTGTCGAAATGTTACAAAAAAAGTACCGGTTCAAAAAAGTTTTTGTTCTCACTAGGGTGCTATTTGAAAAAACTAGGTTATCCTAAAAAATTAATAGTTCATTACATTAAATGCTATTTACCACATGATCAAGTGACTCGGTAAACAGTATTTATGATGGTCATAGCCTCCTAGACACAATTTACAACAGTAAATAGAATTTAAAAAAAAAGACAAAAAAAAAAGTGAGAAAAATGCAAAAATGCAAAAAATATAGGGTGTGCAATTTAAAATTCGAAAGTTCCTATCATTTTCGCTACTACATATTTTCAAAAAAATTGACTTTCAGCCTACATTAATCCATCGAAATTTCAAATCGCTAGCTACCTCAAGTCGTTTAAAAGTTATATTGTTAATTTTATTTTATTATTTGAATGACCTAACACATTTGTGTGTGATATTTTGGTATTCTTTACTTACTGATATAGTATCACAAAAATTTAAAATTTTTCACTGGAAAATTTTTTGTTTCTCTGAAAACATTTCCACAGCAACTATTTACGCAGAACAAAAAAATTAAATTTTGAATTTTGAACAAATAAGCTTTGGCAGTGCGACCGCAATATAGAAACAAATGATTACTGGCAGTTGCTAAACTGAGTATTTAACTGGAAAGCCAAATGCACTTTGTAGGTTTTGTTTTAATCTTTTAAATAAATTTCAAAAATGAACGTTAAACGCGTACTGAGTAACATTTTTCAAAGAACCGCTGGCAGAAATCTATTTTCTAGTACTACTTTATTAGTTTTGCTTAGTTTTGTTCATCTTACGTGATGTATTGTTTTTGTCGCTTTTTTCAAACTGACTCTAATTTTCGACAGTATTTCACAATCTCCCGAAAAAATCTTAATACAAGTTGCTTGCTGTAGCAGCATTCTTCTCGGCTTTTATAAAACAAACTATAATATGCCATTTATTTAAAGGGCCAAATCAAAACTTGACGTTTTATATAATACGTAATAATTATTTTTTAAACGAATTAAATGTTTTCAATTTCCCAGTATTATAAATTTGTATGAATTTTTTAGGAACATAAATTATTTTTATTTAATTTTTTATCAATATGTGCAGAAAATATTGTTTGATGATTGTAAATTAGATTATTAAACAACGAGAACACCTCATTGTCCCATTTACATAAATAAATAAGTGAAAGACAACAACACCCCATTACTTACAGTCTTTCTAATGTAAAATATGCCTCGAGCCGTTTCCATACTGAATATTGCATAGTAGTTTCATCCACGTGTTGAAGCAATTGCATAAAAATTAATTTTCACAAACGTAGGCCATAATACTGAACGCTGCGTACATAAAAATCTTAAGCCGTTTCAGATACCTATTTGTCGTTTACTACTAACATTCTAAATTATAGTATATATTGCTTTACACCAAAAAAAATGTCTGCGACGTTTATATTAACCGCCCATAACGTGGGTCTAAAAAACTCACCGTATATGCAGACTTCAATCAGATATCGTTTTATCGACTTAATTGTTATTTGAAAGATCAGTCAAGGACAGGTGTGTTTAAGTACAATCATTTCATTTTTTTTATTTTAATAAATAACGTCGTTTCTTAGGAAAGGAAACGTTTTATAAAATAAATTCGATTAATTGCATTCAATTCAGCCTTCGTCGCTCATTAAATTGCGGACCATCATAAAAAATATGATTGGCATATCGCCGAACAACTATGGCAAGCAATCTCAGCAAAAACAACTACAGGTAGAGCTGTAAGTTTAGCTAACCAAAGAAATTGCAGCAGTGTGAGCTATAGTTTTTTTATGGATTTTTCTATTTTCAAGCTTCAAAACAAAGAGTAAAAAAGTAAAAAAAAAAACTTTTAATTTGCCCTTTGTGAATTTCGCATAAAATTACCTCCTGAGTCTCAACATTTGTATAAATTTTGTACTTATGTTAGATCCTTTGAAGAGACTGAAACTGAAACATACCGTTTTTTCACTTTCTTTGCACTATCAGTAACAAAATAATCAATCAATCAATCAATCAAGTCATAATATTATTCACAAATACCTAATACTAAACTAACCAAAACCGACAATAAATAAAGATAAAAAAAGATAAAAAAAAAGATGAAAAAAAGATAATAATGTCAAAATATTTGAGCTTCACATTTTTTTTAAGTTACATTACATTTCTTCTGATTGCCGTAAATTTGAAGCTTTTGAAACTCTAAGTCTCTTATGCCCTAGATATATAGAGCTCCTAACATTGAACCTTGCAGCATTCTACAACTAATATTGCAGCTAGCAGTTCATCAGTTCGATGGCTTATATTTTGGAAGGGCATATTTTGGACAGTATTTTGTCGAAATATGTCCAGATTCCATTAAATTCTCAGCGAAAAAGACGAGTCGAGGGAAGATCCCCATTTAGAAGGAGTAACAAGCTATTCAATTAATAATTTTACGAAAAACATCAAATGTTGTCAGGCAATGACAAAGAAACAAAAAAGACGGATGTGCGTTCCATACATCTTTGATATTATCGAAAATTATTAGAAAAAAGATGTCGTTTAGAGGTTATGTTACAGCAGAGAATAAGTATACACAATTTTTTAATGTAAATAACTGAATGATGAATTGAAGTAATTTTATTTTTTTTATTTTTCTGTAAAAAGCACTGTATAAATTTCTTATGTTCGCGGAATCAATCCTAAAGTGTAGTTTTAATTTATTGTTACTCGATTTTGGCTAGAGCTCTGTACCACGTCAGTATGTGTATGCATGTGTCACACGTTCCGCAAGAAAATTCTGTTCCTAGTTACTTATTCGTTTTTCATGGCACACGTAGCAACTTGTCTCTGTTTCGTCCTACTGTTGATCTTTCTTTGAAATTTGCCCTTTAAATTAAGGACTAAAGGCGAAAGCACATTTGCATTTATTATTAATATTTATTGATTTATATTAATATTTATCCAGTAAAAACGTAGCTTAAGATATGATAACTGCATCTGCATGACGAAATCAAACAATGCCTACTTCCTATATATTCAAATAAAAACAAACAACACAAATTCTACAATAACTTAATGATTTAACAAAATTAAACAAAATGAATTATTTAATAGGTCACTGGTTAATTTAAATACATTTGAATAGCAGGTTCCAGTACTGTCGCAGTTTTGCAAAGAATTCTAACTGTAACTGGGTAAACAATATTGCTTCTCTTCGATCATGGCATGGCATATTAGAAATCACATTTTACTAATAACATCAAAGATTCTTTTCGCCTCATTTCACTGTGGATATTCCGCTCATCAATTTTAAACTTAATTAACAACGACCACTTTTTCTCTCGGCGCAATTTACTTCCGCCTGAATCGATAAAACTTGATCCTGAACTTGACTGAGATATCGGCGGACATTGTTGACAACATTTCTAAGTTTTTGTTCTGCTATGGAATGATAATTGATCGCCAAGCTTTTTTTACACAACAAATTTTTCTAAAAATTGAGTCCCTCGTAAATTGAGGATTAGTACTATTAAAACAGACTTTTAAATTAAATACAGGAAATTTTCCATATTCCGAAATTCCAATCCGCCTAAAAAATCATTCACATATATTATATATCGTGTAATAGGAATCCAAGATGACACCAGTGTAGTAAAGATTGTTAGGATGCACAATTTAAAATTATTTTAAAGTATAAAAGCCTGACGAATGAAACATTCATTTTTTTTAATTTTGTTTTGAATTTATTTTAAAATTGTTCACCATTTTTATTAATAATACATACATACTTATACCTAATGGTCTTTCCAATGTTTTAATTTTTCTATAAAAATACTAGTTTCCACACTTGGAAAAAAATTACCATTTTTAAAGTTAGATCACTTATTTTTAATAGGCTTTATCTCGAATTGACAAATTTATTGGTTGACGTTTCGGTTATTTCGACCGTCATCAGAACATTCTGGTCCTCTACAAAATTGTTTTTTAAGTCACAGCGATTATATGTCTTTTTTTTGTTTTTAAACTTTCATAAAAGTAAATGGACAAAATAAATAAAGATAGTGGACAAATATAATTAAATAGACATAAAAGCGTAATACATATGAGTAATATGATATTAAAGGTGAAACACAAAATACATTAAAAAAATTGTATAATATATATGTTAAGCGAGAATGGTACGAATTGGTACACAAATGATACGAGGAAGTGCGCCTCTTTTCATTGCATTGTTCTATATACAATATTGTTATTAAATTAATTAATATTATTATATTAATTATTATATTAATATATTGTTCTATTATACATTTTTTTTTATGTATTTTGTGTGTCACCTTTAATATCATACTATTCATATCGATTAGACGATACTACATCCAACTAATTTTTCAACACTTTCAGCGAAATATAAACATAATCTACAATAGATACAATATATGTTTAACGGATTCAATGGGTTGTACGTAACATTCTGTAATAGGGTGCATATTTTTTAGTTTTCATTTGTCGAACTAATTCAGACTCACTACTTTAGATTCAAACCCCAAATCATTAACCGTGCCTTTATCATTTGATAAAGAAACGGTGTTGTCGAAACAATTTCATGTCAAAATATATAATTTCGTGAAAATCTGAACTTTTAGTTCTTATTTATTTTGGTAAATGGATTTTCATCAAGTAAAAGCCTCTTCAGTTCGATTTTTGAAATTGGTTTCTTGACGATTTGGTATTTTAAATCACTTCTACGTTGCCAAATATGTTCCTTAACTGACTGCTCGGGCTAATCCATGAAGAAAAAAATCATCTTATTCCATAGAGAGTAACTTTCTTACTATTCTCCAGGTGTTAAATAATCGCTTCTTTCATGCGTTGACCAGCATCTTGAATTTAATTTTGAAAACGTTTATTTACCCTCTACTCCCTCTACAGACATAGCAATTAATATCCTTTTTATACTATTCAATTTCCACATTCTTTTGAGTTCAATTAGTTTATCTCGATCCTTTGAAAGTTCTTCCTGCTCTCTTTGTATTAGATTATGTGTGAGGAACATGATACTCTTTGATGTAGATAGCAATTATTATATTATGAAAACACAAGTAGAAATATTTCGTATAAGGAATTGCTTTTTTGGTCAAGACAGAATTATCATTATAAGAAAATTAAACAAAATGCAATCTAGAGTACAGAAGCGGTTTTTATAATAATAATGTACTGTTTTCCAAAGAAGAAGATTAATTTCAAACATTCAAACAATGCATATATAGAGTATTTTTCATTTTCATGTATTTTCTATGCTTTGTTCAATCTCAACCATAAACGATAGACGATTTTGCCGCTACACATTTTTACTTCTAACCCATAAATAAATAAATAAAATAAATAAGATTAAATAAAAAAACATAAATACTCTTATTTTTACTTCTAACCCATAAATAAATAAATAATATTAAATAGAAAACATAAATATATAAGAGTATTTTATGTTTTTTTATTTAATCTTATTTATTTTATTGATTTATTTATGGGTTAGAAGTAAAAATGTGCAGCGGCAAAAATTCAATTAAAAAACTCAGTATTGAAATATAGTGAAAAAAATATGCCTCTGCATCCTGTATTCTTAAAACAGTCGGTGATTAAGAACTCTAGCAATAATCTAGGGTATCTCTGTCGCAATTTTTTTTCGTCCGAATACTGAGTCTGTTTCAAAACAAGTTCAAGGTCAGCTCCCGATCGAGTTCTTCTTTACGTAACGCCGACGTTATAATTTGTTCGTAGGTAGATCTTTTGTTGGCGGTAGTTTTAATTTGTATTGCTTGATTGTCTTATACGTGTTACATTTTTCCCACACACTCACTTAATTTTACTTAAGCTGTAAACTTATTTTTTACCCGTGAAACTGTAGATATGACGCCATCGACTATATCTTTTAATGACAATCCCGTTTTTTTTAACTATTTTTAATGAGCAAATCAAGTTACACGTGCGTGCAAAAATTGAAATTTTTATTCCTTGTCATTTAAAAGATATTTAACAAAGATTATCTAATTCTAATGAACAAATATAATTCAAATCAATTCAATTTTTATGCAGCTTAAAAGTGAAAACAAGTCAGCAGTTTAACATCGCATTCGAGACATCAGCTCCACTTGTCAAAAAGTTATACCGAGACGAATTAATTGAAATTCACTGAAATTTTAATAATGTGCTTCTATGGAGAACACAAAATAAAGTTATTTATCACTTAGACAGAAATGTAAATATAGACCACGTCTTCTTTTCTGATGATTCAGCGTTAAATGGTTGTTGAATTAATTTTTAGAATGTTTTGATATATATATTTCAAATGACATTGAATACAAATTTTGCGTAACTAAATTTATCCTTTAAAAATAGACGATTTGGGACAAGCTGTATAAATTTTTCTTATATCGACATGTCGGAGCATATTTTTGAAGAAAAATCTTTCTTTTATTTACTGCAATTATTCCAAGTTAGAGACTCACAGCTTATGTTTTCAGGAAAACTATTAAAGAAAATTTTGTAGTTTGTGAATTTCTTTAAAAATAAAGTCTAAAAGGAATTGTCATCTTTAGTTAGTTTGTTAGTCAATCAGTTATACATTCATTGAAAGTTTGAGAAATTAAGAAAATAACAATCCCAGTTCAGTTACCGTTGTAGTTTATATTGTTGTAATTGTAAAAAATGCTAATAGTTTCTTCCTAAGTAGGAATTTAATGACCGATATAATTGACATTTAAGTCATCGGACATATAAGTACATACATACATACATACATATAAGTACTTTCAGGCCGAGTTATTAACAAATCCATGGTCCAACAAAGAATGTATTCATTTGAAACTAACATTTATTTAAATATATGTTCTTTTTGATATAGCGGTGTAAATTATGCATCCGGCAATCTATATTAGACCAATTGACGATGTCCCTTCCACGACAGAAGCAAAAGTAAGGCCGATCGAAATCAAGCAGCTGCTGGCCGCCGCCGCGTAATGGTTGTGGTGATTCCAGTGACGTCACAACTTTGCAAGAGACCAGTATCGGTTCACCCCCACCTTCAAGGAGGTCGTATAAGAATGTTTTTCTATAAGAAATGCCGCCAAAAAACCAAAAGTATCCGTACGGTCAGCATAGGCCCACGAATTTCCATCTTGAAAAAGGAATTGCGGGTTTTTGCTCTGACGCACTGTTGAAGTCTCCGGCAGATTTTTCAAAATTTCGTCTGCAGATTTGAATAAGTCTGATCTTTTTCGTCGATAATGGTGCGGTTTGGGGTATTATTGTTTGTTGCGGTGTTTAGTTGTGGATTTGCGGAGAAAAAAAGGCCCCATATTATTGCGATCATTGCCGATGATATGGTAAGTTTCTATATAAATTTGTAGTTTTATTACTTACGACACTGTTTACACCTGGTAAAACATAAATAATCTTGTAAACAAGAACCAAAACCAAAAAATAGATTTAATAAAATATTTGTGAAATTAATTTTCCCAAAAAAAAAAACGAATAAGATCGCTAAGATCAACTAAATGTTTTTGCTATAAATATAAATTCTAATCTATAACACTACACCTCCAACTATCTCTGCCGGTGTTGGGATTGTTAAGGTTTGCACTCTTCTCAGAATCGAATTTGTCGAAGAAACAAACGTTATAGTAGCATAAATAAAATTTACTGAAAAAGGCAATACTATTTTTACGGAAATTTATTTTGTTGCTTAATAATACTATCTAACAATATTTTTCCGGATATTTGTCTCTGTAGTTTGAGTATTTTTTGTTTATAATTCCCAAAGCATTTTGTTGCAAGTTGCATTATAAAAAGATTTCAATGAAAGTGTATTTAAATCATTTCAAATTGTATTGTTAGTATTTAAATAATTTTATCTACATTTCTTTATCCTTGGAATCTTAATTCAATGTCATCCCAATGCTAACCAAATCGAATATGTATATTCATTTATTAGAACAATCATTGAGAAAAAACGTCTTTTTAGATACTGTAAATTATCCAGAACTAAACAAAACGCCGTATTTAAACAATAAATGTTCTTTGCGACAGTTATAGCCTGTAAAAAGTATTTCTTACATCACTTATGCACGCAAGGTGCCTCGATAACATTTTCAGGAAATGCTTTTACTCCACTTTTCCTTTTAGAATACGGAACCTTTCGGTTCGTTTGAATATTTCCTCTTTTTAAAGATCGGGTGCCGTCTTTAAATGTTGCATAACGCCATTAACTGATCAAAATTACAATTTCATTTTCAGATTTTCCACTTGTTGAATATGTTCCACTTACAATTTGTTTTAAACGCTTCCGCAAATATTATAACGTTTTTTTAAATTGGTCTGATCATACTGCAATCTTGTATATTGCGAAACGAGTGTTTTTTTTCAAAATAAAATATTGGTAGGGTTTCAACGACGTAAGTTTTCATGGAAGTGATGAAATTCCCACCCCAAATATCGATGCCCTGGCATACAACGGCGTGATACTTAACAGTCACTACACCCAGGCGTTGTGCACTCCATCTAGAGCATCTTTTCTCACCGGAAAATACCCAATACACTTAGGTGAGTCTATATATAAACGCTTCTCTTCTGTCGCTTCTCCTTTTCGCGGGAACCAGATCAGGGGTGTCCGCATGTGCTACACGAATCAGTGGAATTAAGTTGAATTAGGTATAAAAATAAAATGAAACAATTTGATGCATTTAAGAGCAAAAATAATCAACATATCAATAATTATTTAGCAATTAAATATAATACGGAGACAACTTAACATTTTATGTATTATATCAGAAATATATCAAAGCTATTTTGTGCTATTTTATTGCCCAGTATAATTAAATTAATTAAATGAATTTGCAATACACTTGAAGGCACTTATTTTCATAAGGAGCTTAATTACTACCAAATCAACTGACAAATTATATAAAATAACACCACTACCATATATCATAATCGTTAAAAGAATAAACGTAAAGTAACATTTTGGTCAGAATCGCCTACTTGATCATTATTGAAACTACAATTACTGACTGTAGCTCACTTGTCATTTAAACATGACGTTTCAAGTGTTGCAAAATTATCAACTAACGTAAAATATCGTTTCATTCCCTCCACAGAAACAAAAAAAAAATTGGTCGAACGGGTTATAAATCGATATATTCGGAATTTGAATAATCAGCGCTTGGTATAAGAACTGCTTGTAGAAGAATATCCTCACCCTAATTGTAAAACGACCGAATTGTGCGTTGCTTTTTTTTAAGACCATGTTATCATCTAAATAAACAACACAATAATAACCTTACATAATATTTTTGTTTTGGAATTGGTGATGAAGGTATATTATATTAACATTATAAAAAAAAAGTGGGTTTTCACTAATTTTGTAATTAATGCGATTAATATCATTTCAAAAATTGAAATATCCCATTTCACTGCAAAAACATGATTTAACCAAAGGAACCAACGAAAACTATGTTTACGTTTTACTACATGACGCACGCCAATGAAGATTCCTGATGATCGAGTAATCAGGGAAACCCGGCTTATTGAACCGAGAGCCTTATCTTTCGCTGAAGGCTGAAAGACACAGAGAACTTGACCCGCAGTAGAACCAGAAATCAAGCGAATATACAAAGAAGTAACTGGTAAGGTGACACTCTCGGTTTGGCTCGAAAATCGCAGAAAATTAACTTTATAGTCCGGCTTTTGCATAAGATAAGTATAATATGCGCGAAAAACAGATCGTAAAATACAAGGACAGTTGTGGCTGCTATGAATTTGTGCAGTAAAAACCTCTTCCGCGCCAAAAATTTGACTAGAGCAAAAATAACATCTGATCTGGTTTACGATCTAAACCACATCCCGGCTTCCATATATTTCAAGTCAAGGCCGCGCGCCTGTGGGTATTTATTGTACTTAGATCGATGTCAGATTTATTACTGCGTTTTAATTGATTAGGTTTGCAGAGTTACCCTCCCGGAGTATAAATTGTACAGACCGAACAAGGTCGATAGGTTTCAAGTACCGTAATGTTTGATTACAGCAATATCCGAGATTAAATACAGGTCGTTATTCTACCCTGCACAAACTAGTTTTGATTAATCTAAATATAAAATTTAGATGAAACCAATTGATAATAAAAAGTATAACATCAAGTTATGCTAAACCATATTTCCTATCCCATAATTGCTTTGGTATCATACGAAAATGCCATTTCTTGCAAACATTCCAGTTACGACGGAAAAAATACAAAGTTATGCTGCTAAAATGTCATCTTTTTGATTTAATATAATAATAAAGTAATGGCGTTTATGGTAGAACAGTTTGTTGATTGAAATTTAAAATATCCAAACATTTTCAGAGAAACTACTACTATCTTAATACTATATATACCGATATAGGATACAGACCTGTACGTTGATGTCTTCATTGCTGATAGCTTTTTGAAGGAGCAGAGTTTTAATGAATTTTAATAGGCCACTATTAAGATATCAAATTAATCACGATATCAAAACTGAGAAATCTTAATAGCTTTGGTAATAAATCTAAATGTGAACAACTTATCCTTGATCAAAACAAATAAAGATTATTTTTTTGTCTCGAAAACTAAATAATAAAATTATAGAAGCGCACTTTTACTGTTTTTTTTTTCTCTTTTCTAGAATGAGTAGAGGGGAACTTCTTCTAACAATTATTTTTTATGGACATTCAGTAAAAAAAATCTGCATAAAGGTATTAAAATTTTGCATGTGATTACTTAAATTGTGCTTAAAAAAGTGAAAAAATATGCAGGGAGTGTTCTTTGTAATATCTCTTCGTTTTAGTTTTGATGGTTAAACCCAACGTTTATATAATAAACTACAATATATTTTAAACCCCTTAAGCTTTAGATACTTTTAAATTAAAACGCCCCTTAAAAATGATTTACCTAATGCCATAACTTAAGATTGTTTAAAATATATTCAAAATACGCATTTATGTATACCATACCGGCATTTTCAAAAAGTTGTATTAGTTACAAGTTAATAAAATGCACAATATTTAGCCAACTCAACATTTGCATGTGATTTGCTGTGTTGAGCTAGTCTGGGAAATGCGTTTTATTACACGACCATAGAAAATACCCTTGTGATGTTTTTCCCTAAGCCGTGACTATTATTTAATTCACCGGGTACATACCATACAATCGTTAGAACTTTGAAAATGTTCAGATAGTTCTAAATGAAATTGATAACTGAAACCCAATGCGAATTTCGTTCGTTAAGCTTCTTAAAATATCACATCCCTTAAGTTGCTAGGGTAAATTCTCATTATTTAATCGAAGTCAGCCACGATTAGCATATCTTCTTTAGTCTATTTTCATTAAAATGCATTGACAACTCACTCTGGTTGCGGTTACGCGTCCTGCCGCGCTACTGATGGAGGTCAAAAATGCACTCATTCGACAAATATTTCAAAAGGGTATGTAAACGTAATACCTGTAGGTAAATAGAGCAAAAAACAAGGCAACGAGTAAAAGTATTTACAAACGGATACTATGTCTAACCCGGCGAAAAATTTTCGTTGTTGGAGATTTATCTACTGACTCTTATAATGTAGTAATTACATGCTGTTTTATAGCTGGGCGTTATTTATATTGCTAGACGTGGATATTATCTTAATTTATTGACTAAAGAGCAATGCATTTGCCATTGAAACTGATATGTCTATAGATTCTACCCGTATTAAATACTAAAAAGTATTATATTATAGTTTGAAGTTAAGCCGGATTCTAATGGTAATAACCGTAGATATTTTACAACTTCCTTGTAATTGGCCTAGGTGATCAGTCATTTGTTTTATGGATGACTCACTTATCTCGTGAGCTTCCCTGTTCTAAATTTTCGATTAATGAAAGATGACGCAAAAATGCATGATTGGGAGTTTTGCTGTGCCAATTTGTTACAAGCAGTTATGCAGTATTAAAAGTCCAAAATAAGACAATTAATGTAATAAAATAGTGCATTATGCAACAAATTTAATAAACGACATTTTGTCACCAGTTTGTTTTGACACAAACGTGTGACGTGACCAGCTACCATCAGTGTTTTAAATGTTCCTAAAATATCCGATCGTTTCGCAATTCGTGACTAAAATACCGGAATCGCCCGAACTGACTCACAACACTGCTTAACGAAGTTGACGGTTTAAAGTGACACTATGCGCACGCATAATTGAGTAAGCAATAAAAATAATGTGTAATTTTTTTTAACGGAAGTTGTGTTAATTTAATTAATAGACAGTAATAATCCATTTTTAAATATTTTCAGCTGTACTGCCAGTTTCGGTTTGATAGGAAGTTTTCGTTTAAAGTTTACGCAACAGTCGTTGGGACTTAACTTTATACGGAGTATGTAACAATTCCAGATTAGAAAAAACGGGGTGCTAAATAGCTAAATTTAAATTGACGCCGTTTCATGTAGTTTGGGTTATTTTTGGCTTAGTTCATTTCGGAATTATAGTACAGTGAAATTTTTAAAATTTAAAAACAGGATGGACACGTAGAAATAAATATTTTTAAATGCCGGATGTCTAAAATACTGATTTTGAATACTTGTGTTGTTGTGTTGTGACGCTAGTGTTCCAGGTATTGCAATGAAAATTTGACCACAGACTAAGGAGACGATGCACTACAGATGCGCCTCAGCTTATACAGGGTGTCCCAAATAGGTGATGCCGTTTTGGCGAATTCAATTAACAAAATCTGAAGATTTTCAAATGGAACACTCTACATTTTTATCAAATATCAATTCTTCAATTCAATTCAATTTTACTTACCTTTTGAGATATTCGAGTATAAATTGTTGTTGAATTTAAAGCTGCTCACATCAGGCAATATTAGGTATTTTTTAGCAAAGACATGATATAATACTAAAATACCTAATAACAATAATAAATAATTAAAGTTTATAGGTTAAGCAAAAAACAATAACTTATCTAAAATACAAATAAAATATATACTAACAAAAAACTTGAAAACTATGAACTTCTTAAATAGAAATATGAAAAACAAAAACAAACGGAAATGTCAAAGTTTATTTATACCTAAATGCGTCAAAAAAAAAGACCGTCAACTACATTTTTAAATATTTTGACATTTCTTTGTTGTTTTGATGCCAGATGAAACTGGCATTTTAAGAGGAACATATTTAACTAAACTTTATGCAACAAATTAAGGAACCCTTTTTAGTTCACTTCTTTTTTATAGAATTATTTATTCAAATTTAACTATTCAACTATTAAATGTTTCTTTAAATATGAATTCTGAAGTTTTATTAAATCTGTATTATCAGCAATAGAGTTTATTCATATATCTGAAGTATTATATCCTTAAAAGAAGTAGTATCATATCTTTACTATTTAAAAAATATCTAATGTTGCCAACAAGTGACCTAATGTGGTTAGCTTCAAATTCAACAAGAATTTATACAGGTATTATCTTAAACCTTGAACATCCCAAAAAGTAAGTAAAATTTAAATATAAGATAAATTACAAACTTACCTTATTTTTCGTCCTAGAATTCATATCTGAATAAAACTGTAGGGTGTTCTTCCATTTGAAAATCTTGAGGATTTTGTTAATTGAATTCGCTACAACTATTTGGGACACCCTGTAAAAGCTGAGGCGCATCTGTCAAACTGATTGAGTAGTGCATCATCTCCTTAGTCTGTGGACACGTAGAAATAAATATTTTTAAATGCCGGATGTATAAAATTCAGATTTTGAATACTTAAATCTGAAAATAAAAATTCCGAAATTCAAATGTTATCAACCGTAGATTTTAAACTTGAGCCTGTAACTTTGATTCCATTCGAACACGGCACACCCTTTACGAAATGAACATGCACGCATTGTATAAAACGAGATAAAATATTTTGCAAGCCAAGTAAAATGCAATTACCTTAAGGTAATTATTTTAGATGAATTAACGAAGGCCGTTGTATAATAACCGATCCCGGTGTTAAATTGCAAATTGGTCTCATATCATATATATAGTAAAATATTTTGCCCTCTTGATAACAAAATTTGCAGCTTTTGCTGAGCAAAGTGGTTCAACTTTTTTCTGTTTGTTAGTTTTTTTTTGTTACAAGTACCTGCAATTTTGTATGAGTACTTACGTCATAAGAAAAAATACATGGAAATCAATTGGTACATTGAATTTTGAAGCTTCGCCCCCTTGTGATTCGAAATAGTAGTTATGTTGGTAGTAAAAACACTATATTAAGTATAATAAAGGATATTCTAAACTAGATGATTAGATGATTAGAGCATTAGAGAACTGAGAACTAGTATGCTAGTATCAAATGTTGGTTGCGGCCATAGGGAGGTGATCTACATATTAAAAGTTATAAAAGTTTTGGAATTTTAAATAAAACCATCTAGTAATTTTGATTTTGTGTGTTGTACAAATTTCTTTGAGGCACCCCTTATTATACTGACGTGTTTTATTATAAGATTAAAGGCAGTAATTTTTTGCCAACAATTTGGATCATTGTAAAATCAAAGAGACGTGAAAGTGGTGGACAAGTTCATTACCAATTTACCCCGGGTCTGGATTTTGGTTTACAATTTTTTAAACTAAGATTTTAATATGGTTCCGAAATAAAGATTTATCAGTTTAATGGTCTATTCCGATCAGATTCATCCGTTTTTTTTTTCGAAAATGGGCGTTTCCGTGGAAAACAATTGTTTTTTTTTTGCAGCAAATAATCCATTAAATGCTTGCCCGCGCTTATTTAAAATTTTATGCTCGATTAAACATTCCCGTACAAGGTTGTTTCAATAAGCAAATGCGGTTTCGGTTTTATTCTCGGTACATTTTTGATTATTTTGTTTAAACTGAGGACACCGACGAAGCAAAAAAAAAACACTTAAATTCCAAACGCGGTGTAACTGGTCGGGACAATGAAAATCCAAATTATGTAATTAATGCGAAATGGTGGTCGAAGTCATTGATTAACAGAACAAGTAAAAGTCTGCAGGAACCGTGAACTGGGCCTTGTACTTGACTTTTACCCGGTTTAAAAAAGAGTGCATATACGCGGTTGACAGAATTTTTTTTTAATAGATCCGCCAATTTTTTTATCTGATCAGGAACACACTATTATTTTAATCGTTATGAAATTGCCTTTGTACGTATCATGTCTCTCCTAGGGCGCGGGAAGTAACAATTTCTTAGATATCGCTTGCTGATAACGCGAATATCGACTTCTAAAAAGGTTAAATGAAAGGAAATATATTGCCTATAAAACGCAAAATATCGGACCTGACTGGTTATTGGCAAATTGTTCTATATCTGCCTTTATGTCACTTTTAGCCAAGTACTCACATTAATTCTATTTTCGGTTGGAGTAACAAAAGGGAAGGACTGTTAGAAATGATGCTCTTACATTTATAGTTTGTATCGGATAAATTTGAATAGAACATATGAAATATATATTATACACTCACGGAAAAAAAGATTGCATTGTATATTTTAAGTTATTTTATATATATAAGTCATTTTGTATTTCTGTCCCTTAACATTTTTGAATTTATATATATTTATAACAGATTTGTAGATGAATGTATAAAGAAAGCAGTCTGATTTTGGTTATCGATCGGACTGATTTGAAAATAGAAACAATACACCATACCAACACCATATATCAATATTTTAATGTAAAACATATGGGTCATCCCTTGGCGTTTCTCATTTTTTACGTTCTTCACCAGGATGCCTTTTCTATTCTATAGTCTCATTCTAGCGATTTGACAGTCGATAAGCGGATATGCAATCTTGACACCATATGTTGTTCTTTCCATCCCTCATTGGCTTTAACAGAAACAAATGAATAAATCACTGGAAACATATTTAAAAGAAAGAAATGGCCGTCCTGGGTAATCACCAAGGCACGCATTCATGTTGGGACTATATTTGCAATCTCTAACAAAATAGCTGATTTTTCGCACTATGAAATATCGTTATAGGAATCATTAATAAAAATCATGACTTACAGCACCATCTAAAAGTTATTACTAGTAGATTATATGCGCCTAATAGAATAAAATGGATGTATTAAAGTTATAACTTTACGCCTGCGTAATAAAAATTAAATCTACAAACAATGCCAAAGCAAAACATTTGAATGTACCGTATTTAATTAAATAACGCGAATCATACGATTGGTAGGTAATTGCTCAATATTTTTCTTGAATATTATATTATTTAATTATAGTAAATGGGCGACCTTACACTTGATTTTGTAGATTGCAAGGCAGTTTCAAAATCGGCTTAGTTTTCCGACACTTCCTTAATAATTAATAATTACAATTTAATCTTCTTCGAAAAATTCGTATAATATGTCATTACGTTAGTAGTTTTGTGCTAATAGATAACCGTAGTACTCGATAAATAATGCAAATCCCATCGCATCGTGTAACAACATGTCAGGTGTTGATTGACTACTTTTTTTTCTTGATCACTATTTACATTTAACGAACTAATAGGCGACACTTTTATTTGTATTTAACATGTATCACCGACGCATACATTAAGAATTATGATTAATAGTTTCTTTTTTGCAAAATCCGATTGAAATTTTCGAATTCCAACTCAGCAAAATCTTTTCCCGAGTAATTCCCATGAAGTTAGTCATCAAGTCTTCTAAACCTTTTCCAAAATAATCGCCGTTAATATTTATATTTAAGGGATGCAACATCTAGTAATCTTAGAACCGGAACCGTGGGGTTTGCCTCTCAATGAAACTCTGCTACCCCAACGTTTGAAAAAGAATGGCTATTCGACGTACGCAATCGGGAAATGGCATTTAGGATTCTTCAAGAAAGAGTACACGCCAACTTATAGAGGCTTCGATAGCCACTACGGATACTGGCAAGGATATCAAGATTATTACGAACACACTGTACATGCTACCGTAAGTGGTCAGTTGTAGCAGATTTACCCTTTGCAAAGTACGTGTGTTAAGATATTTAGTGATATTTATTGAGATAGGCCAAGGTTTAAATTCACTTGCACTTTTCATTTAACACTATTCGCCTGATAGATCTAGTTTATAATTTGCCAACTAGGCACTAACACAACACAACTAAGCACTAGCACTACTACCTGCAAAGTGTAAATCAGATCACATTACACAAAATAGTTACAAACAACTCAGCACCTAAAAGGCAAACTGACATTGTGTTGAGTTTATAACTAAAACTCTATTTAGCAATTTAATTAAGTACACTAAATGTGTAATTGGCATAATGTGTGCGTAAGAAATAAATAACAGGCCAGTATAGTTAAAATTAAGTTTTTTTTTGTTAATCTGATTTACAAAATGAAGACATGATTATATCTACCCTTCTTTTAAAAATAGAATTTTAGATCCTTGCCTCTAACATCATACATTGTACACCGTGTGCCAAATAAAACGACCCACTTTACGATCTGGCAACCCATAAGAGATACGAAAAAAAATTTCGTACAAAAGTTTTTTGGACTCTCCTGAAGATTTAAAACATTATAATTTTATTGACACATTGTGTTCCAAATGTGTGCCTCCCCCCCCCCCCGGGCATGTTTGTTATTTTAAATGGAACACCCTGTATATTTCGACATTTTTTGAATCCTTTGTTAAAATAAAGGATACTTTCTTTTAAAAAATCCTATTCGAATTTTGCATAGTGTAGGCAGAAGAAGAAGGTTATGTGTTTTTTTTATATTTCATTTTCCCCATATAATATTGTGTTGTGACGCTATTGATCCAGGTATTGCAACTAAAATTTAACCACAGACTAAGGAGATGATGCACTACAGATGCACCTCAGCTTATACAGGGTATCCCAAATAGGTGATGCCGCTTTGGCGAAGTCAATTAACAAAATCTCAAGATTTTCAAAGGGAACACCCTATATTTTTATTCAGATATCAATTCTAGAACAAAAAATAAGGTAAGTTTGTAATTTATCTTATATTTAAATTTTACTTAATTTTTGAGATATTCGAGGTTTAAATAAAATATAAAATATATAAATTCTTGTTGAATTTAAAGCTGTCCACATTAGGCAATATTAGGTATTTTTTAGCAAAAACATTATACTACTTGCTTTAAAGATATAATACTCCACATATAAGAATTAAACCTTTACAAACAATACATGCGTCCATTATCACGTGAAAATTTTGAAAAAAAATGTCTCTATACTACACACTTCAACAGATTTAATAAAACTTCAGAATTCATATTTAAAGAACCATTTAATAGTTAATTATCTAGCTTGTTTAATACCTAATAACAAAAATAAATAATTAAAGCTTATAGGTTAACCAAAAAACTATAACTTATCTAAAATACAAATAAAATATATACTAACAAAAAACTTGACAACTATGAACTTTTTAAATCGAAATATGAAAAAAAAACAAAATCAAACAGGAATGTCAAAGTTTGTTGATACCTTAATGCGTAAAAGAAGAGATTGTGATGTCCTAGTCAACTACATTTTTAAATATTTTGATATTTCGTTGATGTTTTGATGCCAAATGAAACTGACATTATAAGAGGAACATTTTGAACTAAACTTTATGGAACAAATTAACGATCCCTCTTTAGCTAACTTCTTTTTTATATATTTATTTATCCAAATTCGTTACCTTCAATCAAGCTAGATAATTAGTTTTATTAAATCTGTATTAATAATAATAATAATAATAATAATAATATTAGGGTTTTATTCGAATATCTGGAGTATTATATCTTTAAAAGAAGTAGTATCATGTCTTTGCTATTTAAAAAATATCTAATATTGCCAACAAGTGACCTAATGTGGGTAGCTTTAAGTTCAACAAAAATTTATGCAGGTGTGCAAATTTAAGATAAATCACAAACTTACCTTATTTTTTGTTGTAGAATTGATATCTGAATAAAAATGTAGGGTGTTCTTCCATTTGAAAATCTTGAGATTTTGTTAATTGAATTCACCAAAACGGCACCTATTTGGGACACCCTGTATAAGCTGAGGCGCATTTTCAAACTGATTGAGTAGTGCATCATCTCCTTAATCCGTGGTTAAATTCTCGTTGTAATGCCTGGATCAGTAGCGCCGCAACACAATTTTATATGGGGCAATCAAGATATGAAATAAAACACATAACCTCGATTTCTGCATAAACTGTGCAAAATTCGAATAGGAATTTCTTACGAAAGTGACCTTTATTTTAACCATAGATTCAAAAAATGTCGAAATAAAATAACAATAAAATAACAAAGTTGATATTGAGGGGGACACTTTTGGGACACCCTGTATCAACTAAATTATAATATTTTAAATTCTTAGGAGAGTCCAAGAAACTTTTTTCGTATCTCCTATGGGTTTCCAGATCGTATAGTAAATCGTTTTATTTGTATGTAGGTAGGTTTTATAGGTATAGATTAAAAGAAATTAGACAAACTAGAACTTAGCCTAATTGGTATTTGGGATTCGAATAATTCTCAAGATTGCCTTGTTTGGGTAAAAACGACTTTTTTGAAAACGAATATTTTTTTTGTTAAAATTGTTATTATATTATTTATTATTTTTTAAATTACCTCAAAAGGATCATTTAAACGTATTTCCAAATTCATTATAGTAGTAAAGATAATGTTTTAGTACACTTCCGAGGATGGATACGATTTCCGCAGAAACATGACAGTCGATTGGGATGCCAAAGGAAAATATTCGACCACCCTACTGACGGATGAAGCCGTCAAAAACATTAGAAATCATGATCCGGAAACCCCGATGTTTATGTATCTGTCTCATCTGGCGCCTCATTCAGGGCCGGACAAGAATCCGCTTCAAGCACCGGATGAAGAAATTGCCAAGTTCGCTCATATAAAAGATCCCGAAAGAAGAATATACGCAGGTAAATTACTAGGCAATTACTGTGCCCGAGCATGACTACAACCTAAACTGTAATTTCAGCTATGGTTTCACTACTGGATCAGAGTGTCGGTTCGGTAATATCCGCACTAAGAGAAAAGCACATGCTGGAAAATTCAATTATTCTTTTCTTCTCCGACAATGGAGCCCAACCAGAAGGAGTCCACGCTAACCATGGATCGAACTATCCCCTTAAAGGCGTATGTATATTAGTTTGGCATAGAAGATGATCAAGATTCCCTCAAATAATTCCGTTGGGACGGTTCGGAACTTGATGCTTATCTTAATTTTAGGCGAAAGCCTCTGCATGGGAAGGCGCGTTAAGAAACATTGCTGCTATTTGGAGTCCTTTAATCAAGAAACCACAACGGGTCGCGAACAACTTAATGCATATATCGGACTGGCTACCTACTTTATACACTGCCGCAGGTAAATAAGGCCCAGATCAGTTTCGCAACTTCCGCGGTTCCTCTCCCTCTAACAAATAAGAGCTATCAAATTTACTCATATTTACAACCTAAGTGTGTTATTTTGCAACTTTTTCAACAAATATATACAATATAAATACTACACTAATAAGTCAGTCATTGCGGTACTCAAATTTATTTGATTAAGTATAATCTAAGAAAAGTTATTAACGTTTATGACATCAAGCGCAAAATGGTAGCTACAAAAATTATTAACCTAGAAAACTGCGATAATAGTATTAGTAGTTAACAAGTAAGATAACTAAGTAAACGGAGTGATTTAAAGTATTGTATGCAATACAGAAGATAAAATATCAAGAAATACAATAATCAGAATGATGTAAAATAAAGCAAATACAATATTTTTATAATATTCTTTAATTCACTGCTTGATTCATCCTGACCAACATTTTGAAACCTTTTGAAAATTACAAAAAGTGCATATCGCGTTTTGTTTCTTAATGCCAGAGAGTTATAAAATGTAAATTTGCATTGACAGGGATATTTAAACAGGATCAACAACTTAAAAGTTATCCGCGAATTTATTCTACAACGATGACGTGCTAAACGTAAACAAACGTGCCCGAAAAGTTCCGATAAATTGCAATGACAATTGCCCATACATTCCGTATTTACGTTTTTTTAAGACATATGCCTCAAATCGTTCCGAAATAACGGTCACACTAATTTGCATACAATACACGAGTTTGGTGCATGAAAGTAATATGCCACGGGTGTTACTACAGGTAGTTTATTAGAATAATAAATAAAATAATAATTATACATGATTATAATTATAAAGATCGGCAGATACATAAGATATTAATTACTCTAAGATAAAGTAAATAAGAGCTTATATAGAAGTAAGAATAATATGAAAATAGTTAAATTGTAATAAATATTACAATGACAATACAACTTCATTTGTAAATTTTAGTCATAATCTTCCGAGTAGTCAGATAAAGTTATGTTATGTTATTAACGGGTTTCAATGTCCCTCATTTTGAAAGTGGTGTTATACCTTGCTATATAATATATACCATATATATGTATACCAATGTTATGGGGTTTAATTCACAGTGATACGGCGGAAGGCGTTGTATTTCTTTTTGAACCGATTTCATCGACAACAAATTTCGTACAAATTTACAGTTTCCAATAGCTCTTTTTCAGCATATTCAGCTCTATTAAAAGTAATTTTCTGTTTTGAGTTTTTCGTAACTAAAATTTATTTCCTTCAAAGTTTTCCACAATTTCTTCTTACCCATTGGTGGAATAAAATCATTTCTTTTTAAAAAGATACACAAGTGTATTATTCTTCTGATAGCAGTCATTTCATCCTCATTTATTATAGTTTTGGGTAGTTTTTTCTTCCTGTACTTCTCTTTGAAGACCTGAACTTCACCGCTAGTCCGAATGTTGAGTTTTGGTGGCAGCTCTTCGCCACATTGATAATAATAATTTTCTTATTTCTAGAAAGCGCAGTTTTACTAATCTGTTTCTCAACAACAAATTAAGTAACTAGAATTATAATTTTAAACACTAAGGCACAGGGACCTGTCCGTCTAAAGTCTGTTCATAGATATAAGAAAGTGACTAATTGATACGAATTAAGGATATAGCCGAACAGGTCCGTACTTTGCTTAGAATTTAATTATTTGGGGTTTTGTCAGGAAAGATACTAAACAATATTTATTTATTTATGTATGTATTTATGTTAAAATCTACAAATTATTTTTATTACCTACTTAAATTACTTAAAATTATTCACATAATACATCAGTATCACGTAAATACGCTATTATCGCCTGTTCTAATTATTATTTGTTCTATATTATTTGCAATATGGATATACGATTGTTCTCCTTTTTCTATATGTTTAACAGAATTTGCCCAACTTTGTGGAGGAATGTTAAAAAATTCGGTTTCTATAAGTTTGAGGACATTGGAGTTAACACGGGGAAAAACATTGTTACGACGAATGGCAGATTTCAGTTGGTGCCAAACATGTTCAGTGGGCTTAAATATACAGTGGTAAGGTGGAAGCCTTGAAACTGTATGCCCTAGATTTTTTGCATAATTATCACAGACGTATTCCTTTTGTAGGTTCAAGCTTTGTAGAACCTTAATTGCTTTTTGGTATAATCTTCGTGAAAATAAATGTCGTTATTATACATGTAGTTTTGGATTGTTGCTTTTGTGTCACATGAGGAAGGGGTTTTAGTCAACTGTCTACTGTAATAACTTGCATTGTTGCTTTTGTGTCACATGAGGAAGGGGTTTTAGTCAACTGTCTACTGTAATAACTTGCATTGTCCATTATAATGACGCTATTAGGAGGAATGTTTGGAACTAGTTTGTTTTTAAACCAACTTTCAAATAAATCATCGGTGGTGTCTTCATGGTAATCCAGAAAAGAATCTTTAATATTTTTCGCAGAATCCAACCATCTTTAGAGCCAGCATGCAAAATAGTTATTCTTTTACCTCTTTGTGATGGCGCGTTTGTTTTACACTTATCAGTTGAGTCCACGCAACCCTTTTCCGGGGTATCATAAATGTCGAACCAGGTTTCATCCAAGTCACCATTCAAAAGCAATTGGGGGGACCCTATGACTACACCTATGAATCAGTGCTAAGACTACTAAGTTTTATAGTTCAGTAATTATTTATAACTCTCTCAGATGAAGAAACCTAGTATAGCTTCAAATAGTGTGGAAATTCACGGAAAAACAGAATAGTAACCATGAATAGTTTAATTAGCCTTGATTAGGCAATTCAAGATTTATTTTTGTTAAAAAGCTCTATCGTCTAGGCAGGAGTTTAGATTGGTTTAGAACATTGACTGCCAAGGGCACAGGTGCTCTTTTTTTTATTATATACACATTATTATTCACCCTAGAAACGTAGAAAATTATATCCGCGTGATGCATGGTTGTGAATCGCCAAAAATGAAAATTTAGGATACCGTCATTATAGAGCAGCAACTGTGTCAAAAATTATGAATTTTTCACACAAAAAAAAACTTTTTATTTTGATGAATTTTCTTGACAATTCCTTTTAACAAGGATGATTTTTTTTTTAATTGTACTTCTAGATGCACTATTATCGTGACTTCATATACACCGCATTAAAAAAAGCAAATATAAGACCATTAAGACTGACATGTTAACCGTTAGACCTGTCAATATCTATAAATTTGTTGCAGGTCTCGATCACAGCGAACTGCCGTCGAACATTGATGGGAAGGATCAATGGAGAGCAATATCGGAGGACGAAAAATCTCCGAGGACTGACATGTTGCTAAACATTGACGATGTCTGGAATTACGGAGCAATTAGACAAGGCGATTGGAAATACATATACGGTTCGACGTCTCAAGGACTGGCCGACCGATGGTATGGCAACGACGGGAAGGATTCCGATTACTTTTACGACGAAGAAGCAGTTCTAAAATCAGCCACTGGTAGCGCTTTGGCGGGCATAATTACTTACCAACAAATCAACGAAAAGAACGAGAACCTAAAACGCCACGTCAACCAAAATTTCACCATCAACCTGCTGGACGCGCATAAAGTGAAGGCGCTACGCGAAGCCGCAACGGTGAAATGCAAAAAGCTGCAACCAGAAGACCAGCTTGAAAGCAAAAAATGCAACATTTTAGAATCCCCGTGTTTATTTAATATCAGGGAAGATCCTTGCGAGGAGGTAAATCTGGTCAACCAAAGGCCAGTCATTGTGCTCACTTTGGAACAAGCGATAATAAACTACAGGAAAACCGCACTACCCATAATAAACAAACCGAGAGATCCGAATGCCGATCCATTAAAATGGAATAACACTTGGACAAATTGGCAAGACTGCGAGGTCATCAGAGAAAGGATAGCCCACAATTCCCTGTCTCATTTGTCAATCGGGCTTATATCGGGGGCCAGCGTGGGTGTGATCATAATAATTATCATTTTGGTCACATTACGCTGTAGAACGACTCTGAAGAGAAGTAACACAGACTTATTTAAAAGAAGCTGCGATGAAGAAACGGATATTAAATCAAGAGGCAGTCTCTTTCAAGAGAGGGAAAAGCAACTAAGAACGAGTTTAAAAGACGAATTTCGGGAAGTTTAATTCAAGCAACGAGACACGTTTGAATAATGTTGAGTGAAATACTAGCACAAACCAAAGACGCTAAATATAAGTAAATAAATAACGATTAGATTCGTTATTCAATAGAATTTTTATACAAATATCAATTTGTGTATACAAAATAATTTAAGAACTCTACTCTATCAGTTTGTATAGATTTTGATGTGACACTTAATTCTTGGAAAATGCTAAATCAATTTTTCTCACCAAAAATTGATTTTAGTTCATCCAAAGGAACCGCAAAACTATGAAAGTGTTTCAAAAGTAAAGACACAAATTTATGTATATATGTGGAATAGGTCACACAGCTGTCACCATTCGACAACAATAAGGTGGTCAATCATCACCTACTTGACTGAGTGGGATAGTATACAATTTGAAAAATAAGTGCATATGTAGCATATTTGCTATGCTATGCTAATCAGATTAGTATTTATACAGGCGCCTAAAAGAAAACCAACGCTGCTAAGTGAAAGCAATACTTGACGTTTGCGCTAGAATGCAAAATAATGGTTCCGTTCGGTCCTTTAGATTACCAATTGTAAAAAGAAAGAACGTGTTTTCATGAAACATCAATTTCATTCCTTCATTTTACCTGAAAAAAATTTTTTTTTCTATCATAAATGGTAAATTAAAATTAATAAATCCTCAACGACAAAAAAAACAATGTTATAACAAAAATTTATTTGTTACAAACGCGTATACCTAGTACTTTCACGTTCATTTCCCTTCAAATGGGAATATTGACTGTTTTCAGCAACATATAAAGTAAAAATATGCGAATTAAAATACACCGTAGCAGTATTTTTTACAAAGAGTTAATTTCAATTTCAATTTCTTCTAGCAAATTGTGATAACTCTGAAAAGCTTTTATTTATTAAAATAGCCAAGTTAATGCAAATTCCTCAAAATAAAACAGCCATTTTTCCGTTAACAACTTTTTATTTCCAAAGTTGCTTTTTACAAATATCTCTGTCAATTATGTAAAATATGAGATAAATATACATATTCAATCTGTTTTGCGTGTTTCATTTATTGTTTAAAAAATAAAATGTAGTATTTGTAAAGTATACACAGTTCAGTTAATACAAACTATCAACATTACACCGACGCAAATATGATACAAAAAATTTCTGTTTACGTTTACAGTCTATCGATAAAATCTCGTCAATTCTTTCAAACCGTGGGTCACCGATTTCGATGTGTTTGACCTAAAATAAGTAAACAATTGATTTATTTAAACAATAAATTTTAAAAATAAGGTTTTCATTTACATTTTGCATTTACAAATTGACTAAAGAAATTAAAATTCGAGTTTTTTAAAATTTGTTTGAGATAAACAAGCAAATGTTGTTTACTTTTTACAAAACTTCTGGATTCCTTTGGTTTTTGTTGAGTCGAATTTTCTAACATTTCGGCAATCATCCTGTTGCCTTCTTCAGAGCTTAACTGAAAATGGCTCGCATTTTACTCTGTACCTGCTTATATATTGTTTGAGGGGGGGCGTAGCTAAATGAGCAAGAAATTTATTTGATAAAACTAAATCCGAGAGTCTATAGAAATCTATAAGCAACCTAACAATCTTAACCGCGAATCAGGGCTTTACCTGGCGGGGATCAGTCATCGGAGACGGTTTTTATCAGTGATTCATCTTCACCCTCCCTCAAAAAATATATAAGCAGTTACAGAATAAAATGCGAACCAGTTTCAGTCAAGCTCTAAAGAAGCCAACAAGATGATTGGTGAAAAGTTAGCAGGTTCCACTCACCAAAAACGGACGCAGGAGGAAGTTGCACATTTTGATTATTAGACGAGCTTTAATTCAACAAAGTCGCTTTTCTCTGAAAATTCGAATACTCTATGTAGAATACTGAAGACTTACCTTACTAATCGAAAGTAACAACTTTTAAGAACAAATCCGTTACATTATACATTATTTACTCTGCATTAAAAAATGTTTCCCAATTTAAGAGAACTTACCTAACTAATTTCGAGTGTACTTCGCTTAACTGCTTCGGTGTGGCAGCCATAATGCCGCCGCTACTCTGCTTTGGTAAAGTGTCGAGACCAGTGGCCAACCATTTACTAGTCAGATCTCTGTTAAATTCTAGAAGCTGCAGAATTACATCTCCTACCTGTAAACAAAACAAAAACCACCCTCTCAAATATGGTACCTCGTGAATATACAATGGTACCTCAAAAGCACACCATAAAAACTTCTAAGCATGCATGGAAGTTTTATATATCCACGCAATATAGTCAAGTCAAGTAATTATTATTGTTTAGACTCAAATCTGGCACAGTTAAATGAAACACATTTCCGGCACTCCACTACACATAGTCAAAAATAAAAATAAACCAGTGTTCACTTTGTAAAAAGTTAATTCCGGCAATTTTAGCAAAATAAATAAATAATCAAGGTACCTCAGATAACATATAAGACTGTAGAGAAAATACGCAAGACTGAATCAAATTTGTGACAAGCTGCTGTCCACAGTCGTTAAGTATACCGGCTACGAGCTCCCTCCTTTCCGGGAAGTCAGACTGATTGTGGCCGACCTGACCCTGATTTATTAAATCGTAGAAAAATTTCATAACCGACATGTTCGCCTCTTTGTGGTCTAAAGTCGCGGCCATAATTGCACATTGCAAAATCGGAACTAGCGCGGAGCTGCGCAGGAACGATAACGCCGCTCGCTGTATGAACCGCGCGCATAACCTGGAAAAACTTGACTGATTGGCAACGTTCTTTTCCACATCGTAGTTCAGGTGGTACCTGAAAAAATCGTCCACCGTGTCGGGATGGTTACGCAATCCGTTCTCTTCCTGAAGCATTTGGAATGTGGGCTCGATGAACACTCGAAGCATGTCGAGAAGTCCCCCTATACACTGCGGATCAGTCGCGTATTCGTCGACCAAAATGCTTCCGACATACAGAAAGCAAGAGTGTTTATGTAACGTATAAATCCTAACTATTTGACCGACAAGGCTCTCGAGTAACTCACGAACCTAATAAATTCAATGTTAAGTAAAACACACCCAAAATACACTGCGATCCTCACTTGCTGACTTGCGCATCGCAACATGAACCTCACGCTACGGCAACATCTTTCCATAATTCTAATGTCGCTTTGATATTTATCAAACGTTTTCGACAATACTGGCCACACTTCTAATACCACAACTTTGCAAGGATGAATTTCATCTTTAAACAAACATGGAGTAATATAGTAAAGAGCGAGATAGATGGAAGTGATGGAAATGTTTTCTACTCACCCTCACCCAACCCTGTGATGTTTATATGCCTTAAAACGGAACTCAATCTATCTAGCCATAGGACCGGATCAGTTTTAGTTCCCCGCACCGGCACGACATCTTGTTCCATTAACTGGCATAGAGGATTGAGTTGCATCATGCACATTTCCCGTATTGCAGCTGTGACTTCGCCAGGTGGAAGACACGTCACTATCGAAGCCACTCCTACAATTTGAGGCCCAATGAGAACCAATGAATGTGAAAGGTAGGGGGTTCTCTAGGTAATCTTAATAACATATTTATATTTCCCCTACTCATTACATCCGTGTTTTGAAAACAAATAATACACAAAATTGTGCGTGTTTGCGTGCAATTACAACTTAACAAATAGCGAAATAATGTTTCTATTGGTGTTCAAACATATTTAAAATTAATAAGTGTTGACAAAATTAAAATAACATTAACACGTCCTCAAATTGCTAAAAAAATATTATTTATATGACATCTTGAAAACAGTAAAAAGCATAAAAAATCGCAAGAATTTATTTCTTACTCTAAACAAAAAAACTTCACAATTTTTTTTAAAAGCCACTTTACAAAAAAATACAGGTTTACTGCCCTGTATTTAAAATACAAAATTAGTTGGTTTATTTTTTTTAAGCGACCGACGGGAAAACCTTTAATGAGGACTTTTAACAATTAACAATTAAGGAATAACGAACATGACAATCTGTTGTGTACTTTAAATTAATGCACTTTAAATTTTGTATATTCTTTCGATATCAATGCCCAATTTTATTCAAGTTTACTATCAACTAATTCTTTAAAATTGTGTTCCACGTAATGTTTAGAGCAAAATTAGGGCAATTTCTAGGAATCAAAATTAAAATTTTTTGTTTTTTAAAGGATAACTTAAAATTACTTTTTATTTCTGGAATTTCTTGACATCTTATTTTTTGAGATTACTTGTACGCTTAATCTGAATTGAACATGTAAATATTACAATTTACATTAAGATTTTAAAATAAAATTGACTATAATACACTAAATCTATAAATGAAATAAAGTAGAGTTCTCCAAATCATATACCGTTTTTACAACCTTTTATTAATGTGACTTCGGAGTGAGTTTAAGACCCGCCTCTTGTAAAGCGGAAGAGACTATTCTGTTCAACACGTGTACTATAAACCAGGACCGTATTTAAGATGTTAGCCGACAAAAACTGTACCGTGTGGACTGTTGTATTTTAAGAGTATGGAAATTATGTTTGATTAAACTGTAATATTAATTCATATTAGTGTGATTTTTACAAATCTTCCTAAAATAGTCCCTATTTGAGGTAGCTCGATTCCAAGTTAAATTTGCCCATTAGATAGGTTGATCTCCTATATTAAAAAACAGATTAGATAGCTCAAACTGATTCCCAATTTAAAGGTTTAGCATATTGACACTAAAATATTTTCCTGGAAAAGCAATACAAAATCTTATGTAGATAATTGATTTATAATCGATGTTTTCCCAGTTTGCTATTGATTGATTTGTGGGGGTTGCGGCGAAAAAGTTGAGATTGTGGTTGATGACACTGATGCTGAACATCCTTCAAATTCAAATGGATCAAAGATTCGGACGCATTTGCCGGTTGCTGCCAAAATTATGATGCTAAATGTGTTTCTATTTCTGTAATAAACATCTGGGGAAAGTGGAGGTATAAAATTAACATCCGAGATGACTAAAACACGGTACGCTACAGTACGTGACATAGTTGTGAATGGTGTCCCAGAAATAAAAACGCGGAAAGATCATGGGCTCCCAAAAAGTCTACTTGACAAGCACCATGCCGGAATAGTGAGACGGTTGATATAAGATGCGTATCAGAAGAATATTGCTTCAACAATTAAAACTTTACATGAACAGTTGCGTAGTGTTTTGAACATTGACTGTTGCTTTGGGTGCGTTCGTATGAAGAATTGGTTTTTATTACAAAACCATCAATAAGAGGCAGGTTTCGATGGAATCAAGAAGAATTTCGGAGTGGAAGACAAGATATTTGAGAGAAATCGAAGAAATTCGTGCCAAAAAGAGAGACCTGGTTTGATAGCCGAGATACCGCCAAGAAAGGATGGACTGATGGTAACAGCAGGAAATATTCGTCGGATGTGCCAGTTTCGCGGGGCAAACGGGGACGCGAGCTATCATTCCGGACAAGAGAAAAAAATACCAAATTCATCAACGACTAAAGTGGATCATTCAATTTTTTTTGCTTGAAAATGATATGTATTTTGAAAAGTTCTACACAAAGAAGGAGTTACTGAAAGTTCTTAAGACGGGAGCGTTTTAATTGTCGGTCTTCCACCAAATCACTGCAATTTTAATGCGATAGAACTGATATGGGGACAGCTGAAACCCAGTTTAATAGGCAATAGAATTAATTAAAGGTGAAGTAGAAAAAATATGTGCTTGCAGTTGGAAAAAATTTGTTAAAACTCACACGCAAATCCGTCTTCTTTCAGCATTTGTATGTACAAGGTACCGAAGTAGGGTTCTGGAACGTCATTGTGGAATTGCGAATTTATTTATTGAGCAACCCAAGCGAGGTATGCCTGCGGTTAGACCTTCATAAAAATTTACCAAAATTAAATCCCGGATTATGTCATAAAAACGGTATATAGTTTGGAGAACTCCACAGCAGGTACCATTTAAACTAAGCAAGGTTTTTACACATTCATGTAAAAACCATGACTTGCACATTTTACAGGAAAACAACATGTGAGAAACAAACCCTTGAACAATCCCATAACCGCATTGTTGGTAATCGCAAATGTATCAGCCTGCTGCAGTAACTGCAGCAAGATGGGAACGTGACGAGGCATGTGGTCGCTACATGTACCGCATATATTTTGTAGGGCTACGGCAGCTGCGGCACCTAAAATATATATGAAGCAACTTTAATGCTCATAGCAAATCCATTTCCCACATTCTCACCTACACCTGGCCGACTAAGGCCAACAACCAGAAAATTTAAAATAGGATCCAAAACGACGGGATGCTTTTCAATCCATTCACATAATTCCCCGAGGAGCAGTACTGAAGTATGCTGGACGGCAATATGGGTAGAATCCGGAATATGTAGTATCGCTTCAACTACCTTTGGAACAACTTCATTCTCGCTCCTGAAAATGACACCTTCACTACAGCAAGATAAAAACTGACCGCCATATTTATATATTTAAGACAAGCCTAGAAAATTAAACCTTGGTTTAATGTAATTTATGCATCACCCCCTCTTTTGTTCATTATCCTTTGGCTTTATTACATTTTTATGTTATTGTGAAATAAATATCAACAAAATCTCTATTAAAATGGTTTATAGCTCTCGTCTGTTTTATGGTTACTAAACTTGATCATGGATGTAATAGATTTATCTTACTATATTTTAAAAGTATTCAATTTAGAAAATTTTTAATAATAATAAAGTTATAGCAACAGCTTAAAAAATTGATATCCCTACGTTTTCTATATTTCTCCTGATTTCCAGGTAATCCAGATAGTCTTCAATAAATAAAGCACAAAATAATAGAGCAAAAATGTTACTCACGGCAAGACATTTTTAGCGACAGCCTGCATTACGAACAAGGCAGCCTCGCTTTGATCCCACGTTACATTGACGGCTTGCAAATTGATAAACATTTGCCTAAAACAACTGCTGCTCCCGACTATAAAGACAACATCCTTAATTAAATCCGAAACCTTCAATCGGAAATCCTTAAACTCGTCGCCATCCTCCAACAAGCCTAAAACCGAGAACATATCCTTGTTTACTAGTTGAAATTTTAAAAAGCTCAATTTTACTACAATCAGTCTCGAGTTTAAGCCTACATAATGCTGACATGATACATTATTCAAATATTACTAAATAAAAATACACACAATACCTTCCTGGTCAGGTTCCATTTGACAATGTCTACACAGGGCTGTTATTAATCTTTCAATATAAGGCCTGAATAGTTCTGTCAATTCTTTATTGTTTTTCTGATAAAGTTCTTCACTTAAGACATACCAAAGATTAAACGTAATTTCAGCCACCTCATAATCATGATGTCCAACACATATTAAAACCAAATCAAGTATTTTTATTGCATAGTGCATACTGTTAGGACCACTATTTGCAATAATTTTTTCAAGAAAAGATTCTGCAAGTTCTGTAAATAGTCTGCAGTAATCTACTGATTTCCCTTGATCTTCATTTGCAACAGACAGGTGATACGGAACTTCCAAATGCATGATATTGTTAAATAAATAGTTCTCTAGTTCTTGTTGATTGTTATTATCTTCCAAACATTGAAGTAGTGTACAGATGCATTCAGTTGCGGCATCACAGAGTGCTCCTGGTGTCTACAACAAATGATGAAAGTATTAACCTTAATTACCTTAAAAATGTAGGTAGCAGCTTAGGAATGTCGAATATACCTGCTTGTTTTCAGGTGGTCTTGTATCTAAGATTTGAAAAGCCAAATTAATAACAACATTCTCTGTTAGTCCTTCCAAACTAACGGCACCAACTGACACCCATGAAGTGAAACATCTTATAGTTCTGGCTATTATGTGAATACTGTCATTAATATTTTGACTATATGTAATGCAACAGTGTTTTAGGAACTCAATTACTGTTGGAGCGCATAACTTTAGATCTTCCAAAACCTCAACTCTTCGATTTTCACCTAAACTAAAACACAATTTAACACTGGTCCCTAATCAACTTTCATCAAACTAATGACAAATTTTTACATACCGTACTGATCTACTTTCCAGCTCTTCTGGTAAAACTGTCAAAATTTCTAATAAGGGCCAAACATATGGCTGTGAAGAAAATCTGTTTATTAAATCTAGTGATGCTCGTTGCCATGATGGCATCTGTAAAATCAAATCAGCCAATGCTAAACACAGTTGTGTTATAATAACTGTGTTTGTTCCTTCATTAATTTGACTAATATGTTCTAATAGCGAATCCCTTAAAGAAACATGTACTTCTGCAGGGAGTTCGTAAAACGACTGATGCATTTTTGTTCGCATAGTTTGTGCGGCAAAATAACATGATTCTAAATCTCGTTTTTGGTGCAGCAACTCGTCTGCAATTGTCCAGGCATGCACCTGCAATAATATACCCTAAAAATCGGCTTAAATCACAAACCAAAACTTACAGATTTTTGCAGATCCAACAACCATTTCGAAGCTTTTTCTTTTTCTTTTCTGTCTGGATTTTTATATAAAGTTGATACTGCTAATACTACAATGTCTAGGTTAGGTTTTTGATCCATAATAAAAACTACTAATTAATTAGAAGACCCGTAAAAATTCGTATCATCTTAATAATATGTGGTACAGTTTATGCAACAATTTACACCGGCACTTTTACAAACTTTAGGGTGAAAAAATAGTAAACCTTCAATAAAAAGAAAGAGGAAGAACACAAACAGATATACAGCTTTAACCACTGAGAACAACCTCCTCTGCAGAATATGAATTGGTAAGTCAGTATAATCACCCGAACTGAAACCTCAATTGTTACGCGAGGTTATTGTTTTTTTTTTAAACCATACGAACAAAAGATACATATGTATAAATAATTTCTAATATTAAGTGATTCTAACAAATTTGATAAATGTCTTTTTAGCTAAGAGTTTGATTGGACGTGAACGGAGAGCGTACTTAATAAACGAGTGCCTGAAGAAGTTTATCAACATACTTTTTCTACGGCTATTTTATATATATTTGTATATTTTTACCAAACACGAATACATTCACTGAGTGACGTACAACGTGCTGTCAGAATACACAAGCGTCAAAATAGCACCCATGACTAAAATTTACTGAAATATCCGATCGCTCCCAAAGCTGCTCTACCTACACAGTAGGAGGCGCCATTGTCCCAAGTGGCTCGCGACAGTGTTTGTTGAAGTGACACTTTGCCCATATCTAAATGAATGTTTGCGTATTTTAAAGTAGGGAGTAGAAAAAACTATTTTGCAAAAGTTTGCCTTTTAGGAGGTAACGAAACTCTTATTAACGGAAAACAATTGACGAAAGTATTATGACGAGTGATTTGTACCCGACAATTTCACCCACAATCGAAAATTTGGAAATGGACGCCAAACCAAAAAAATCACCACTATCCTGAGCAGATAGATTTACTTGTATCGCCGCTAGAAGGCGTTTTGCGGCATCATTATAAAATAAAATTTATTTTCTCAAAATTGCACTTTTATTCCAAAAAAAGATAGCCAAATAAGAGTTCAACAGGCTAGTAAAAATGGTATTTCGATATCTTAGTGCTAACCTATAATATAAGCATAAGAACCAAAAACTTGTCGTTTCTTTAGAAATATTTTCAGTATACCTGCCAGCATTAAATTTTATATTTTAAATGTCAATAATAATTAAATGAACTTCCACACTCTAAAACCATCTACAAAACTTCTGGATTCCTCTTGCCTTGGTTGTTGAATCTAACTTGCTGACATTTCGCTAATCATCCTGTTAGTAGAGATATGTATGCTCTGGGATCACCCCACTCCTCTACCTTTTTGTGGGCGTGTCCTCCTTCCCCACGACTTCCTAGCTGTTTCCCCAATGGCTGTAGACCCCGCTCACTTTACCCATAATCCTTTGAAACTCGCCCCATTGGATAAGCAAGCACCAATGTGGGTTTAATCAATCCCCCTCCTCTAGTATCCTACCCCTTAACGATGGCGGTGAAGCCCAGATATTTTCCCACCCGTAAGAAAAGCAATGGCGGCCCCAAAGGTGTCAATGAGACTTAACATGATCATATTGTTCGCGTGACCATCAGCACCCTCTAGCGGTTCGAATGCAAACTAGTGTCCCCCTTAGAATGAGATTTTCTGTAATAAGATAGCCCCACCTAGTGAATATTGACCAAAACATTTATTTTAAAAACATAAAGTTCTGCGAATGTTACCCTCGCGGATACTAACTGTACTTTTTACTATTGCGCACAAGGACAGTGGGGAAATAAACACAAAAAGTGTTGGATTTATTTTTTCGGAACTGGAAGCTGGTTGGCACCACCAATAATATCTTCAAAACAAAACAAACAACAAACCATGAATGCAACGATTATTTTTAATAATAATTCATCTTTCGCTATGACACGAAAACATCGATTTTTTAGTTCTGTTCTTTGACTAAATCCCCACCTTTTGAAAAACCAACCTCTAAAAATAGTTAATTTTCTCTAATATAAATTTGTACGTTTTCCGCAATGTGTGTGAATATTTTTGCTAGATCATTTAGTTATTCGGTATATGTCCTAATCAATATTTTAAAAATATAATTCTAATGATATGTGTTTACGATTTGAAGATATCGAAACTTTCGCCGGTTTTATAAATGATAGCACACTACCAAACTACTAAACAACAGAGCACAAACTAGCAAACTACGCCCCCCTTATTTTTCATTTTCCACGTCATAATTACAAATTCCAAATGGGAGTAGGGGCTCCTAAAGTATTGTAGGTACATCTCCTTCAATTTTCTTAAGAAAAAAGTGACACAATTACTCGACGTAATACGATCCGGGTCGTTAACGCGTCTCAAGATGGGGTGTAAAGATGCTGAGGCCTTTAAATTGATTCCCCTTATTTCTAAAATAAAAAATTGTTAACTCTTAGCACAAAAGAAAAATATTTTGTCACCTATTATATTTCTGGGATCATTTTCAGAATTTGTCCAACGTAGACTCCCCAAGAGGATAGGTCCGTGATTTCGAAAAATTTTCAGGTCTCGCCGCTATGCATTTGTACCAGAAGCAGGGCTGGATTAACAGCAATTACATTCTTGTCAGTAAACACACAACCGCCGATTGAATTCTCGGATTCTGCTTTACTAGTTGCCATTAACCATTAGAGGTTCGACGAATACAATGTTCATTCAACCAGGCCGCGAGGGCAGTTTCGAAAATTGTTGATTCTCCGTTATGCAAATCTAAACGGAGCAGGCTCGATTTGTCAGCAAATACACAACTCGCCGATTCAATTTTGAGATGTTGCTTCATGAGTTACCATGATCTGTCAAATATTTCAATTAAAAGAAAAGATCTATTATTTAGCAACAATATACCTTTTTAAAAATAATTTCGCCTTTTTCAAGTTCAACAGGACACGTGTGTTCGCTTCGAAATGTTTTGTAGTCTATAGGCCTGTCGAATTCTCCAAAATTCGTTAGACCTTCAGATATTTTCAAAATTTGTCCAACGCAGACTTCCACGCACACAGTTTCGAAAACTTTCAGGTCTACCCGCTATGCATTTGTACACGAAGCAGGGTCGGACTATCAGCAAACAGCACATCCGTCACTTTTCTTCTCGGATTCTGCTTCACGAATTGCATCGATCTTTCAAATATTTAGCGTAATAAAACAAACTTATCTATTACTTTTTCCAAAAATGAATTACCTATTGAAAATAGGAGCGCCGTTTCGAGTTCGAAAGGTTTCGTAGTTTATAGCCCTGTCGAAATGTCAAAAATTCGTTAAACCTTCAGGCATGTTTGCCCAACGTAGCCTTCCGAAAACTTTCAGGTCTTCCCACAGTGCATTTGTACACGAAGCAGGGTCGGATTGTGCGGAAACAGCACATCCGTCACTTTTCTTCTCGGATGGTGCTTGACGAATTACATCGACCTCTCAAATATTTAATAAAAAAAAATATCTGTTTTGCCAAAAGTACGTGCTCTTCTAAGATAAAATAGCTCTTCTCGAGTATAAGCGGACACGTATCTTCAACTGTAGGATGTTTAATATTATATTTTCCACTGTCTACAAATTAGTAAACAACAGAAGCTGCCGAATACCATATAAACCATATTTTTAATACGCTGGCGGACGTACGACCGTCCCCAGAAATTACCATATTTAAATTGTTACTATTGATATATTTATATTCCGAACTCTAATTAATACATGCAAAAAAAACTAGCGAATGTTATTTATTATCGCCGGGGATGGATTATTAAGAAACATTTAAATAAATCTACCTTCCTGTTTCTCTTTTTCTGTATAGTTAACTCATTCTCTCTATATGTTACTTTCCACAGCCCGAATATACACTTTGTTCTCAAAATCTTAAAATTTTATCTGCTTAAATTCTTGCGTTGTTCATATGGCTGCATGTTTTGGGAGATATATCGTGCGTTATTTCTATTAAAATTCTGCTTCCTTTTTGCCTACTTCAAAAATGTAAGCGATCATTTTGGTTGTTTTATTAAACAAAAATGGATACTAAACAAGATCTGGATCTCCGACCTCAGCCTCCTTTGCTCACTCCCCTCGATGGCCAGTTTTTTTTTAATTATGTATAGAAACCTCGTCGAGCATATACATAATACTAGGTCAAAATGTTTCGCCGTTAGTCATTAAAATCGCAATTTCGAAAGCTCCTACCTATTCTTTTCTACTTTTTTTTATTTATCCGTATATGAAATCCATAATGAACACAAAACTAAAACTCGTTCGCTATATTATATTAAGCAACAAACGTGGATAACAGAAACACAAACCCTTAACACAAACGCTTCTAGAAACTTCGACTGACACATGAAACAACTCGCATTCCTACGAAGGGCAGGTATACCAAGCAAGTAAAATTTAAGCTACCCTGCAGTGTCGTCTTAGGTTCGGGCTTAGTAAATAACGAATACAACAAAGCGGTCATTTTTAATAATTTAATTTGCATTTTATTTATCTTAGGTTAGTTAGTTAGGTGGTTATCGACGTACCTATGAGACCAACTGCGCGATTGCGCCTATTAAATAAATGCCTCAAAAATGCATGTGGGTCTGTATGCCAGATATTCGCCCCAGTTTATCCTTATTTCTTTGTGTTCGAAATAAGGAAGTATTTTAAAAAGTGGGGAGGGTAGCAGAAGCAAGTATAAGTTTACTTTCAAACGCTCAGTGTTATGCGGCTTGTGATGCCTCTTCGAAAACCATGGGTTTTTACCGTTGCATATTGAAATGCCGGGTTAAAATTTTTTGGTTGCATGTTGGTTAAAGGTGGTAATTTACCTGGTTCAATGTTGAACCATTGGACATTTCTTTTTCGAGATTTTCAGTTGCCGTTTTAGCAATACTTCCTCGTTTCCAGTGCCATAGTTTATCTCTTTTTTTTCGGCATATTCTTGTTTTATGAAATTTTGATCTTTTTATGCCAATTTTGACGTTTATCTAATTTTTTAGAACTAAAAGTAGTTCAATAGAAACATTAAAGGCGAGATAATGCCCGGAAGCTGTTGTATTAGGTATGAAAAAAGTCCATTTGAATGAAGCAGATGCTTCTTTTGTCCCTACAATGTACAAGAAAAAACCTGTCTAACCATAGCAAAATGGGACCCAAAACTGTGACACTAGACGAGAGTATGCGTGATTTGGAAGTTAAATTTTAATAATCCATTGCAAAATATTCACAATATATATAGGAGTCAATTTTTATAAAAATCGGAGGTCAGTGTCGGAGCAATAAGGGTAGTTTCGATACTGATTAGGACATGTACCGAGTAACTAAATGATCTAGCAAAAATATTCACAAACTTTGCGGAAAACGTACAAATTCATATTAGAGAAAATTTTTTAGAGGTTGGTTTTTCAAAAGGTGGGGATTTAGTTAAAGAACAGATGTAGGCTAAAGGGAGGCACTATGATAAATGATAGAACTAAAAAATCGATGTTCTCGTGTTATGGCGAAAGATGAATTATTATTAAAAATAATAGTTGCATTAATTGTTGTCACCATTTGTGAAAAGTATGGAAATCATCCGCTAGGTTCGCATACCTTTTTACAAAATCAAGTAATTAAGTAAATTGGTAAATTATTTTTTAATGTTGCTAACAAAATACACAGACAGAAAAATTCAGATACTGTTCGTTAATATAGCGCATAAAAAATTAGGAAAGAGAACGATTCGTGTATGGCATGGCATACGTAGTTAGTACGTAATATTAGTCTGAAGGCTGCAAGACAGTGAAAAAGTGATGCGTTTAATTATGGTTCACAGAGGCTATTTGGGGTGTAGAAGTTTTTCTTTGAATGGGGTTCAAATAGCGTCTCCTAGAGAGTTAGCAGAGAAGGGTATTACAGTATTTAGCATGAGCGTCCAGATTTCATTGTTGTTGAGATTGCCACAGAAACACACTTTCATGTAGTAGTAGCAGCAGTAAAGTATACGACTTTTTAGATGGCTCTCGAGTTTGGTTCATGGGTTGATCGGAGATTAGAGAGTAGATACAGATAAGTTACGAAAAAAAAGTATGTACACTATCCTCGAGGATCAGCAATAAACAAAAGAAATTGATGAAATAGTAAGGTTAACTGCGATAAATCATCGATGATAGATAAATTAACTTTGTAAATATTAAATAATAAAAATAAAATTAAAATAGCAAAGAAAACCTTAATGTCCATATTTTTAACCACGGCCACCTACACATAATATTTTCGAAATATGAACTTTTCCCAGATAACTAGTCATAGTCAAAGAATGCTGAAATATGTATGAAGTTAACGCAAGCTTAGTAAATTAAAACATGTATATGGTTTCTAATATCCTACTTTATTAATGAAAATTTTAACCATGCTTTTGTTTTGCAGATATTATTGGTGGTGCCAACCAACTTCCAGTTAGGAAAAAATAAATCCAACACTTTTCGTGTTTATTTCCCCCCGTCGTTTTGTGTCCAATAGTAAAAAGTACAGTTAGTACCCGCAAGGAAAACATTCGCAGAACTTTATGTTTTTAAAATAAAGGTTTTGGTCAACATTCACGTTATTAACTTACCTTAATCTAAGAGGGACACTAGTTTATATTCGAACCGCTAGAGGGTGCTGATGGTCACGCGAACAATATGTCAATCATGTCAAGTCTCATTGACCGGCATTGCTTTTCTTAGGAATGGGAAAATATCTGGGCTCTGATTGGCTTCGCCGCCATCGCTAACGGGCGGGATATTAGAGGAGGGGGATTGATTAAACCTCCATTGGTGTTGGACACGACCACAAAAAAGGTAGAGGAGTGGGGTGATCCCAGAGCATACATATCTATACTCATATGGCTACTTAACTAAGTAAAAAATGGCAGGATATTCTACCAGCCGTTTTTTATTAATTGTGTGCAGTAGGTATTGCAATAAGGGTTTAATTGTAAATAATGTAAAGTACACATCACCGAGAACAACTTTTAGGGATACACTTGTGTGGGATCATTAGGCGATGGGTCACTTCGCACACGGTGTTTTAAAACATGCAACATTTCGCGTAGACGACTTCCGAAACAAAAGTAAAAAACGCGACGCCATATCCAACGAGCAGTATTAGAAACGCTGTCCATATCGTCGTCAAAGAAAACGCCTTTCCCTCCATCGAAACCGTTTTCTGTCTGTATTTGTGGCTCAATATGACCGCCTCATTAACGTCGCTTTCCCATTTGGTCAGCAGGCCGGTCTCTTTGTACTCGGCAAGCATCTGATTCAACACGGAAAACAAGACGACACCTTTCCGCGTTATAAACGACAAGCAGTAGGTCATTAGTTCCTCCTCCAGGATGTGGAGCAGCGGTTGTCCATTCTCGTCTACGTATATAGCGGACACAAATATATTTGCGTCTTTAAACCGTTCAATGGATGCTGACTTTCTCCCAAATGCAGTGAGCGCCAAAGAAGTGCTGTTGCTGGTGTTGTAGCTCGTTTTGTTACTTAAACTTTGCAACGCCGCAGACGAAATTATCTCCTTCAACTTGGTACGGACGGAGAGCCCCGACTCATCCAACTCTTCCAAAGTGTTTATGTCGTCGAAGTACGCCGGTGTGGTAAACGCATCGAACAAGATCCCCGAAAATATGGTCGACATTATGGTATTGAACATTAAACAACTAATAAAGAGAAGACGTCTGTACAATTGCCGTTGTTTGGAGGTTGGTATTTCGGGCGTGGATTGGGAGATGATTGCGCCGTAGATATTTATCCAGACGAAATTTCGAGATCCGGGAACAAGGTTTTCCGTGGCGTTTAACACTAATGCCAGACCCACAAAAATTCCGATAAGATACCACACCTGCACGCTGAGGGCGTTGTAAATCTTCAACGAAACGGGCACCTCTGCAGTCGATTTCGGCGCTATCATGCAAATCTTGTCGCAGTAGTAGTTATACGTGCTGTCGTAAGGTAGCGTATCCTTCCAGCTGTGGAAACGCCCGTTGCCTGATATATCTATTTCGTTACTTACTATTCTATGAATGGCCCCCGTAGCGGAACCATTTGGAAACAATGTTCCGAAATCGTTGACTTTCGCAGTGGTCGAAACAATGAGCGTAAAGTTTAAGTGCAGCGCTAGATGATAAAAGATGATGGGATCCAAACCTAGCAAACCCGTTGCTCTCTGAACGCTCCGGTAGAGAGGGTTCGAGCGCAGTAACTTGGGTAATCTGTCCATGCTGGAGAAGTTTCTGGGGAAAAAACCCACGCGCACCGGGTACCCGCGCAGGTTTTTCAAGTTGTTCGTCAGCAAGACGTTTTCGATTGGCGTTCGAATGTCATGAGCTTCGGCCGAGCCCCAACAGTTGTTGAAGTTGGTGAATCCGTTGTAAATGTACAGGTAATCCGAATATTCGGAACAGGGCGCGTGGATCAGGTACGCTATCGGTTCAAAGATGGTCCATACCATGGTCAGCACTTTAATTACCGTCTCGAGAAATTTCGGAGTGGCGTCCTGTACTATGAGCAGGTGTACCCTCCTGTGGAAAGTTTCCGGTTTATTTTCGACGAGCAGCATGGTCTTCCAATACAGCTCCTCATTTTCGAATACCTGCAGGAGACCGTTGACAGCGTCTAAGTGTGCGAAAAAGTTGGATTCTTTCAGTTCCACCCTCTCCTCGTTTCGCGGTAGGGGTCGGAGGTTGATTTTGTCGATGCACACTTTCACATCGTAATTTTTGGGACCGCGTATGGACTTGGGTTTAGCCCAGGGATACATGAAATCACGTAGCAGTACCGTTCGACTACGGTTCCTTTCGAACTTCCGCACGATGGCATTGACGAGGTCATCCATGACTTGCGGCCTGCCACCCTCATGGACTGCTTGAACCAATACGTGGTTTGATTTGAAAAATAACTGCTGGTAAATATTTAAGTAATAGTCCTCGGTAGCGCAATCGTAGGCGGAAGGGGCATGTTTCAGTTTGGCCGAGATCACGCAGATCAGCTCGAACATCATTGCGAGCCTCATGGCTGTTTGCTCAAGTCTAAATGCCGCTAAGCAGCAAATCCTATAGGGACAACTTAAAACTAGTGTATGACATGGATATTTAGGTTATCGCTGAATCTCGGCTTTCATGATTATCTATAATTGTAGCGCTCAATCAGATACGAAGAACAGGAACAAAGCAAAACACAAAGCGCTCGTGTGGAACATCAGAGGAGGAAATGGTGGAAGGGTACCTTGTTTTAACTTCGAATTTATTTGTGAGCGCCTATAGTTGGCGTTAAGTTATTAACTTTATTCGAGCAAGTACTTTATAAAAATCAAAATAGATCCGGCAAATCGTGGCACAAATTGCCACAATTTCATTTCAATTTTCGAAGCGGCAGTCTGTATTTTCTTTAATTTTCTTGTCGAACCCAGCAACCATTTATTGGAAATTTTCCATTTCAAATTCATATGTGGTGAATTAACTGGCAATATGTAGATACATAATTCAATTTTGTTCATAGACTGATTGCTCCTCTTACATAAACTCCCTGGATTCTATTCTGATTTGTTCTCGTAATTCGAAACTTTGCTAAATGAAAGTCGGTAGCTTCTTCTGGGGGCTAATCCATGTAAGATTTGGTATTCCACAGGAAGCCGCTGCTGCCCACTGTTGTCAAATAATATACTGGGCCCTACTTGGGTAAAAATTGATACGCCGCTAGGCATATTTTGAGAAAGAAAAACGCCGCATTGAACCTGTACTATCTCTAGTAGCAATAAGGTTGTCACTAACATAGTAACTGCAGCACGCCTTTGTTCGGTTGGTTGGTTGGCTGCTGTGCAATAAATAAATATTCATAAGTGCTACTATATAAACTTTTTTCGCAATGCAAGTAGGTTCGAGTATAGTTATTCTATTAATGATAAAATTTTTGAATTTTTAGATCGTTTTCAGAACACTCAATAGTATCTGATGGGTAAGTGCAAATAAAATTCATTTTATTTTTCATTATTTTTCAGTTACTAAACTCTATAAGCTTAACTAAAAGTGCAAATGTACAAAGGACAACTTTGAATCTTAGATAAAAACATAATGGTTAGGACACATCAAAAATGTGACACCCGGTATGCTCCGGCAAACCTTTTCCTGCATTTAACGTTTGACGTTGTCCGTCCCGAATTTTCAAATAATTAGCACTTCTAGTAAGAGTGATTATGCTACCAACATTTGAACCCCAATCGCACGAGTATTATCCTTTAAAAATGGAATAAGAGCAAAGATTTCGGGATTTGACAAATTTTAGGGCCCTTTCTGTCCAAATACATTTGAAAGATAGAGGTGTCAAGCATATAAAAATATCCGAGGCGCAAAAAGTGTACCAAGTATATGAATTCATTCAGCAAATTGGACACGGATCGTTTGGAGTCGTAGTTTTAGCGATAGAAAAGAATAACAACAAACACTGGGCGATAAAGATAGTCAATAAAACCATTGTAAGATATGCAATTAATCGCATCAAGTGTTGCTAAAGTAAGTTGCAGGCGGGCGCGAGCAAATTAACTGAAATCGGCAGAGAAATTAAAATATTAAAGTTGGTAAACCATCCCAACATAATTTACTTGGACAAAGTTTACGAGTCACCGAAAAAAATTTACATGGTGCTCGAACTGTGCAAGAAAGGGCTCAACGACGTTTACCTCCAAAAGAGGCCATTTTCCGAAAAAGTGAGCAAGAATATTTTTATTCAACTCGTTAACGCCATCTGGTACTTGCATAAAAACGGTGAGTGAAATAAACAAAAGCCTTTTGCGATGATGGCAATGACATATCATCGTGTTTTTAGACATTGTACATAGAGATGTAAAAATGGACAACATACTCATAGCAAATAACCCAGACGAAAGAAACGACGAATATTACATAAAATTGACTGACTTCGGATTAAGCGTTGTAAAAACTGGAGTCGGCATAGAAAGTTTTATGACGGATTATTGCGGAACTGTTACTTACATGCGTGTGTATACATATATGCAGGGTGATTCGCGTTACGTGTCCTATTAAAGTGTGCAGAATAAACAAAGTGAAAAAAGTCGGTATATGGTATGAAATGCCTGAAATGCGTTTCCAAATGTACCAAAAAGTAATGGCAACATTGGAATTGAAATGAAACATCCTATATTACATTTTATCACATATTCGGATGCATTTGTAGTACCTTTTAAACATCTACCTATACCAATCACCGAGATTTTTGACAAGAATTAGTTCATAATCGCTATCCTAAGAGCATTTATATATATATATATATATATATATATATATATATATATATATATATATATATATATATATATATATATATATATATATATATATATATATATATTCACGTATTGATTCACGGATGGAAAAATGTGATGACACTATATTCCGGGATATCAACCGTTCGCTTGTTGAACTCCGATTGGAATCCTGCAGACGTTTCGCCAAAATCTCACTTGGCATCTTCAATGCTCGCGCTCCGAAAACACTTCGAACACTGTGTTATATACCAGAATTCGTGAATATAAGGCATGTTAATTCATCAAACTAATTATCAAAGCTGAAAGAAATAAATGGTATTTCTGATTCACAGATGTTTTTCTCAAACTCAAAAATGTTTTTCTTCAAATAGAAAATAACAAAACGCCCAAATTTATCCCTTTGTGTGAAATGTTCTTGAACGAATTAGGTTTCCTCCTCTGCTTATATACTCCAGTCATATATTTTCCATCAAATCGACAGTTTTATTTTATTTCATTGTTTTCATTAAATTAAGACAAAGACAATGAAAAATGTGAATGATGTTTCATTTCGGAAGATATAAAAATATATTTTTTTAATCATGTTATCATGTTATATTATGATTACTGAAATGTTTATATGACACAGTAATGGTTTTTCTAATTTAAGGCTCCCCCATTATCTCCTATAGCACGTAAATAATTATCACATAGTCTGTTTTTTTAACACGCTGTATCTACCTACTTAATCGTTCTCAGCTATTGCCCCTCTACATAAGGTTTCTCGGCACCTATATTCGATTAATTTTTTCCGTAATATTCGCTTTTATTAATCACATACAAAAAAACGTTGAGTTATCGCTATCTAATTGAGCCTCGAGTACAAAATAAAAGTGTTACCTATTAACTTTAATTTAACTTTAAATTGTTATTAATAAGAAATTTTGGCATTTTTTCTTTCATTTATTGACATCAGCCGATGAAGAACGAATATAAAATGAAATTAAGGATACACCAGTAATCTAGTCTTCGACAAAGGAACAAGTAAAAGTTAAAAAAAACTTTTTTCAAGATCTGAGTGAGGCATATTACGAAATTCACGAATATAATTCATTAACGGCCAAACCCTTTCGTAGTAACCCAAACAAATTTTAAATTTATCAGGGTATTCAATCAATTATTAAAATTAAAAACAAAAATTTATCAGTAGATAACGAATATGTCGGAAAAGTTAAAACGTTAGAAATAGGGAAACCTTAACATAAGTGGGGGGGAGGACAATTATAGCCGATCTCGATAAACTATTTAGATACAGGTACTCCAAATACAATCAGAGAAAAATTAGTTTAAAATACCTCGCGTTGGCCGGTGAATTCTTAATTATACATTTGATTATTTTAAGGTCCATTTCTCATATTTCAAAGGGTGGAAGGAGAGTTATAGGAGATAAAAAACATGTAAATTTTTCAAAGAAACTCCCATACGCTGTGGAACTTCTAGGTATACTCCTGCTTTTGCCCTGCACGGGATTTGGCTATCTTGCCGAAATTACACCAAATCTGCTAGTTTTAGTTTTCCGAATAATATCCACTGTCGTAACCCGAATCTCTTAACCTAACCATGAATGAATCTGACCTCGCTTCCCCCAAACAATGATCATGTTACACCATATTGCGCTAACTAATCAACTAACTTTAATGTCTGAAAAATAAAGTACCTACTAACTGCCCGAATAGTGCTTTCGGGTGAAGATTCGTATTAAAACCGAGGCGTTTATTTTAAAAATGTCCAAAATCTACGAAATTACGCATTCGGTCCCATCCCTGAATAAATTTTCTTTTCTTTGAAAATATCACGAGTTTGTTTTAACCATCATTTCTTAAAAACTTGTAAAACGAGTTAAATACGTCTTTTTGTTCCTTTTCTGAAAAATTTAAATTTATTTTTTTTAAATAAACGCCTTAATTATTTTTCAAAAATGGAAATATAAAATGTAAATATAGGGCAAACCATTTGTAGCCATTGTTTTTGCTATGTAGTAGTAGAGTACCTTTCGGGTTTACTCTATTACAAACTACATTAAGGAGGTCCCTAATACATAGGCATATCTAATTTGTTGCGTTTGTATTTAAGTTGTCTCATTAATAAAAAATTCTTCATTTACTTTTGCAGCCCCAGAAATCATCGAAATGAAAACTTACAGCGAACTGTGCGACGTGTGGGCAATTGGAGTAATATTGTACATGATGTTGTTTGGGAAACTCCCGTTTGGTGGATTTAACGAGGACGAAATAAAGAGAAAAATATGTACGGAGGAGCCACACTATGACAAGACGGGTGTAAATTCGGAGGCAATAGATCTTTTGCGAACTATTTTGGTAAGATATATTCATCTACTCTCACGAATTGGTTTTATATCTACGGTGAATGTTAGAAAGTGCTGGACAGAATCAGTGGTGTTTTTACTGCACGACATCCCCATTTGCCTCCAATCGACAAGGCAAAATTCAAGATTATTGAAAAATAAAAAAAATATATTTTGAAACTAGCAAATAAGTTTCCACTTCAACCGAAACAGTAATAAAATAGCAGTAGTGCAGGTGTTGATTACCTATTGTTTCAGGAAAAGGATCCGGTTCAAAGGGTGACAGCCGCCCAAATAAAAGAACACCCATGGGTCGATAAAAGGGCCAAAATTATAGGAAAGGATCAAAATATTGTCCAATTGATGAAACGTTTTCGCAGCGAACTAGATCGTGGATCCAATGGGTCTGGGAAAAGCGTTAGAGGACTGGTAATATAAATTATATCTACGATTGACAATACCGGCACCTTAGTTAATTTTTCCAGAGTATTATCATAGATGATTTTGACCAATTATTAGATCCCAACTTAAATCGTTGCGAGTTGCAGACAATAAGGTAATAAATCGATTTGAAGTTAAGCATACAAGACAAGTCATATCCGTGGGAACTCTGTTTCCGAGAAACGAGGTGTCAAAGTTCTCACATTTTTTGTTTCTTACACTTCAAAAAGTTAATATTTAAGGGGCATTTTTTAATACCTGCCGATTGAAACACTTTTGGGGTGGTACTTAATTTAATCGTCCCGAATTTTTTTTTCGACTAGTCGCTGTTGTCTGTTAGTATAGTTAGTGATTTAGATTTGGAATTATTTTGAGACCAACGCGAAAAATTATAACAAAAAAAAACATTTTCAAAACTTTCAAAAATTGTAGCGGGAAATGAAAAAGAAAACACGCAAAATCTTAAAACTATTGTACCTCAGAAACGAAGCTCTCACGGAAATACGTTTATATATTTTAATACGATAAAGATAAAAATAAGATAAGTCGTGCTGCAAAAAACGGTCTCACCCCGTATACCACGAAATCAGCATTTTATTGTTTTCAGCCGTAGACGATATTCGACCAAGAATAATCCGAAAAGGTAGAGAGCAATTTTTGACTTATTTTGCTTAATAAAATTTTTTATAAAATTCCTGTTTTATTTTACCAAAGATAAACAGTTTCCTAAATAACTTCCGATATATTAAGACTATTAGAAAGTCATTTCGAATTCATCTGTCAAACAAGCTGTCCATAATTTAGGTAGCGTGGGTGGAGATGATTCTGCCCTTTTGTCAATCGAACACTCTAATTTTCAAACTACTATTATTAATAATAGTATTATTGTCAAAGCTAATATTGTTCACACATAATTTTTTTAGTACAAAAAAAATTTAGGCTCCACCCATACAACCTCTATCTACTTCTTAGCATAAATATTAAAAATTTAGTTTTTTTTCCAAACTCATTTTTGTTGCTATCTTGTAACATCAAGATTTCATTTTTGCACTGGAAACATCTCACTAAATTGAAACAACTGAACTAACCAAAACTGATGGAATATTAAATTATCAATTCAATAACAATTTAATTTCAATGCAAAAAATAACATGACATTCTTGAACGTGCAGATTTAATTTAAAAAAAAATAAAAACTTGAAAACACCTTGGCTTGGACTCAGTTTTTTGTCTGGTTGATGTACTTTAAAATATCCAAGCTAAAATTTGAATCCCTCTACAAGCATGTGTCACGTGATTCTATCAGATACAAATAATGACAACAGTCTTACATCTGATTGGTCCTTTGGAATTGTGACAGACATGCTATTTTAGTTCCTCCAAACTATCCTTAAGGTAAAAGCGCAAGGTCACACCAACCTACCCAAAGTTACATCAATGAAACAGCCAATTATGAAACAATTTGTATCCATTGTTTATCATTCAAAAAATCATACACCATAGAGTTACAAATTACCGAACGTTAATTAGACAAATTTTTTAGTGAAACATTTTTCTTATTAAAAATATATTGAATCGACGCGCAATTGTCCAATTAATAGTTGTCGAAAAAAATCATGGGTTGGAATGAGGTTGAATCCAAATGACAACACAATTATACGAAAAACTCTGCTAGCTATCAACACTTTGCACCAAATTCCTGTCGACATGAACACAGCGGATAACGGCGCGACGACAGACTTCAAAAATAGACAGGCATTAAGCGAAAGAAAAAATTACTAAAAAGATATCGGACTAATAAAACGCGACCATCGAATGTGTAATTCGCTCATCTGTAGAGTTTTCTGTATAATTCGACAAACATTTGGCAGTGACTTTAAAAATATAATGCATTACAAACACCGCCATTTAAAAAAAAGAAACACAAACATCCAAAATGTAACCAGTTACATGACTTATACTTATAAGAACTCACAAGTATCTAAAAAAAATCATTGACTTTAGACTAATTCCTAAAACTTTAGCCTACTAATGTTTTAAACTTTATTGCCCTTCATCGATACTCCTGTCACACTGATCTCATTACACAATAGCAACAAACCCAATTTTCTCCGTTATAAAAAATAAAATGTGAAATGTTGGAAAATGAAAGAAAAATCAAAAAAACTGATTTTGTACAAAAACAAAGAGACTGTCTGACGAAAGAAAACAAAACTTAAACTAAATTTATATCTATCATTTACATAAAATGGACATTTTTACAAATCGAAGGGAGGATAGTTAAGTAATAAGTTAGAAGAGTCAGGTACCGCGGCTAGCGTTCACACATCGCACGGTCACTGTAAACCAGCAGCAGATTTGGAGCTAATTTGTGGCAAGATGTACAGTTGAATGGTAGACAAAAAAGTGTGTTCATAATCCGGCTGAAGAAAATTCATTCTGACGTGATGGGGGTGTGACATACCATAATGCAATGATGAAACCGACTCTTGAGGCACACAATTTACTTCAAACGGAAAAAATTAATATGAAAAACTAAGAGTTGCTTGGCCACAAAGTAACTCTTGAATTTGCACTGAGATTGTCCGTCACATATCATTTTCACAGGGCAGACGGCGTCCCTGCTCTATTATGCATCGTCCTCCTCTTCATCTACCCCTTCTTCACCTTCTACATCTTCCTCGTCATCTTCTACAAAAGTAAAACTCAAATTAATGTGATTTCTTCAAAAGTTTTAACATTTTCTTTAATTCATTCTACACAAATAAATACAAAGTTCTTTGTTTTTAGTGACGCACCTTCACCTTCAATTTCCTCGTCTTCGCCTTCAGGAATTTCTTCCTCCCCCGTGTCCTCCTCCTCAAGGACTTCTTCCTCCTCTTCATCTAATTCCTCGCCTTCCGAATTAGCACCATTTTCCTCTTTTTTCGCTTTTTTGGCATCGTCCGTTTTGTCCTAAAAGTTAATTTATTTGCGTCTGCGTTCAACTAACCAATATTGTTTCGAGTGGCGGCATGTGATGTATGCGCACGAAACATGCTTATTCAAAAAGTTATGATCAATAGCCTAATTTTTCCACTCACGAAATTTTACCCAATAAAATACTTAAGAAGAGAACTAAAAACCACCATTTAATTAGTTAAAACAATCAAAATGCCAGCCATTTTATTAAATGGCGCTATAATTCATATCTACAACACCACGCCGTCAGAAAACCGCGCGAAGATTTCATAATAATTAATTAATCTGATGTCAACAACCGAACCAATATGATCGCATTTGAAGTAAAAATAAGAAACATGTGCACCCCTCATTCTAGAAATTGCTACATTATTTCACATAGGATGTACAACAAATCGTTAACAAATAATTACAAATGGCGCGGGCGCAACGGCAACCGCACCATTTTCATTGAATTTTGAGAAACATTTTTGTATTAAATCGTGCATCATTAACGACATAAAAACAAATGTATTCACTGACCGATGAAACTTTTAATTTATCCTCAGCACAGGGTACGTTAGCCTATAGCGTATATTGATTTCGCCATTTTGAATCCTCCATTCAACACGCCATGGACGACGTAGCCTCAATACCAGGTATCGCGTCATAATGGCGGGAGGCTTGGGTATCTTGTTTACAATTCTTTCAGCCGGAATTATTAAAAATATGGCAAACAAATAACCAAAAACGAAATATAGCGAAACCTTGTTATAAAAACACTAATATAACAACCTGAATTACTCAAAAAATAACCAAAGATGCTTATTTTTATTATCGGCGTTCCAACTCACATGGCAACTAACAAAATCGCTTTACATAAAAATAGCCGGAAACATTCACAACTCAAAAAAGATTTTCATCGGTCACTTTTTGCTCCACTGGAATTGATAATTGGAAAACTAATGTATTAAATGAAAGTCGACGTAACAAAATATACACGAAAACCAATTTTTCAAATTAACAGAGATAACTTACCTCAGCTGCTCTTTTCGTTCCCTTTAATTCACATTTCGCATCGGCACCCTTGTCATTTTCCAGTTTTTCAACTGCAACTTCTTTGTTTTCCTTTGTACTCATTTTGTTTGGTGTATTTGAAGTTTTTTTTACTTATTTCTCCCAAACGATCAACACCAACGTCGAAAACACTACTGACCGGCTCAAAGCTTGCTTGGTTCAAATTTAATATGGCGCCGCTCAATCCGATCGTTTCCGCCTTTAGCCGAATGGCCCGTTTTCGCTGTTCGTAAAAGCTTATTTCCCAAAGTTTCAGCAGCGAAATAGTCAAGTTATTTTAGTATTTTTAAGATAGGCACCGTTTCCATAAATCGTTGTTCCTAGGAAAAAAGAATGGTTAAATTGTCAAAAATGAGGGGTTCGAGAGTGGATTTTAAAGTTTGTGATACCGCTTCGAGATTAAAATTTTGTTTCACGTATGCTTCCGCTAGAGGCGCTATTTTAAAAATTTTCCCTCTTGTATTCTTTTTCAACCAAGCAAAAGGTTTATGTTATTCATTCATAAAATTAAAGTTTTTATTTCCTCCCAGATATTTGCAAAATTATCAATAAAGGAATTCCCACTTCACTGGGTTTGTTTAAAATTGTATTCCGGAAAACTGAAATCCATCCCTAATTTTAAATCTTTAATTTTAAATCGATTCCAACATTGTGAAGTAAAAAATGCAACTTTATGCAAAATGAGACAAGGAGATAATAAGCTAGACGAATTATTTTAAAACTGGAACTGAAAATCAAAATTGCCGCCATTTACTGACAAGCAGCGCACTCACATCCGCATCTCTCTTTGTTCTCTTTCTAGCTATAACTATCCTTTTCTAGTTGAAAATTTTTTAAAGATGGTGAGTGCTGAAATTAGAAATTTATCAAAATCTGTTATCATCCAAAATTTGTGCACAAATTATTAAATAAAATTTTCTGCTCTTTAACAATATTAACATTTACTTTAACAGCAGACTAATATTTAGTATAAATTATGCAATTGATTGTAATTTAAGGGTTATGTTTATGTCAACAGATTTTAATATAAGAAAAAGTTTAGGTTTTCGTCTCAAATTTTTCCTGTTTTGTAGGTGAACGTCCCAAAGCAACGTCGCACTTTTTGCAAAAAATGCAAAGTACATAAACCACACAAAGTGACTCAATACAAGAAATCCAAAGAACGTCATGCCTCACAAGGACGAAGGAGGTACGATCGGAAGCAACAAGGATTTGGAGGTCAAACAAAACCTATTTTCCGCAAAAAAGTAAGTAACATTTGAAATATGTTTTAATATAAATTCAAAATGAATGTCCATAGGCTAAAACTACAAAGAAGATTGTATTGAGGATGGAATGTACAGACTGCAAATATCGCAAACAAATTCCTCTTAAGCGATGCAAGCATTTTGAGCTTGGAGGCGATAAGAAGCGTAAAGGACAAATGATACAGTTTTAATTTTTTTGGCGGTATATTGTTTAATTTATAAGTAATAAAAATCGCTGTATGTTTATAAGAATTTTATTTAGGTCCTTAAGCAAAACATACAAACTTTTCCCACTTTAAGGTATGCTTGGTATAACATCCTCAGGGTGGCTGGAACAATAAGAACTGGGATAAGAGGTTTGCAATACATAATTTTTGAATTTTTTTGTTTTATTGAAAATGCTTAAAAAAAGTACATAAATAAGAACTTAGTACACCTATTGCTTAATATGTCAGTTGCCAAAGACTACCAAAAAAAAGGCTAGGAATAGGCAGCTTTACATTTTGATAAAACAGTTTATCCAAACATCAATATAATTATAATGCCACTTACCTTCTTCGACCCATTACACAAGAATTGTACAATTATTGTATTGGAAAAATTAATCATGTTAAAAGTGCAAGAAATGTTTGACATTTATTTAGTATTATATGAAAAAAATATTAAAAATACTATCAATACAACATACAAAAACTATTTCTACTAAATTTGATATAACTTACTTTAAAATATCGGGATCAACTCCCTCACTTTTCATTTGTAATTTGACTGCTTCTTCAGGTATCCTAACTTGCAACATTTTGAAGAATTTTTTGTATCTAGGATCATCTCGGGCTTTAAGACCAATCTCTGATTTCCCTTTTATATCATCACCATCATTTGATCCTTTCAGAAGTTGTAAGTTTGCCATTGTAGGCTCAATATCCAGATTGGAGTTAATTTCAAGTACTGCTGAATCCGTAATATTATTAGTCTTTTGGACAGTATTTAAACTTTTTAAACCAGTTATGGAGGAAAGCTGTAATGCGTCGCGGTTGGAGAATTTTCTTTTGATCATACAAAAACTTACTTGTGATTCCAAAATAAGTAGAGAGGCTTCTAATTTTTGAACCTTGTATTCAAATTCCATGAACCGTGATTCACAAGACTGAGCGAAATGATTTAAATACGATATCCAATTCATAATAAAATGGTTAACGAACGCAATTGTACGCTTTTGTTGTATAGGTAAAATCTAATACGAATATATAATCTTTGTACAAGAAATAATCTATTATTTTTCATCAGTCCTTACCTGCTTGTAGTCCACATCGGGATTCACAGTTGGAAGTTCATCCACTGGCATCTTCATATCCTAAAGAAAAATTTAACAATAATTTAATTTCATTAAAAAAAAATATGCTACAAAACAAAAACGAATAAAATTATTGTGTTCCATGGATAAAATCATTATCCGAAGACCTCTATGTTTTTTCAGAGGTCTGTGATTATATCCCAGTTTTAATTCTTCGTCTCGTATGCAATACACAGTAGCCACACTTTCTATTTTATCTTAAGTAATAAGAAAATTATTAAAGAAAGACCTGTAAAAACTACAATTTAATTCCGCACATCTTTTCTTTTGAAAATACAGTACCACAAAGTTTACAAATGCCGTTTACCACAAGTGTGTAAACGTTATTTGACTTAAAAAATTCACGAAACTTTGTCTATGACCATTAGCTTTTGGGTACATTTTTGCAAAACGACACGAATACGATATACGAGTGACGTCAGAAAAGGGTAACGGATTGGCCAGTTACGGATTTCAATAATATATTTTTTGTTTTGTATTAAAATGATTAGGTCACAAATGTTGTATTTTTTCTCAAATAATTATATATTTAAATATTGGAAACAAAATTTTATCTCCACTTTAATTCTGCAAATAATATAAAAATACAAATATTCAAAAACATAAAAAAAATACTGAGCTCAGCCCACATAAAATCAAGTTTTTTTTAATTTACAAATACTGCACACAAAAGTTTCATCATTTTCTGATTGTTGAGGTTTTCAATGATGATAAGTTCTTATACAAAAGCATTTTATACCTGATTTTAAGGATGAGATAGTCATCACACATCCATAGCATAGCCCAATGTAAATTCTGTTTGTTGCGGCCAAACTTATTGGCACTATCCTGACATCAGAAATAAAAAGCACCTTGGATTTAGGTATCTCATTTTGTTCTTCGAAAACAGTTTCCCTGTAGTTGATGTTAGCACTTTTCTGTTTAATGATTAGCATGACGATTTCAGTTGAAAACAATCTTCAAAAAAATTGTCTTTTCAAGTCTGATCTAGCATCACATAAATTAATAATACCTATGCGTAGCTTCTGGTATAATTTAAATGATCTTCATACTGTTGCTTTTGGGTTGAAGTTCTTCCTGTACCCTGATCATCATAAGATTTACTACTTGGAAATAAGTTTAGTACTACTACGAATATTTTCCTCACTTATGGACTATTATTTGTAAAATATATTTTAGGCACTTCAGTTTATTTCAATGATCTATTGTGGCAGATGTACTGTAAGCCCCCGTTTTAAAACTGTGCTATTAATTTCATTAACTTTTGCTATTATTTTTTTTCCTTGACTTTATTTTTTGCTTAGTTAGCTTTAAATATTTTTATTTTATGTTCTTCTGTAATTAGTTTTTGATCTTTGCTTCTATTATTTTCTGTTTCCTTTCTTCTCTCAATATTTCTTTCTATAATTTTTTTTATATCTTACGTTTTCCTGCACTTTGCTGATCTGAAGAAGCTAACACAAACGGCAGTCCTACAGTTTGTTTTTTACCTTTGCGGTCTGTAGTCTTTAGCCAAAAAAATAACTTGTCAATGTCATGAAGTGAAGGGAAAATTAAGTGAACTATTATTATTTATAACAATCTGAAGTAGTTCTATGAGAGCATGAGGACAGCTCAGTATTGGCCGTTACAAGATTGTCGATTTTGAACATATGGTTAACTGTTCTGGAGAAGTTTGAATCTTGGATATAGAAGGAATAATATCCACTATCATTTCCCGAAATATAAGAACTGGCCATTATAATCTCCTCTGAAGTCTGAATTTTACATCAGGATTCCTTTTTAAAAGACCAGCCTCTTCGAAGCATATTGTCTGTGAATGTATTCTCGCAGGGGGTAGTGTCTATCTCTTGACCAGCTCCTGTACATCTTCTATCCGGAGGGGAAAGCCTTTGTTCAAACATGCACAAATCTGGTCCTGAGGCGAGTCTTCCCCTCAAACGACAAAATACGATTTGGGTTACGAGTTAATTAATTAATGGACTTGTGGATAAACCAAACACATAGGTTCAGTAGTTAATCACCCCAAAATTTAGTTATTGGCCACTGGACAACTATTAGTTAGACGTTTGAAAATACCTAAATAATGCTCTAAAATGGTTAACTTGTTCCCAAAATTGTTAAAAAATATGAAATTCCATAAATATTTTATATTACGCTTAGTTGGCATGGTATCCAATAATTAAATAGGGGACAAATTATTGCACAAGACCATGGACACCAAAAAAACCAGCCAAGAACTTTAAACACAGTTAAATAATTGTGAAATAATACATTAAATTTCCATAAAACATAAATTAGATAGGATACAAAGAGAAATTAAATCTTGGTCACTCACCATAATGACACATATTCTTAAGGAATTCTTAGTATTTCTGAATAAATTGATGGAACTTATGACGAACAAAACTACACCTCCTACAACAATTCTATGACGCTAATATCATCACTGGTAACATCACAGTCGCAAGTTACTGTAACGCTGTATAATTGGGTATTGTAACGAAGGTAGTAGAAAAGTTTTTGGGGTACTGGTATATGTATAATTTTTTCAAGCATCTTTAGTGACAAATCAACCTCAGCGATGCCAAAGAATATAAAACCACAATTATCTGTAAATCCTAGACCAAAATGTGATTATAATAGTATTTTTCTGTTATGACGATATATACTATTAGAAATATATTATTTATGAGTTTAACGAATTTTAGTTATTATAGTTACTACATTACAGACCACCAAATCTTAGTTTCCCATATTCTTCCTTGTAGTTTTTATTTTCCGCATTCCGCATTATATTTAATTAAAGTAATCAAAAAATAATAAGGGTAATTTTTCATTTAAGATTATAAAGAATATATTACACCATTTTAAAACGAAATTTATTTCACCAAAATTGTATTGGAGCATTCTAGACATTCAATGGTAAATTCTAATTCATTGAAATAATCCCTCTGGATTACGAAATTCGCTCCACATCTACAAGGGTAGTAAATCGAATTTTCACTATCTTCAAACTTCAGATTATTTTTATTTAACTGCGCATATACTAACGAATTTTCTTTGAAATTATTTTCTAAAAGCTGGCAATTATAATTTTTTCTCAAATTTTTGTCTTTGAGGGTTTTGTATGCCTTATCTATCATTACAAATTTTTCAGATGATTTCGCTCCTTTGTCAGGGTGAAATTGTTTGACTAAATATTGATATCTTTCCTTCAACTCAGATTCGGTCGCGTTCGGGCTACATCCCAGCACTGCGTAAAAATCATCCGCGCACTGTGCAATTTCCGCCATTGCCAAGTACTGGTTCTACAAAGGGACTGTTAATATATCTTTATCTTATTCCGGGTAAGTTAATTACTAGACGCTCACAAATAGGACGCTTATCCCTATTAACAAACTATATTCAACAAAAATAATTGGTATTAGTGGAGAGGTTAAAAGACCACAGATTACCAAATGAAATTTAGTTCCCACGTTGCCAAATTGCCATTTTGATGATTTTACGGATTTTGGAGCAATCGGATGTTTTCGGAGGTATTTCCCACGCTTTGAATTTTGATGTTTGTCAATTCTGACGGTCATGTCAGTGAATGTATTCGTGTTGTACTTTTTAACTCACTCGTTTATTAAACAATCGCTCCGCTCGTGTCAACTAAACTCGTGAGTCAAATGCCGTTTACCGCACTTGTTGCATAATATACTATTACCGAACGTGTTGCATACTATACTTTTTCTACGACCGCTATTTTTTAGGAATATTTTCACAAAACAACACATATACATCCACTGATATGACCGTTTGAATTGACAAACGTCAAAATTCAAAGCGTGGGAAATATCTACGAAAACATTTGATTGCTCCCAAATCCGTGCGGTAAAATACTGGAAATGTTCGAAGTGGCTTGGATTTGTGGCAAACGAAACTAACGTGCTAAGTTGACGCTTCCCGCACGCTAGATCGGTGTGTAATTAGATATTTTACAGGCGGGACTAGAAAAATACATTTTTTACCTTATTATATTGGCTTAAATTTGGGGAATAATATATTTTTTGAATTAAGAGGTTTTTGTTTTTTTTCTTTTAACGAAAATTTTATGTTTAAGGAACCGCCCCTTGTAAGCATAAAAAATATGAAAGAAATTTTATTAATCGCAATGGGTTTCATTTGTTTCTGCTCTGCGGATATTCCCTTGGTGATAAACACTTGGAACTTTGAGGACGCTACCAGAAACGGTAAATATATATTTATAATAGAGCACTTTTCAATCCTGAGGCTAACACCCAAATTTAGCTTGGCTAACATTACAAGACGCACATAACGCTATTGATGCCTTAGAACAAGGTTGTCGAACTTGCCAAAATCTTCAATGTGATTTTACGGTGGGCTTTGGAGGAAGCCCGGATGAAAATGGAGAAACTACATTGGATGCTTTAATTTTTGACGGGTATCTTATGGTTTTAGTAAATAATAGAGAATCATATTTAGTCTTTTTTTTTCAGAAATGACATGAACATGGGCGGCGTAGGGAATCTTAGAAACATCAAAGACGCCATTGGCGTGGCACGAAAAGTCCTTGAGAACACAGAACATTCCTTCTTGGTTGGCGATCTGGCTAGCACATTTGCCACGTCGTTAGGATTCTATCCAGAGTCGTTGCAAACAAATTATTCGCTTGACTTATGGCAAAGTTGGAAGAATAATAATTGCCAACCAAATTTTTGGATGGTAGGAAAATGGTGGTAGAGCGTACTTCATAAATTATTTTCTAACTTTTAAGCATGTTTTGCCTGATCCTTCATATAATTGCGGACCATACACACCAACTGATTCCTATTCCCAATCTTTTTTAAAAAATGAATTATCCGCAAGAAAATCAAACTTTCGTTCAAATAATCACGATACAATAGGAATGATTGTTATTTCTGAAGACGGCCATGTTGTGGCGGGAACATCCACCAACGGTGCCAATCACAAAATTCCGGGGTAAGCTAAAAATTTCCAATTGATTAAAAATAACACTCAAAATTAACCACGCGGAGTACATAGGCGCGTGGGTGATTCACCATTACCTGGGGCTGGAGCCTATGCTGACAGCGAAGTTGGCGCCGCAACCGCAACAGGAGATGGTGATCTAATGATGAGGTTTTTGCCGAGGTAGGGACATTTCAATGTAAATAACTTTATTGTCACAATTTTTCATAGTTTTTTAGCAGTAGAACAAATGCGATTGGGTAGGTCTCCTTCAAAGGCTGCGAAGATATCGATTTCCCGGATAGCTGCAAGATTTCCAAACTTTTTTGGTGGGATTATTGCCGTTGATAAAAAGGGAAATATTGGTGCAGCGTGCAATGGCATGGACAAGTTTCCGTTTTCATATATAAACAAAAATACGACTGCACCAGCTATCAGATATATAAATTGTACAAACAACCCTAAATTTTCAAATTAAATAATATCGAATAATTTCGGTAGTGTTGGCAGACGCTTGATGAGATTTAACGATATTCCATTAGGTATTATCTAAAAACATAGCTATTAGATAATATAGTGGCCCTAGTAGGGTAAAATTTGAACATTTACTACATCTGGGCATATTTGGAAAAAAATATTGCCATAATGTGCATATTAAATGGCTCATCTCAATATTTTTTCAACTTCGCTTCAAAAATTCCTGTATTTGGGACTTCTTGCATCTCTTATTTTGGTGTTGTTTTACTTTATCCCTTATGCGCACTTGTTAATCGATAAAGTTCATCCCTACCCACAACGGAATAAGGCCCCCGATTTATCAAAAATATTGCGCAAAATGTTTCTTAGACGGTTGTGATCTTAAAACGTCATCTAAAACATTTTCCTTTGCAAAAAACAAGTTTTTCTATTAGATAACGAAAGAAATCCAGGCTTAATCCAACCTTTTAGCGTAACGTCAACACAAAGAACATGCAAAGTACTTAATTAATTAATTAATAATATTGAACTAAGGCCAGAAAAAGTTATCATCGTTAATAATCAATAAAGTGACATAAAGCTCGGTAAACAGAATGCAATTTCTACATGTATTTTTTCATGTAAATATTGCAATTTGTCTACTACCAAATTGCACGAAATTTGCCAGATAAAATTAATAGATATATTGTGAATTTACGAACACACGGATATGTTAAACTAAAATAACTTTATTAATGATGAATACACCGATTTTAAATTAACACTCTCTCTCATGTTAGGTTAGGTTCTTTCTTCTTTACTTCTAATGGCTAAATGACAATTAATCAAAAGATAGACTCTATTTTTCCCGATTTTGTGCATGTAAATTGTTGGTCTGGTTGGTTTAACCTCTATGAAAAAGTTTCGCTTCCCAAACACATTAATATAAAAAGTGCTAATCGACAACTCTAAGCACTGCAAAATATAACCAAAAAAATTAAAGCCTAGTATAAAACAGGTCAATAAATAATTTGTTTAAAAAAGTGTACACTATGTAACCCTAACGTAAGAGAATTGCACATAAATTAGTGTTAGAGAATACATAAATTAATATAATTAGTAAGTAGTGATGACATACAGTCCGTTAACCCCTCTCACTTTTGAACTTTTTATTTCTAAAAATGACATTTCCGCAAGTCATAAAGGCATAGTTTAGATTTTTTTTTGGGATAGTGGGCACTGTGTTATCTCTGCAATAATTGGGAGGGCACCATCCTGTTGAAATGTTAAGCCAAATTGAAATTTTAATAGGTCTTCAGCAATAACACGGAGTAACCTCATCCTGAAGCATTTGAAGATATGTATGTGGGACCGTTCAAATTTCTATCTAAAAACATGAAACCTATAATTGGTTATACGGTCACCCAAAATGCCAGATAGGGGTTTTCGTCACTCCAATATCTGTAATTTTGCGTATTTACTACTCCCTTCAAGAAAAATTTGCTTTCATCGCTAAAACAAATATGCATTAGATAAGTGGAATTTGTTTCAATAATTTGTGCCATAATCTGGCAAAATTTTAACCGCCTCTCATGATCATGATCTCTACCTAATACTTTAAATTTTGACATTACTTTCTGAAGATATTTTCGGTACAATGGCCATTCCGGAAAGCGATCATTGAAGATACCAATGGTAGCATGAGATTTCCGGTTAGCGTCGACAAATGTCAGAAAACCACAGCAATTAAAAGTTATTGTTGTGATGGCATTTAAGTCACGAGTTTATTTTGCACGAGCGATTATACCCACAAGTTATTACATGCGTGGTAAAAACATCTTTGCCTAAAGCAACATTTAAAAACAAAATTCCACCAAAATAATCAAGCCCAAGTACAGGCAGAAATACATGTAGAAATTGCATCGTGTCTACCGAGTTTTAGGGTGGAACTTCATAAGAGGTATAGTTATATGGATATATGTAATTATATGCGTAAAAATAATACATATATTCCATTTTGACACTATAAGCGCGCACTAAATACATTTCTTTCTGTTTCGGATATTAGTTAAATAGAATAATAAAACACTGAGTGCACAAGGACTCAACTAATGGATTCGCTACAAGTTTATTTCAAGAACGGGAAAGGGATATTATTTCAGGCGGGAACGTGTTCTGTTGCAATGACGTCACCTGATCATGAATCATGTTTAGTTTAGCCTTTTGCTGCTACTTTTAATGCATTAAATTTCCCTTGAAAGGCTAATTTTTGTTGCAAAACTATATAATTAATACCAAATCTTTGAATTGAGTGCAGTCACGTCACACATCCGGTCAATAGTCCTTTGCGTTGTCGGGTACCATTTTTCTCTGGTGATGATTCGGCTAGCAGGGCGTTCGACCTGCCAAGTCGACTTATCGAAGGTTGTGGGTTGGCAACCAATCAGGAGCCTTTTGTGTTGTAGAATTTTTATCGGTTAAAAATTGTTTCCTCGCCGGATGCCGTAAAATGGGTGCATATGCAATTAGCTGATTAACCCTAATAAAAAAAAAAGATAACTTGCTCACTCATCCTTGCTGACTAGTCACAAACCACCGTTGCAGTCTCTAGTGATTCTTCTTTTTTTAATCTGAAAAATATTATACAAGGCTCCTGAAACCCAGGCTGCGTTCCGTAACAAAAATATTATTTTGAATTATGCATTGTTTTTTACTAAATATCCAAAGGAAAATGTTTGCGATATTTATATAAAGCATAATAAACATAAAGCATTCATAAACAAAGGACAAATTTTTTCTTAAACTGCTGTCAATCGAGCTTCTGTAGACTGGATGCCCTCTAAATTTGAAATAAGCATTGTATTGGTTGTATAACCGTTCCAATTCCTATTTTTTGTGTACTGTATTCACAGGAACATATTATTTAAATATTAAAAGGGAATGAAGTAATTTTAAATAGCTTTGTTTTTTATTTGTTTGGGAAATAGGAAGGGATTCTGATCACTCCATATTTAAAAGTTACATCATTGAGTAGGACAAGATATTGTTTAACAGCTGTCAAATATCGATAATGGAGCAAATTTGTTTATTATTTGTGTTACCAATGCACGTTTTTAACTTAAACCAAATGGATTAGTGCAAAAAATATGGCAAGTTGGAAAATATATTACATTATATGTTCTTAATATTAAACATTTCTGTTCCTTCTTTAACCAATTTCTTATTAACTAAAATACCAAAGTCGTGTAATGTTATATCTACTTACTTCGACTTTGGCAAGTATTCTCTTATAACTTGTTATAGGGTGCGAATATATCCCAACTGGAACGAGATATTGGCTCTGAACAGTTTCCTTGTAACGAACACTATTTTGGATTAGTAAATGTAAGTCACTGGTTATAATATTTAGTGATCTATGTAACTCTGTGTATGCATAACATTGTGTTTTAGTTTGGAAATACTTGCTACAGTAACTCTGTCTTACAAGCCCTATATTTTTGTAAGCCGTTTAGGGATAAAGTATTAGAATATAAAGCAAAAAATAAAAGGACTAAAGAAACTTTGCTTACATGTTTAGCAGATCTCTTTCACAGTATTGCTACTCAAAAGAAGAAAGTAGGATCAATTGCCCCAAAAAAATTTATAGCAAGGCTAAGAAAAGAAAAAGGTTAATTTTTTTTTCCTTTGAAACATAGGTCTATAGTATGTGGTCCTAATAAATATGTATCTTTTCAGAGGAGTTTGATAACTATATGCAGCAGGATGCTCATGAGTTTTTGAATTTTTTAATAAATCATATTAGCGAAATAATATTAGGTAAGATTTTTCACAATTTTTTATTTCAATTTGTCATTGGAATTATTTTTATTATAGCGGAAAGACAACAAAATTCAACAACTAACAATGTTAAATCAAAAGGAACTGGTGAAAATGGAACTACTACTCATGCTTCACAGGAACCCACGTGGGTCCATGAGATATTCCAGGTGAAGTATTTAAATAATACATTCTTGTCCATATCTTGAACTCTCTTGATATTAAGGAAATGTTGAATTATTATTTTTAGGGTATCCTTACGAGCGAGACGAAGTGCCTAAACTGCGAAAATGTGAGCAGTAAAGATGAAGACTTTTTCGATTTGCAAGTAGACATCGAACAAAACACTTCAATCACACATTGTTTGCGATGTTTCAGCAATACTGAAACCCTCTGCAGTGACAACAAATTCAAATGTGACAATTGTTGTAGCTATCAGGAAGCTCAGAAACGCATGAGAGTGAAAAAATTGCCAGCAATCCTTGCTTTGCATTTAAAGCGTTTTAAATATGTTGAGCAGTATAACAGGCACATTAAAGTGTCTCACAGAGTGGTGTTTCCTCTAGAACTTAGGCTTTTTAATACAGTAAGCCATTTGTATATATAAATTTATATTTAAGATTTATTCCAGCAAGTGGTTCATAATAAAAGATGTTTTTTGTTCCAGTCTGACGATGCAGTCAATCCCGATAAGCTATATGACCTTGTTGCCGTTGTGATACATTGTGGAAGTGGTCCCAATCGAGGCCATTACATCAGTATAGTAAAAAGTCATGGATTTTGGTTATTATTTGATGACGATCAAGTAGATGTAAGTTGGTCTTATGGATCCTAGAGTGTTGTCATTCTTTTATTTATCATAGAAAATAGATGCTTCAACAATAGAAGACTTCTATGGCCTGACATCCGATACCCAGAAATCATCAGAAACGGGCTATATCCTTTTTTATCAGAGCCGAGAGAGTTTATGAGTAGTGGTGCTGCGTCTGCCTTAAGTTACAAGGAATCATAACGGTGTGGTCACCAATTCACTAGAGAATGAGAGAGAAAACGATATAAGCCATTTTTCCTGTAAATATGTTTTTCGGGCCAAAGATAATCAAACGTACTTTTGCGGATTTCTTATTCGATTTGTAAGTTTTATTTTTATTGTTGAATAACTATGTTTTTTTGCCTTTATTTGCCATCTGAGTGACAATGCCTCATTTGTGTTGTTGAAGGCAGCTCATTTCAAAGAGTAAACTTGGCTGAGATGAAAATCTACTTGCAGCTTGTGAGAAAGGGAACATAAGGACTAAGTTTTGGTTTTGATTGTTGCATCATCAGACTTTCAGACAAATGAATATTAAGCTTTGATTAATTCCAGTAGCGTTTTAAATATTCTAAACTACTTACCTACCAGCATATTTTTATCTTAATGGAAATTGCTTTTTGCCCAAATTGAGTAAAAAATATGAATAATTCAAAGTTTTCAAAATATCTCCTATAAACATGACCACTGTTTTTCTTAAAATATTGCATTTTAGTTTTATACCAAAAAGTTTATGACAAATAGTTGAAATTGCATTGTATAATAACATCAAATCAGTGATACTATATTTTATCATTTCCTGGAAGATCATTGATAAAACATTTAATAAGGTTTAATTTTTCTTCCTACAGGGAAGGTCAACTAGTGTGATTTGATTATTCAAGGGGCATAGATGTCTGGACCGCTCAATTTTTAAATAACCATAATTGTTATATTTTCACACCCTTAAAATCTTTGAGAATGTAATTTTTTCACTCAATTCCTGAAATTTGATTATTTCTAATTTATAGTTTCACATAAAAAATACAACTTTTGCAAGAAACTCTGAAAACAAAGAATTCCAATTGATCGAATTGTTGAAAACCATGTGAATGTTTATTAAGGAAGGCTATTATTTAGGCTCTTATTTAGAAGCAATAGCAAATAACGGTACAAATAAAAATGTTTTTTGCATGTTTTAATGGTGAAGTAATGTAAGCGTCATAATTAATTATCTATCTTTGATTGCCTTTCTTAACAAGAATACCCAATTTTTTCAGGTATCGGAGATTTGCTTGGGTAAATATTTTTTTAGAGAATACCAAATTATTTCAAAGTCCTCTTGCTACATATGCAATAAATTCCTTTTTTGCAGTCAATAAATATTATTTTCATTGCGATAACTTTTCGGCCACAACTATTTCAAAATATCAAAAAAAATGTGAGGTTCCTTATAAATTTAGAGATAAATATAGGTACAATAAGTTTCTTTAGTATACTTATACCTATAGTCGGTATAACCATGTAGTTACATGAGCTCATCATAATATTCTATGATGGTTTATTATGTTTCGGTGCCGAAGTGAATTTCAGATCGATACTATTAAAATGTACCAGAAGCACCACTCTTTGAAATGGCATTTGGAAGAAACCCTCAGTGATACTAGATGATGTTTTTCTGTTTTAACCAACACAGCGAAAGATTTTAGACATAATTTTTTTAAATTAAACTAAATGCAAACGAAGATATTCCTGTAGATACAATTTGTTCTGTAACAGGATAATATTTATTTAAATTAAGTAAAACCAGCGCGCGGAACTAGTCCGAATATGATGTCATTTGATTGTTATGTTATTTGAACATCATAGATGCACACAAATACCTTTAACATTTTTGTATTATCTCTTTTGCAAAACTTGGGAAAATTCAATAAACAAATTGTCCGGTAACATTTCAATTAAATTGTCATCAAATTATTTTATGAGTTCACGTTTTAGTGCAATTATGTAGTTTCTAGGGAAATTTGTCAAGATTGTATCTTCTACATTGTCGCATTTCCGTCACAGAATGTCTGATTTTCCTAAGAACTCCAAATGGTGGAGTGGAAGTGATCTTATTTATATTTTTTTTTTACGTTTTGATGTCAGTAGCCCATTCAAATTAAACTTTAGGCGTATTAACATTAATATAGACTTTTTTGGTGCTTTTGAATTGGTTGTCTGAAACTAATTTAAATAATCAGTATTAATTATTTAGTGTGCAGAAGCTTCTTTGACGCATAAGTGGACTCCAGGTTAGGATAAAATATGCATTTATCATTGCTGGAAAATAAATGTTTTTTGTTTCTCTTTAGGAAACTTGAATTAATGCAGATATAAATACATCTTCGTTTAAAATATTTTAAGTATTATTTGACATTTTTTTTATCAGTCTGAATTAATGATGATTTCTTGGTAACCAGCGCATTATCATTTTTAATTTGAATGGTGCTATAGAAGTGAATTTTACTAATTTACAATTTCTATGTTAAATCAAGAATTAAGATATTTATTTTGATGTTTCCTTTATTCTAGGTGTTACAAGGTGTGTAAAAATTATCGCTCATATTTTAAACTTTTTATGATTAATTTCTTTGTAAATATTCAAACTATATATTTTGACATTTTTGTATATTTTGAGTCTTTTCATTTTAATGATGTTTTATACACCTTGTAGTTTTATTGTTATTTTGTTGACTAGTTATTATTGAGCAATAAATTAATGAAAATCACTTTGTAAAAATGTATAAAGTAAGAATAACTTACTAATAATAATGTTAAGCTGAGAGATTTAATAATGCAAGTCAAAGCAAAGTATGTATTGTAAAGGAGTAAAGTTCACACGCCTTCTTGTAACTTTTTTCAAAATGTAAATTATTTTTTAAAATATTGTCGAATTTTAGAACATTACTAATGAAAGGACTGCTAAGCAGATTTTATTTTTATTATGTAAATATTATGAATAGATAGAATAAATTATGTTTATTTAGTTCATAGTGAATTTAATTTACCAACATGAAGGTCGGCATTTCCTGCAAATAGTAGGAAAAAAACTACTTTTTAGTAACATTTATTCAGTGATATTAAGCAATAAATTCATAAGGAATTGGTGCCAAATTTATCGATCCATTTTTACCGCTAACAATGTGAGCAGCTCTAGGTTGGGCAGGTTGTCGTTTAAGTTGAACTTTAATATTTTTCTCTTTGGCTTCCTTTCTAAGCTTTTCATTTTGCTTAACTCGTTCCAGGAAGTCCTGTCTACATTTCGAGTGATTTACATGTTCAATTCTTACATTGATCCTTTTAGGGATAATTCGCCCACGTACCCTAGAAAATCAGATATTTGTAGTTATCAATTAAGATTTAATTCATATTTACCTTTTGTTGACTATTACCCCTAAGGCATGAGCAGTGACGTTAAACACGCGACCCGTTTTCCCATGATAAACCTTGTGAGGCATACCCTTTTGTACTGCACCATTACCTTTGATGTCAACAATATCACCAATTTTATAAACTTTCATGTAAGTGGACAGTGGAATCACTCCATGTTTTTTGAACTTTCGGGCAAATAAGTCCCTAGTTCCCCTCCTATATCCCTTTGAATTGGTCATTTTTTAAAACCTGAAAATATTAAAAATGAATGTGTAATTATAGGTTAATTTGCCCACATGGCAGGACGATACAACAATAATACAATAATATAACTAAAACTAAAATCTACAGAATGGGACCGGAAATTTTAGTTAATACGAATTATTTATTTTCAAATAGGCTTCAACTATATAAAAATAAAATTTTACCTCAAGCTTTACTCAAGCCGACAGTAAAAAAGAACTGTTTCACGGACCGTAGAAAATGGATCATTATACATTTGAAAATGGTGAGTTTGGGCTGTCAAAACTGAGTGGTTTAATTAAAATTTAAAACCTTTGCTAGGAATTATACTAAATTTAGAAAAAAAACTTAATTTAAATAATCATTGATTTCTCGCAAATAGTGAACCACATGTTTAATCCTAGTTTAGTTAATATTAGAAAGAGAAGTATAAACTGTGATGTCAAGTCCCATGAAGGTTCACCATATTGCCAAACATATGTTTTCATTTTATAGAACCAGGATTCCATATAAATGTGTTGATAATTTGATGAGACACGTGAGGTACAAACATACAAAAAATATTTAACATTTACAGAATATTTTTCCACTCCCGTCTGTAAAATACCTAATTACACACCGATCTAGCGTGCGGAAAGCGTCACTTTACCCACGGATCCGAGACGCTTCGGACATTTCCGAGATTTCACCGCTCAGGTTTGGAAGCAATCGGATGTTTTCGGAGATATTTCCCACGCCTTGAATTTTGCCATTTGTCAGTTCTGACGGTCATGTCAGTAAATAGATTCGTATTGTTTTGCGAAAATGTATCCAAAAATCAACAGTCGTTTATTAAACACTCGCTCCGCTGCGCTCTGCTCGTACTAAATAAACTCTGGAGTCAAATGCCGTTTACCGCACTTGTTGCATAATATACTATACTAGCTGATTCTTTTACAAACATACTTTACAAAATACTCTCTACTTATATCAAGCTAGTAAAAAATATAGAATAATGCTATAAGCCAACGAGGATTGTTCATGGCAATTTATTTCGGCCAGCGAGCAGTGACGTTCCCCATCCCGCATGAAACAAGTTTCTATTAAGCTATTAATTCATAAATTTAGCAATTACAGAACAGTGTAACTAACTCTTAATCTTTTTTGAAGTGCCTACGTACGTTCTACATCTTTGTCGGCTGTTCGACAAAACCTTCCAAGCATATCTCCCCTTGGCTTGAACCATGATGTCAATGTCAATAGAATTAAAGTCAGAAACGAGAAAACCGTGGTTTAAACTAGTGTTGGGCATAACTGAAACCTCGATATTTAATTCATATAAAAAACATTCTTGCCATCAGTCAAATACTTTAATATGGAGAAAAAGGCAGCTTTGCCCTTTAAATTAAAAAATCGTTTTAAAGCTTCATTGTTTACTGTCATTTGTGGACATGTAAAACAAGTAATACATGACTTAATTTACAAATTAAAAATCCATGCGGCAAATTGATTGTTCCATCAAGCGACGAAAGCATGGCAACATCCCTGTAAAAGATTCAACGTCCCCCTCCCCCTAGTAAAAAATATCATCAAATTATCCATTACTTTTACGAGAACCAAGCATTCAGTGAACGATTTCGAAAAGGACAGAATCTGTTCAATCAATCGTTCATTTCAATACTTTTTATTGCAAGCTATAAATCATAAGCGACAATAGTTACTGAATCCGAATACTCCGAAAAACCGATTCAGATTCATTTGAATTTTGAATTGATGCTATGTCTATATTTTTTGTTTTAGTTAGAATCATAGTTAGCTGTGTTCTATTTTACGAGTAATACATTAATTTGTTTAAATGAAATATTTGCGTGGGAAATAGATATTTCATTCAATATTCAATTCACACATTACCAATTCTACCAATCGATATCCTCAACTCAATACTATACAATTATTATAACAATACTCCCACTCCTTTGCTATGATCTGTTTCTGTTATGCATTTCAATCTTAAACCATTCAAATGAACCGTATTCCGCAAGGCGAATTCGATTTGTGTTGGTACGGTCGGTCGATCGGTCATCCTGTAATCGACCGCCGTCTCACCTAAGACTGGTCAGTCAGGACGGCAACGAGAGCGAAAAAGGTGATCGAATCGGTACGAATAAGCAGGATTCGGTCGTTCGATCCTATGAAGTGATTGAATGAATAATCGAATCAACCGCGATTGATACAACTTTACTTTTAATTCGAATGATCCATGGTGTTGAATGACAATGACAAATGTTTGTATAACTTTTGTTTGAGAGCAAGCAAAGTTTTCTGATATTGCGGGAGTAAAAACTTGTGCTTTTCAATATTTTTGATAAATTTGGATTTTTCTGCTTTTATTTTCGACATGGATAAAAGCAAGTTTAGACAAATGGAAGATGAAATGTCCCGGTAAGCTGAATCCATGCCACATGTCTTCCCACCGAATATTTACGTATATTCTTTTTAGATTTGAAGCAGAAATTGCGGGTCAGCAAATGATACCAACCTACGGGTCTACTTATCTTGCAGGTTTTGGTAACATCCCACCACCCCCGCAACCTCCAATATTAATTCCCCATCAAGTAAGTAAGATTGGTAAGCGATACGACGTTTACACACAACAACCAGTGATTACAGCACAACCTGCTGTTGTTTCCGCAAAACCAACATTATATACAGCTCCTAAAATCAGCCCTGCTTCAGCAACAACCACTCAAACTTCACAGAGTTCAGTCGATTTTATGGCTTTACAGTCTGAAGTTGAAAAGAAATTGAAAAAGTTGAAAAATGAAAAAGTTAGTGCTGAACTTGCTATTTCACAAGGTACTATAATCATAATTTTGATTAAATTGTCGTAATGTGCGCCTTAGTGCTAGTAATTCTTGTAAGCAACTGATCCTAAGTATTAAATTCTTAAATAAACTAAGTTTAATAATTTTTATATTTTCTTGTCCTATATTTTTGCTTATTTTATAATATATTTTATATTCAGGCAAAGCAAGTAGTGCACTTCAATCATTTGGTCCTGAAGATTACAAAAGAAGAGGTACCAAAAATCGTAAGCTGATGAGGACAGCTGGAGGTCAAACCTGGGAGGATCATTCTCTAGCTGATTGGCCCGATGATGATTTTAGAATATTTTGTGGTGATCTGGGAAATGATGTGACTGATGAACTTCTTACTAGAACGTTTAATAAGTATCCATCTTTTCAAAGAGCAAAGGTGATTCGGGACAAAAGAACAAATAAAACCAAAGGTTATGGATTTATTAGTTTCAAAGACCCAGCAGATTTTACAAAAGCAATGAAGGAAATGAATGGTGAGACTTGCTTATAATATTTTTTGTTGTCATGAGTTTTTTGCAAAAAACTTACGTGTTTAGGTTTTCCTGATATAAAAATATTGTTGCAGGTCGTTATGTGGGTAGTCGTCCAATTAAACTGAGAAAAAGTACTTGGAGAAATAGATGTATTGATATTGTTAAAAAGAAAGAAAAAGAGAAAGCAGCCCTTGTTAATGTACTGACATCAGGTGGAAGATAAACCATTCTTGAAAATTTAAATTTGCTTTTATACAAAATATTCGAAAATTTTGTGGGTCTTATTTAATGAATGTCATGTCATACTGTTGTAATAATATATTATTAAATAGTCTTTTAATTTGTGTCAAATACTATTTTTCACAAAAATGATTGAGTAAATCATTGTTGCTCCTCTCCTTTGGTTATTTTATTACTAGGGATTACGATCAACACTAATTTCTAGTTATTGCATTTTGTCACAAGGGAGGGCTAAGATCTATGGTATTAACCCATTTAACTAAACTATAGAGGAGACCCAAGGCTTAAAGAAAGCTGAAGCTCCACTTAAAGTAACCTATTTAAAAGAACTGGGAGTGGGATTAATTAATGTATTAACTATGTACCTTCTGGGCCAAAAGTAAAAAGAAAAAGGTGTGTTCTTTGAAGTTTACTTACAATGCTGTTTAGAAATTTGAAAAATTTTCATAGCATGAAGAGATATTTGGGAAAAACGTGAATTTGACAATTCGATTTTATTTTTTTCTAACTATTTGGTGATATATCAAAAAACATAATTTTGGCATTGGCACTTTTAAGGTACTACATGATGGTATTTAGATTTTATATCCGACATTTCATTTTCAAGGAATCAATCAACTTTTTTTTTATATAGCCCTAAAAAAAGTACACCTGGTATCTAATTATATTTTTTATTACAAATTCAAGAATGTATTACATGCCATATTCTTTTAGTTAAGTAGAAAATTGCAATTTTTCTATTTTCAAAGGCATATTTTTATGTAGATGAATAATGAAAAAAAAAATTAAACAAGGTAAACAAAGAAATTGACGCATTTTTTTTATTTAACTCTAAGCTGGTGTCGAACATGTTTCCCTTATTTTCTAAACATAAGTATGGTCTTATTATTATATATTATATTGGTAAACTCGCTTTTTAACAAAACTCCATATGAAGTCCAGAAGAGGTAAGTCCGGGAATTGCGCTGACCAATCCACTGGTTCCAACAGTTATTGACCTATGCTATTTTCTTTTGTTGTGCCGAGTAATGCGCATTGCGGCGGTTGAAAATAGCATTAGTGACTATACTTTCGTGAGAATATTATTTTTTAAAATTTCCCGCCAGCTCTAAAAAAATAGACTTAGCTCTGCCTTCATTACCTATGCTGCATTTACAGTATTTTTATGGCACAAACTGTAGCCCGTTAGCATGTCAATAGTATACTATGCAGTAAACGTCAAATGCCTCACGAGTTTTTAATAAACGAGTGAGTTAAAAAGTTTACCAAACGTGTTGCATACTATACTTTCTCCACGACCGTTAGTTTTTGACATGACCGTCAGAACTGACAAACGTCAAAATTCAAAGCGTGGAAAATATATCCGAAAACAACCTATTGCTCCCAAATCCGTGTGGTAAAATCTCTGAAATATCCAAAGTGACTCGGATTCACGGGAAACGAAACTGACGTGGTAAAGTGGCGGCTTCCCGCACGCTAGATCGGTGGGTAATTGGGCATTTTACAGACGGGAGTAGAAAATTTAGTATATTATGCAGCACGTGTGGTAAACGGCATTTGAGTCACGAGTTTATTTGGCATGAGCGTAAGCGCAGGGAAGCGAGTGTTTAATAAACGAGTGACTTAAAAAGTTTACCAAACGTGTTGCATAGGGTACTTTTTCTACGACCGTTAGTTTTTGGGTACAATTTTGCAAAGCAACACGAATAAAATTCACTGACATGACAGATAGCATTTACAAACATCAAAATCCAAGTTGTGCAGTAAAATCCCCGATGACATCAGATTGCTCACAAACTCGTGCGGTAATATCCCTGAAATGTCCGAAGTGGCTCAGATCCACGGGCAATAGGTATCTTACAGACAGAAGTAGAAAAATAAACTAACACAGCCTTGAAGTTATAATAAAAAATGGAATCAGATACAGAATGTACTTTTTTTCCGTGCCATATAAAAAATAAAGTTGATGACGGGTTCTTGAAAACAAAACGTCGGATATAAAATCTAAAAAAACCATAATGTAGTTAGTGCCTTAAATGTGCTATTAAGAAAGTGGTTTATTATCTCTTGAAATAAAGTCAGAAAAAAATCCATATTGTCAAATATCTCAGCAGGCTTTGAAAATTTTGCAAGTTTCTAAAGGACATGTAAAGAACACAACTTTTTCCTAATTATCTCCAACAAGTACTGGGATTCCCATACTTAGAATTTTCATTAAAATCCAGCAAAACTTCAATCGGATATACTTTAATTGTCGTTTTAAAATATAAAAATAGGTTATGAAACGCAAACAAACTAACAGAAATAAATTACGGTCCCACTTGCAGCATTTGCTTGGCCGTTCCTGATTTGTACAGCCGAAGTACTTTTTCTATGGTGCAAACTCACAGAATAGAGACATCTAGAAATGGCGAAGCTGTTAAACGTTTTCGGCGGGTAGATTGCATAGATTGTGCATTTTCATCAGAATTTTTGATTATCGGGTTGAATGGGCTCGATAATCGCAAATTAGTGTTAAACATATGTTCAGTGCATCAGAAAATGGAACTTCAACAGGATGTCTGCATTTTGTGTACAGCAAAAACAAAAGTGGTTGTTCCTTCTCAAGCACAAGATATTACTTCGATAATAAGTTCAGTTTTGTCAGAAAAAATAAATCTTGAAGAAGTTAGTTATCATTATTGGTTGTTGTTTTATAGTGTTTAATCATTTGTAATTTTAGTTTCAAAACGTGCATTCTTCTCTCAAAGTGTGCCCACTGTGTTTGCAAAATTTGTTAACTGTAAAAATTTTGAAAGAGAAGTTTAATAAGAAATTGTCCGTCGCCGCCGCTGAGTGTTGTTTATGCAGTTGTAGTAATCATCTGGTCGTCCCAAGAGACTGGCAAGAATTGGATGATATTCTGGAAAATATAACAGGTCTTAAAAGAGGAAAGGGCAGTCTAATTTGCTTAAACTGCATTAAATGCTTACATCTTCTGGATAGTATAAGAGATAATTTGGTTAAAAAATATGTAAGTTTGCTTTAGTACTAATTATATGCAATCTATGGTTTAATATTTATTAATATGGTGTTATGGGATGGGCGATGGTAATTTTTTTCCCCCTACCTTTCTTTTGTTTTTTCAATTCTGAATTTTTGTTTTTTCAGGTTCTGTTGTCTCAAAAATCAGAATCAGTTAGATCTAAAATTGCTTCAATCAAGAAAAAGCACCATGATGGCAATACATTTAAATGCATAAACAACCTAGACACTGCTCTTAAACACTTGACTCCTGTAAAAGACAGCAAATATAACTGTGCCAATCTTGATGACATAAAGCTTCTAAAACAAGTTGCATTTGTGAAGGTGTATAGCATGGAGTCAAGGGATGATACAAGAACAAGTAAATCAAAAAATCTGCATTCATCCTTAACCAACCATAACTTTTTCAAAATTAAAATTAAGCCTAAGTCCAAAAATATATCTGTACATAGAAGGTTACCACCTAAAATTGACAAAAAATTAATCTCCAGTGACAAAAATCTGATCGTAAGGGTAGCTCGCATGAATTCCAATAATCTTGATTTGAAAACATCTTTAGATGTACTTAAAACTCCAACAAAAGCAAGTCGCAAAATGATGCTAGATAAGGAGACTTGGTACGGGAAAAAACGAAAAAGTGTCACATTTGCAGATGAGAGGAACATTGAAATTGAATATAGGAACTACGAACCAAAAAGAGATCTTGAAGAAAAGGGAGATTCTACCCCCTTAAAGCCATCTTTAAAAAAATCAGGCTTCAATTATGAATATGCAAAGAGTAAGGAGTTTGATAGCGATGAAAGTACTGAAATGTGTTCTTATGTAGAGGATATTAAAAAGAACATTGACAATATTTTTGATAGCTTCAAAGCAGATTTAAAAACAACCACCAAGGGTGGTAACGAAGAAAAACAAGCGATAGTGATTCATGGTGATAATGAAGTAGTAGAAAGTAAAGAAAATGAAGAAGAGATAGATAAACAAAATCTAGAAAATAGATCTGAAAGGAGTTTGGCCACTAATAAGCAGAACGAAGTCAGTGATGACTATTTATGTGCAATAAACAGCCATAAAAACACAGAATCAGAATCTGATAAAGGGTCAATAATTGAAGAAGTAATCTGTGTTAACACCAATTGCAAACCTGTAGCGGACAAGAACCAATTTCTATCAACTAAATCTGTTATGGAAGATATAGATAAAGATAAAGAAAATGAAGAAGAGATAGATAAACAAAATCTAGAAAATAGATCTGAAAGGAGTTTGGCCACTAATAAGCAGAACGAAGTCAGTGATGACTATTTATGTGCAATAAACAGCCATAAAAACACAGAATCAGAATCTGATAAAGAGTCAATAAATGAAGAAGTAATCTGTTCTAACACCAATTGCAACCCTGTAGCGGACAAGAACCAATATCTATCAACTAATTCTGTTATGGAAGATATAGAGGCTGACAGAATACAGAGTTGTCAAGAGTTAAGTTCAGCTGTTAATAAAGGAAAAGAAATTCATAAGAAAACCAGTGATGAAGTGAAAAATCCAGGAGACAATGTTGTCAGGACCATAGTAGATGGTACCCTAGAACAACAAATTGATTCCAGCATTGCTAATGAAGGGGCACAAAGAAACCTCAATAATGATCCAAATGGAGATGATAAAAGGAAGTTTGAGACATCTGATGAAGAAAAACTGGATTCAAGTCCAAAACGCATCAAATTTAGTGATGGCCAAGGTAATGAAGACAAACTTATTGATTTTGAGGTCACTGACACTATTACCCCTAAACCTCAGAATGAACAACCAGATAGCAGAGATGTTTAAATTAAATGGCAATTTATAAGAAACTGACACACCAAGGTGAAATAAAAATCTGGTTATTTATCTAGTTGACTGAAAGTCCTTGTAGCAGTTTAGTCAACTTATTTCAAAAATCCTAATCTGAATTTATTTGTCGTTCAATGTTGTTTTTTAAGTTTTTGTATGACGAAAATGGTCTTGTAGGCATTAAATAGATTTTTGCAAATATTTCATTGTATCAGCTTCTCATTTTGTTAATTAACAAATATAATAGCACATGAACTGAACCTGGCAGAAAAATATCACAATTTATTATAATATATATTTACTTAATTTCAGTCTTTTGATGTTACAGGAAGCTAATAAAAATCTAAAACAAATTTTTTTGTATCTATTTAATGGATTGAATTGAAACAGTTAACTGGAACAAAAGCAAAATTACATTTAAAATAAATTCCATATATCAAATTTAATAAAATTTGTATGATGTTATTATATAGTTACTAGAAATATAGAGGCACTTCCTATGCCTCTAATACAGGAACTTGTGATGCAACTAAAAAAATTTTTTTATGGAGTTAAGTGTGTTCAAATCGCTGGTTAGCAAAAAATTCGCGCAAAATGCCTTTTAATGGGAGAAATGTAGATGCATTCTCTATGAAAATATCAATGCCGTTTGCAGCAAAAGGAACTTTTTTCTTCCCAGGTTGACTTTTCTGTTGTCACTAGTTTAGTCACTATCAAGCTTAAAAGGCAAAAATTGAATTTTACAGGGTCTGTATATATGGCCAAATGCTTTTTTATCCTATAAATAATAGCAATACAAACTTAAGCTAGATTTGAATCAGCACCTTACAACAAAAACTCAGCAAAGTTTCATCAAAATTGTTACAGATGCGTTTTTGATATGGTAACTATAAAGTTTCAGAAATAGGGAAATAAACTTCCATAAATAGTGAAATGGTACTTAGAACTTTAAAGTGGTCCCAACAGCATTTTCCTTTCAAATTTGATTAGGTCAAACTTGTTGGTCACAAATGGCATCATCACATCTAATTTTTGGCTCTCTTTAGTCGGCATAAAGTTTTGCCGTTAAAAACAATCCTTCAGATGAGTATTATTAAACAATTTTTCTTAAATTTGACTTTTGGTGTCCTATTAACAAAAAAAATAACTTTATATCATCAAGTCAATAAAGGATCACTTTTTAATACAACACCAAAAGTAACATTTAAGAAAAATTGAAAATAATAATGTTCATGTTTACATTTACTTATTGAATTTATTAAGACATAAAGTATATATAAAGTATATTTATAGCATTTGACTTTCCTAAATGTTACAATATCATTTAACTGTAGGAAACACAATTTTTTCTATAATTGTAGTTCTTAATGGCATATGTGGTGAAAGTACATTTGGATCACCAAAGGCAGTCAAGGGAAGCTTCAGATCTTTTACTCCACATTCCTTATTTGTGTATTCTCGAAGCACATAATCCTTTGAAAAGTCATGAAACACTCTTGTATCATTTACTCTGACCATTACACCATCCACTCTGAGGAAAAACCTCTGCAGCACAAAAAATGAACTGGGCATTACTCTCTAAAATATTGTTTCTTTTTATGTTGTAAGGATTTGCGAATTACAGTAACTTACTATTTTTATTGTACATGAAGAAATGCCATTATCATGCAGTTCATCTTCATATAGCATCATGTCATGATAAAAGAGTATTTTTTCTTTCTGTTTCAACATTTCCATATCAATTCTTTCTTCTGTTGGAGTTATAACTGCTTGGTCAGAGAGTGTGCCACTGTAGTCTGTGCTGAATGTCCAATCAAAAGGTTTGATCTTCTGTCCTAAATTTTCCAAAGATCTGAAATAATGAATGAGTCACAAAAGAAAAACAAATGAATACAAACCTGGACTCTTTCCATGCTTCAGAACATGCCACTTGTATAGGTAACTTGCCATTACATACTTTCTTTAAAGCATCAAAAGCATTAAATTGTATTTCCCCGCCATTTGGGTGTATAATCCTTAGAACATTTTTTGGGAAAACCATCTCTGGTAAGTGGGGCAGTTCAAGCCTATTTGTATATCTAAAATATATCTGTAAAGTTACATATTTATTCTAAACGAGATCCCGACATACAAACACAAAAGACATTGTTCTTCAGATTTTGAGCTACACTTTTCCGGCGTTGTACAAACTGAATGTAAAATATGCGACTTTGTGTATTTAAAACTCCAATTATTTAGTTCAAATTCTTCTGAATCAGTGGGTAATCTATGGACATCTACTTCACCTGTCTGATTGTGAACGGACATTGTGATCTAAAGTGCTCTTGTTTACAATGAAGGTTTGTAACCCTACTTAGCGCTCCATAAACCAAACACAAACAACTTACAGATTTTTTCAACTAACCTAAATACTACCTGCTTGGTTTCCGTCATGACACAGACCACTACTGTGGTAGTACAAAAAAGAATTCTTCGTCTTTGCCATAGATTATGTTTAAATAAGTTGGCTAAAGACTCTAAACTAGATAGAGTGGCTACCACTGGGCTATATAATGCTCTGCAACGACATGGTAGAAATTTTAGTAGCAAATTGAAAAGTAAACGGTAGCTTACATAACAATACACCACCCAAAATATATTTCCGCAGCATTTTGAATTTTAGATGTTAACATTTTAAATCGCAACCAAAACCGAAATTTAAAACACTAAACCATAATAATAGATAGTTTAGGTAATTCCCAAATTTTAACAAAATGTGTTCTATGACTTCCGCAGCACCACTGAAAACAGCAGCACCCAAAAAACATAAACTATAGTCGGTCATAAAACCAAGTATACGTGCCCTACTATTTCCCGCTTCAACTCGTATACTAAGAATAGCAAACCCACTCATATACCTGCCAGAGTTCTATGTTCTATCTAACGTATTTGGAGGAAGTATTGTTCAATACTGTAGTTCTTTGTCCTAACCAATCTTTTTGTTATACCTATGCTATGCAGACCCACTGTAAATGTTGAATGACACTTAAAAGAAGAAGAAATAAAATATACCAATCAACACAACTCCACGGAAGTCGGCAATGGGCGAATGATCCTGGTAGTAATGCCCAACAGTTTTTGTGAAACGCATCATTGAATTGAATACCAATCAACACGTTCCCACTTTTAATCAAAATGGCACTAGACGTATCAAACATTCCACAGAGTCAAGACAACCCGCCATCACCGGTCATCCAAGAGCTAAAAAAAAACAACTGCAAAATACACCAATTATTTTTAATTATTCGGGAATCCTTTGCGGTGTCAGTAGTCAAAAAAATAAGATTGATTTTTTTTTCATAATTGGATGTATGAAATCTAACTAATAACAATAACACCCTGAATATCGAACGACACATATTGCCAAAAGTCGCATTTTTATCTCAGACAAAATTCGAACTTCTGTCATTATTAAATGTCTATTAATCTTTGTCAAACGATATGATGATGATGAAAAAAGGTCTCAAAATAGGCAACAATTATGAAGAAGACAATTTCGTTAGGCGAGAGAAGCGACGTAGACTTGAAATTTCGGTAGATGTAGCAAAAATGAGATCAAATTTGCCAAGTTACGACTTAAACGACATTCGGAAGTAATTATAGGGTTAACGTGACAATCAGTTCTAGCTTTTCTTTTTTGAGTTTTACACAGGCACCGACTGCCTTACCATGAAGCATTAATTTTGGAACTGCAGCAGAACAATTACGTGCTGACGGAAATGTACTTAAAACAACTTTTCGGTCTACAAGAAGTTTCGCGGAAGGAAGCGGGCCCTCAAAGCCTTGCTTGGACCTTCCCTGTTTTACGCGACAGCGTTGCCGAACTTGTGAAACTTATTGATGGGCTTAAGAAATCCGAAGAACATCACCGTCGAGGTAGCCTTTGACGTAAGGGAATTCCTCTTAAGAACGTTTGCTGTTGTAGGAAACTTTCTGGAAGAGACGGATACCTTACTACAAGTGGCCGTAGGCTTTGCGTTTGATGGAGACGAGTGGTGGTGGATTGCCGAGCAGTTATTTCTGCAATGTATTTCAAACTGCACGCATTACGGGAATTTGATGAAGCTCGAAGCTATGTCAAGATATGCTTACTCCAAAATGTTGATAGAAAAAGGTAATTAACCCTAAGAACAAAGCATGATAGGAAAGTAGAATCTTGTTTCACCTAGTATACCGTCAAAGCAATGGAAGTTGTACTAAATACATTTTTCTACTCCTGTTTGTAAAATACCTAACTACACACCAATCTAGCGTGCGGGAAACGTCACTTTGAAGCGTCAGTTTCGTTTCCCACGGATCCGAGCCACTTCGGACATTTCCGAGATTTTACCACACGGATTTGGGAGCAACTGGATGTTTTCGGAGATATTTCCCACGTTTTGAATGTTGACGTTTGTTAAATCTGACGATCGTGTCAGTGAATGCATTCGTGTCGTTTTGCGAAAATGTTCCCAAAAACTAAACTAAAACACTCGCTCCGTTCCGTTCCGCTTATGTCAAATAAACTTGTGCGTCAAATGCCGTTTTTCTACTCCCGTCTGTAAAATACCTAATTACACACCGATCTAGCGTGCGGGAAGCGGCACTTTACTACGTCAGTTTTGTTTTCCACGAATCCGAACCACTTCGGATATTTCCGGGATTTTACCGCGCGGGTTTGGGAACAGTCGGATGTTTTCGGACATATTTTCCACGCTTTGAATTTTGACGTTTGTCAATTCTGACGGTCATGTCAGTTAATGTATTCGTGTTGCTTTTCCAAAATGTACCTAAAAACTAACGGTCGTAGAAAAAGTATACTGTGCAACACGTTCGGTAAACTTTTTAAGTCACTCGTGAGTCAAATGCTATTTTTCTACTCCCGTCTGTAAAATGCCAATTACACACCGATCTAGCGTGCGGAAGCGTCACTTTACCACGTCAGTTTCGTTTCCCACGGATCCGAGCCACTTCGGACAATTCCCGGATTTTGCCGCACGGGTTTGGGAGCAATCGGATGTTTTCGGAGATATTTCCCACGCTTTCAATTTTGACGTTTGGCAATTCTGACGGTCATGTCAGTGAATGAATTCGTGTTGTTTTGCGAAAATGTACCCAAAAACTAACGGTCGTAGAAAAATACTATGCAACACATTCGGTAAACTTTTTATGTCACTCGTTTATTAAACACTCGCTCCGCTGCGCTCCGCTCGTGTCAAATAAACTCGTGAGTCAAATGCCGTTTACCGCACTGGTTGCATAATGTACTATTACCCCACTTGTTGCATAATCTACTATTACCGCACTTGTTGCATAATAATGTACTATTACTTCTTTTGTACTGGGAGATATGTAATTTTTGGTATTTTAAATACCATGTGATTTTTGAGCAGGTTTAATTGAGAGTTTAAAATTGAATAAGCGTGGAAATAAACTAAAAAAATTTCATGTATTGACTATCCAGTCTTATAAATTGAAAATTTGTCATTAATGACAGGTGACATATTCATTCTAAACTTGACATACATATTAGTGTATTGTGCAACAAGTAAATATTCAACTTAAAAAAAAACGAAATGGGTTGCTGAGGATGAAATAAAATGCATTACAGACGCAGTATCAAATTTTTTGTGAAAAGAATAATATTCTGTTGAGCGAAATTTTTAAAAATCTTATTGCTGTAAATCTGGTAACATATTTGAGGTTTTTTGAACTTTTAAGCGCGAGATTACGAAAATGCAGAAGAGCAATTGGAGAGAACGTGTGAAATTTCATCTGGAAAAACTTGGAATGCTTCGAAAATTTTTCGGGACATAAATGAACCAATATTTATGAGCTGCAATTATTTGTTACACATATGTTTAATAAAGCAAGCCCATCAGTGGTCGAAAACCCATGCAAGGCAAGCCATTGAGTTCGCCAGTTTGGCAAGGAAAAGAGCCAATGAAGGTATGCTTAATATCACAAAAAATCGCGACAACCACTTGGCCAAAAATATTGGCATCATTGTAATCTTAATTACAAAAATTGATTTTCATTACCACATTGACTTATTGACAAAAAAAGAACGATTTTCCGTATTTGCAAATATTAAGATACTCAACTTCAGATCAAGCCGTTGTTCACTTTTTTGGTTCAATAGTAGCTCTTTTGGCAAAAACAAACAAGCAACACTTATTGAAAAACTTCACTTATTGTATTGAGCAGTATGATTCCAAGGATCTTTTTTGGTGAAAAAGCAACAAAAGCATGAGTGAAAGTCCACTATTTCTACCAAGACAACGAACTAACAATGTTTTTCCATTGCTGTTGTTTGGTCGGACAGTTCGAAATGACGTATTCCCACTGTTTTTTAATTTCTGTTCTGCTTAGCAATGACGCGCCATTTTAGCCTGTTACTACGACGGCGAAACCGACGCTCTTTTGCTGAAAGGACAATGCGAATTGGATATTTTGGACACGAAATCGGCAATTTCTTCTTTCAAGAAAGCGTACCACATTCAATCAAGGTTAGGATCGCAGAAAGGCATGTGTCAAGTAAGAGTGGAATTGTCCAAGGCGTATCTAATGTAAGTTTCCTTCTTTTACAAAAGCAATGTTGGACATATTGGTGTCTTAATGTCACCAGTGGATCTTGAATTGTTCCACTGGTTTTTTGAAATTGTCCCAACTTTAACCGATCGAGTCAAAACTCGACATAGTCGGTGCACCCTCAACATATTCTTTTGTTTTATATTCAATTTTATTGATTTCAAGTTGACTTCCTTCAATCCGCAATTGTCTCTGTGACTCGTGACATGAACGCTACCATATCTTTTAAGTAACTCTTTGAAATGGTAGAGTTTAAATTAAACCTTATTTTCGTGGGGTCGTGGCAGGAGTGACAACATAAAACTGGCATTAGAAAATTTATCAGTTCTGAAGGAAGTTGCAGAAAAACATAACCTAAAGTTGTATCTGGCCCAAGCTTATAGACATTTAGGAGAGTTTTACCTAAAAAATGGCGATCCGCGTGAAGCAACGCCTTTACTAATGGATTCGTTACAAATTTTCCATGAGTCGGGGGATATGGCAACAGCGGATGAGATCAGGATTTTCGTTGCTTTATCTGCAGGTAGGTAGAAATTCCTAGCTAATCACATTATAAAAGGAAACATTCAAATAGGTTGGCTAGAAATCTGCAACCCGTTATGAAAGTGTTCAGAATTTCAGAGTCTGTTTATCAAAGATGTCTAAAAACAAGTATTAAATTTGAAATGTAATGGCTTATCGTAACATTCAAAAAAAATGCTCTAATAAAAAAATAAAGTCAAAATTACCAAAGATGACGAATACGTTATCTGCCAAAATTAATAACAAACTTATATAATCCTAAACCAAACTAACGCGCTTAGAATAATATTTTCTACAACCTATTCTAAAATACACTCACTATCGCGAGTCACTTCAGGAGTTTACAATCACAGATTTGGGAGCGATCGGATGCTTGTACACTTCACACTGGCAGTTCTGCTGTTTTGCAAAAATTTAATAAAAGAACTACTACAAATCAAGAGGACATTAAATGATTGTATGGGTTGTTCGTAAAGTCATTTCGTTTTTTTTTGGGAACATGAAAGACAGTTTTCGTATAATGAATAAATATTTTATTAAATTATATATTGGCCATTCTGGTCCAACACCTTTTGCCATCTTTCTGGCAGTAACATAATTCCCCTCTCATAAAAGTTTTGGTCCTTGCTGGCAAAAAACTGGTTCAGGTGGTTTTTGACATCTTCATTTGAGGTAAAGGTTTTGCCATCCAAAAAATTTTGCAGGGACCGGAACAAATAGTAGTCGGAAGGCGCCAGATCTGGAGAATATGGTGGATGTTGCAGTACGTCCCATTCAAGCTGTAAAAGTTTTTGGCGAATGACCAAACTTGTGTGAGGTCTCGCATTATCCTGGTGGAACACTACACCCTTCCTGTTGATTAATTCGGGCCTCTTCTCTTTAAGTGAATCATTCAATTTGTCCAGTTGATGACAATAGACTTCTGAATTAATCGTTGTATTGTCCGGCAAAAAGCTAAAAAAAAAAACGATTCCTTTGACATCCCACCAAACGGAGAGCATCACCTTTTTTTGGTGAATGTTGGCTTTTGACACGCTTTGAGCCGGTTCATCTTTTCTGCTCCATGACCTCTTACGTTTAACATTGTTGTATACAACCCATTTTTCGTCCCCAGTAATAATCCGCTTAAAAAATGGATCAATTTCTTGACGTTTGAGGAGCGAATCACACACGTCAACGCTCCGTAAGGACATGGGGCACCCACACATCGAGCTTCGAGGTTAAGCCCATGCCTTTCAAATGGCCATAAACAGTCGAATTCGACAAATTTAATCTCTCACCGATCTCTCGTGTGGTTAGTCGCCGATTTGCATCAACTAATGCCTTTATCGCATCTTTGTCAGCTTCGACCGGCCTTCCAGACCGTGGTGCATCTTCGACATCAAAATTGCCGGATCGAAATTTTGCAAACCAGTTCTGGCACTGGCGTACTGTTAACACGCCTTCTCCATACGCATCCGTCAATTTTTTTCTCGCTTGGACAGCATTTTTACCTTGTCTGAAGTAAAAAAGTAAAATATGACGAAAATGCTGCTTATTGCTCTCCATATTTAAAAGGGCACCAACCAAAAACTACTGCATAGAATTAATAGAACTTTTTCACACACAAGCCTTGCAATATCAGCTCTCAAGACATATAATGGTTATGCGGCTTAAGTGTGAAGTTGGTTTCGAAAAACGTAATTAAGTCCTCTGACGGGAAAAAACGAAATGACTTTCCGAAAAACCTTATAGTTGCCTTGTTAAAAAAGTAAAAATGCCTTATTTATATAGCAGTATGAATTTGGTTTGGTCAAAATATACATTTTAAATAAAAATTCCGACTGAGCCGGATTTTGTGGAGATATTGGTCACACCATAGAGCTAAAGCGTCAAATGCCCTCATCAATCTCATTTGTGCTAACAAAGTTTTCCAAGATCAAAAGTCGAAATCTTCGGTTTTTGAATTATTCTTGAAAAGGGTAAGTTCTATCAAAAAAAATTAGAAATTAAAAGATGAAATATTTATCCGCACGTATGCAATAAATGATCAGACATTGCAAATTTGCTTTTTTATTTGTTTGAACTATATCTTTCTGGGAGTAGGTTCTCTAAAGAGATTCCCTATACCCGCACGACTTTGATGAATTTCTGCCTACCCTATAGGCCACTGCGCAACGCTCATATATCTGCTTGAAAATTAAATAATAATAAAATAAAATGTTGCTTTATTTACAATAAACTTTGACTGAAGGTGAAAATGTTGCGGTTAGTCGTAAAATGAAAACTTTGGTCAATGCTAGTCTTGAAAGAGGTGATTCGATTTCCGAAAAAGGTTGTAGTGTTACATGTGACTATAGAAGAGTTGCTGTGTTTACCAGCGTGTACTAATGGTACTAATGGTCATGGTTGTTTGAATCTTGAATTGAACCAAAATCCATGTTTGTTTACAATTTTAATGTCTAATTCGACCAGATTAATTCGGTATATCAGTTTTAGATTTAAAACGTCCAATAAGTAACTTAAAAATCGCCACTCACTTAAGGCGGTTAGAGACCTTATTTTTGGGGAAATTTTGGACGATTGTTGGGCTTTGGGTTAGAAATTCTTGTATTCGATATCCGTTCGCTCTGCCATAAGTTTCTACGCAGTGCCTAAGAGTCAAAATAGTCCAACGCAATATTTTGTAGGTTTAAATTTGATGCCCGCATATGTGAATCTGGTGATTAGAAGCGGCAGATGTTTCTCGCACTCTGCCAAATTGATTGATTGGAAAGATTCCAGAAAACCATTCTGGGATGTTAAACTATCCGACCCGCTATTGAATGGGTCAATCTTCCAGCAGAAAAAATCTTCTGTTGAATATGTTTCTCATACAGAGCTAGTTGAGTTGATATTCGAGATTGCGTAACGTTATAGTTCAAGTGATTTGCTTGTTGTTTCCAGATTGGCGAGAAAGAAAACGAGGAACCACAAAATGAATCATTGATCGGAACCACGCAATATTTGTATGCCCCATGATACTTCAATATTTTCACATTAAAATAAAATACGCTTTTTCCTTAATGAGAACTTTATTCGTTCAATTATATGAAATTGGGTACCCGAATAGGCCACATAATATCGATTTCTCAGGATGCACTATAGTTTTGCGTATTTTTAATTTTTTACATTACACCTATGCTACTATAAATATACAACACAACACTCGTAGAATCAAGTTTAAGCTTTGACGGTGGGTTTTCTAGGTTCCAACGATATTTTGAATCCATCTTCCCTTTTCAAAATGATATCTCCTTGCAGCTTGTAGTCGTCTTCCTTCAGCCTGGACTTAATGCTGAAGTTACGTAAAATAGTGGACAGTAAAATCTTCAGTTTCAGCATTGCATATTTACGCCCTAAAATGTGAAATATTAATCGTTATATAATTTTCACCGGTATGTATAATTAGTCGATGAAAAATATAATATTAATATTTAACGCGATGTGGTTAACATTTAGTTGAGTTAGGCAGACAGATATACTTTTTCTACTCCCTACTCTAAAATGATGAAATATCCATGAAAAGCGTCAGCCTTAGCTTCGTTATCCACGGTCGACAGACACTTCGTTGCGGTAATTTATTCATGGGTTTAGGAGCAATCTAATGTTTTCGGTTGATCTAAGTCTCGGATAGAATTTTTACGTTTGTCAATTCTGAGGGTCTATGCGTCACGTGCCATCCAAGTTGTTGCAAAACATACTATTATTTAAGTAATTAACAACTATTATCCGGAGCGATCGGGTGTTTTGGGTAAATTATAAAAATAGTGCCTGAGACATCCTGTGTGTCCACGTGTAGAGGGAGTCTCAAATGTTGTTAACGTATAGTAGGTATTTTCGAAGATACATGATTATTGCTATTTTTTTACATTTTCTCTCAGCTGTTAATTTAATTAATTTTTTAAGATCTTTAATTTCTCCGTTTGATCTGTGTACTTTTAAAAAAATGAAAAAGAATGGGAAAAATGAGGTAGTTTCAATTGATTCGAACTGGTTCCAGAATAAGAATAAATCGACTAAAGTTCATACAAAAATGAAAAAGTGACGGTTTCAAATTTAAAATTAATTGGCACGAGTTTTCACTTAAATTTAAATGAAAATTTGGTCAAAAAGGCAGACGTACAGGGTGGCCTGTTTATCTTATCTCCAAACTCACGGGGTTACAAAAAAAATTAAATACAAAAGTTGTTTCCTTCATTTTTTTTATTTTCCTAATCGTCACTTTTTATATAAGTTGTTTCCCTTATTTTTTTTATTTTCCTAATCGTCAGTTTTTTATATACAGGGGGGTAAAACAAAGTTACATTTTTTTAAATAGAACGCCCTACATTTTATTGCATTTTTGGATAGTCCTTTCAAAGACAAATTCAACGATATATATGAGTATGGGACTGTGATGCACCGTTTCGAACTTATTAGCAATCTTCAGAATTCGGGTTATGTTTAAACTACTATCAATTGTTTATGTTTAAACTATCATCAATTTTGTGTTTGTGTCTTTCAGCAGGCAGGTTTCTATCTATTTTTTAAAGACATATCTATATTATTTAGAATATGACAATTTTTTAAAAGTTTTTTCCATTTGAGGACCTTATTTACAAGATTCTTAAATTATGAATATAAAAGAATTTATGTATTATTGGGAAATCATTGCCAATTAAGCCAAAACGGTGGGTCAGAAACCCGTACTATATTATATAATTGAAATTGCTATTGAAGTGGGTATTCGAAAATCAAATAATATATAGGGTGTCTCATTTAAGAAAATTGAGAAAAGTATCATTTTGGGAAACGTGGCAACACCGCGAATTTTAAGAAAATATTTTAAATTTGATCATTCGCTAAAGCATTATTTTCGTAAAAATAATATTTGGAAAAAGTTAAAAAAATTAATAAGGAACCCAACAATGATGGTTTAAACATAACCCGAATTCTGAAGATGATTGCTAATAAGTTCGAAACGGTGCATCACAGACTCATACTCATATATATCGTTGAAGAATAGGCCCCTCTCGATTGAATGAACTTTATCAAATTTGGACCAGATAATAACAGAAAATTGCAAAACTCTGAAAAGTTTTGTGTGGTCAAACCTTAAAGAATAAATTTAGTTACTATAAATTTTAAAAAGAGGCTATTAAACAGACGTGTTCTTACTTTTATGTCTTTTTTAAAATTCAATAATAAATATAATTTCAATATTATATAATTTTTATATCATAAAAGGTATTCTTAGTTCAAAAAATTAGAGAAAAAACGTGGATGGGCATAATAATCATTGCATATAATATACAAGTTCAAAGTATATAGAATGTGAAGAATGAAAAAGAAATGCATAAATTCTCACCGAATTTAAAAATTATTTTTTTTATAGAGACAAAAAAGATCATAGCCGACTTAATTTGGTACAGCCTTTGTATTCCCAGCTAGACTCGTGACATAGAGATCGAAAACGTCCGGAGCATCTAGTTGACCGCGGAGTCCCATTGGTTTTCCAAATCAAGTGACGTTTATCGCATCACCAAAACAGTAGTTTTGTAGTAGTAGTTTTTCGAGGTTTTTTGGTATTTCTGAATATCTCGTAACTTAGTTAAGATTTATAAGTGCCCAAATATAGTAAAAAAATCGTCAACAAATTTGTGTGAACATTTCCGCGAAAAAAGAACAAATGTCTGGCTAAATACGAACCTACGCAGCTGCGCGGGCCAGCGCTGAATGGAATAAAGCCGTAATAGTGCCTGTTCGCGGTACGTTCTGGGAGGAAGTTGTCTGGATCGAACTTCTCCGAATTGGGTCCGTAGATTTCTTCAAGTCTGTGTATTTTGAAGGTCCCCACCACAATCGTAGCGCCAGACGGCAGAACCAAATTCGGATTGGAAGCTGCAGTAAACAACATTGATAACATTCGTTAGAGTTACCTTCTTCCTCGCGACACGAACCTAGTTTAACATCTTGCTGTAATTGTCGAGCGATGATAGGCACTGGCGGGAATAATCTGAGAGTTTCCAACAAGCAACGTTCCAAATATTTCATTTCCAACGTATCGGCGAAGGTCGCGGGTCTGTCTGATCCCTGGAAAATTTCGTCGATTTCCTGAATCACTTTTTCTTGGATATCCGGATGCGCAGCCATTTGGCAAAGGAAAAAGCTCGATCCTGCGGCGGTTGTGTCGTGACCTATAAGCAATTTTAGATGGATTAAATCTTAGTTCACCGTCACGTGGTGTTACCCGCCTTCAAACATGATGGTGTCCACTTGTTCTTTGATTTCCTCGTCGTTGATCACGACTCCGTTTTGGGACGCTTCGATCATGAGGTCGAGGAAAGCCATTCTCTTTTTCTCGCCTACGTCGTCATCTACGTCTAGATCATCTTTAAGACCGACCGACTGGCCGTACGAAGTGCCTTCAACGGTAGCCGTTTTGAGAGAAACGTTCCTGTCGTAGTTTTTGGTTTTCAATTCCTCGGGCACTTCGGCGCTTGATCCGCGTAGACCTAAAACATTCGCAATAGCTGATTTGGGATATTTTAAATACGGATTCGATTACCCTTTTCAAAATCGGCTTTCTTCTTCTGAATAACTTTCCGGGTTAAACTGTGAATGACTCCGATTAGTTTTTCCTGGTATTTTCCGTATTTGGTCAGGTTGAAGATGATGTCGGGTCTAAACCAGAACTTTGTGTGGCGTAAATGGAGAATGTCGCAGAGCTTCATCACCGCCATCGCGTAATCGTACCCGCTTTGGTCTTGTGTTTTCTTGCTTACACCCATAGCGGTTTCTAGATATAAAACGTGCTATATTTAGAACGATTATTCAGGTCGTCTGGATGAACTTTTGCATATACCTAGTAAGATTTCGACTGTCGCTTCCGACATGTAATCGTGGCAGTCAAATTCCTTGCCGATTTCTTTCTCTAATTTCCTAACCGTTTCCCTGCTGTTCTTGTTGAAGAGGTCGATAAATGATTTTAGAACGTTTAGATGGAAAGTGGGCGCGATGAGTTTTCGATGTGCCCGCCATTTTTGACCGGTCGAGATCAATAGGCCATCTCCCAACCACGGTTTGAAGAATCGGTATTCAGGCGATCTGAGGAATATTTGTTCCATGTTTTTGACGAATTTTTTTCTGCCCCCGAACTGGGCCCATTGGAAAACAGAGTCTATCAGGTTTTTAATGTAAAACTCAGCTAACGGGAATCCATGTTTTAGCAAAAGGAGGCCAAACATTTTTTATAATGCTTACCAATAATTTTCTTGCATTAAATTTAAATTTTGCGGAATGACGTTTATAAGCAAAAATTAACATTGCCTTAACAAAAATTAGTCAAAAACCAAACCAAAACCATTTATATATAAAACACCAATATTAGATTTTCACGTTTTTATTTGTTTATCCGAAAAAGGCCAGAAAAAAGCATTTTTATTTTTCAAAAATATTCGGTGGAAACCCTTTAGTATGTTTGCGTATAAATCAAAACACTAAACAATGATTTTTTATTATAACTTTAATACCCCGTATTTCGAAAATGAACCAATTTAGGAGTTATGTTTATATCAAACAAGTGAAAAAGCTAAGGAATTTCGTATAAATCTACTAGTACCTTTGGAGTTTCATTCAGTGTTTGTTGGTTTCTCGTAAAAAATATTCCTTGAGTTACCGTTCAATCCAAGAAATGAGATATTAGCTTAATAACTACAATTTTTCTCCATATATATATATATATATATATATATATATATATATATATATATATATATATATATATATATATATATATATATATATATATATATATATATATACAGGGTGTGCTAAATTCGAGGAGGTATAATTTAAAACCGTTTCAAAATCGAGTAAATTCCAATTAGATCCGGAGATATCCGGAAAAACCGAAAATCAGCGATTTATTTTGAATTTTTTCCTGGCATTGATTAAAGAAATTTTTGAAAACAAATGGCACTTTCTCATTACATGTTTTTCTGCCCTACAAGTTGGCAATTGCAAATTGACAATAAAGCCAAATTTAGAAAGAAAAGGTGGCTATGAAACAAAAGCATTTATGTAAGAAAAGTCTAGACAAACGTTGTTTATTATTAAAGTGTCAGTTTTTACCGTTGTGTGTAATTATGGACTTTGTAGTTTTCGAATTCAATTCACTCAGAAATTCCAGAATTGCTACTGTACCTACATAAATCAATATCCCCAGCGAGTGCAACCGCATCCAAATATGTTTGCTAAATTGGATAGAAATTTGTAGCAATTGGGCAGAAATGAAATAATAAGATGAAATAATAAGATTTTAGATATCTAATTGTTTTTTTTTAAATTTTGGTTAATACCTTAGGTAAATAATACACCTCGAGGATTAATAAGACATTTTGAAAATGAACTGCAAATTTCGAGAACGAGGGACATTACATTCAAACCACTATCCTCCATACAAATTTTCCATAAGTCAGAAACTTAGACCTGCAGATGGTGACTTTATACAGAAAATAATTTGGCCCGATGAATGTAGTTTTACAAATTACGGTTTATTTACTAGGCATAATGAGCATTACTGGTCCACAGAGAATCCGTGACAATATCAAGAAGTGAGAGCACTGGGGCAGGGTTCCTTTAATGTTTGGGTAGGCTTGCTTGTGGAATAATAAAATTATGGGTCAAATAATATAGAAAGGTGTCTTAACGTCCGAAAGATATCGACCCGTGATATTAAATAATATTTTCCATCAGTTTGATAACGAACCGTTAAATATTGTGCAATCATTATGGTGGCAACAAGACCTCCTCGCAATGGACGGTAAATATATTATTTCCAAATAATGGGGATATTTAAAAAAATGTTTATATCGTGAGAACCCGAGCGACATAAATGAACTACGGCTTAACTTAGAGAAGCTATTCCTGCTCGGTCCATTCAACGTCCAATATTAAAGTTGCTAAGGCTTATCGCAAAATGCATTGAAGCAATTAGAAGATCTTACATGATTCTAAGCTGTATTATTCCCTACTTTATTTTTTTATTTTTTTGTCTTCAATATGAATTTAATAATTCTGTTCTCAGTTGTTTCTTTGTTGATGTACTGCAATAAAAAAAATTATATTTATTTTAAAAACGTTTTTTTTTTGTTACTGTAATAGTTACCAAAATAAAATGTAATTAAAACTATAATATTTAACAAATACGTCAAGGCTTTGTTGTCAATTTTGGTTCGTTATTCTTTAGTAAATCTTTAAGTGTGATACATGTGTTTTTTCAGAATGACGGTTATTCAAAATATTAAATAAAAAACGCAGGTCTGTATTTAAAAAAAAAAGTCGTACTTAAAACTTAATAATGCCAACTTATAGGAGAGAAACAGTTTGAAATAGGAAAAGTTAATTTGTTTTCAATTTTTTTTTGTAATTAAGGCCAAGAAAAAATTTAAACGAAATTGTTGATTTTCGGTTTTTCCCGGATATCTCTGACACTAATTAGAATTTTCCCAATTCTGAAACGGTTTCAAATTAAGCACCGAAATAGGCAACTTTGCCTCCCTCTTTCGGTTTCCGAGATCCCAATACCTCCTCTCGAAGTTGGGTTTGAGTTCACTGTTCACTAGGACTTTATTTGAAGACTTTTTGAAAAACTGCTTCACTTAAAGTATATAAAGCCTAGTGACACCGATATTTTCAACTCACTTGTCAATGTGCACGTGACTGCTCAGGATTATTTCGACGTCATCCGGATCGGTCAAGAAAATGAGAAGCCTGGGTCCAATCCACAGTTTGATGGTTCTGCCGTATTCATAAGATTTTTGATACACCTTCTTAAAGATATCTATTTAAAGAAGAAGTGTTGTTATAAAATGCGCAATACATTGGAAAATTCAAAAATGTATTGTTTCTGAGGAGCGCCTTCATAATTTATCAGCCATTGTGTAAATTTTCTTCCAAATAATTTACAAATAATGGACATGCAAATATGTCTGCGAACGGTACACGGGACAATCAAATAAACAATAGTGAAATGTTACAAAGATTATCGAAGTGGATTGTCACGTACGTACGTCAACTTTTTTATTGCAGTATTGTGACAATATTCTTGTTTGACAGTGATGCAAGTGTATTTTTTTGTGTTAAATTTTATATTATACCAAGTGCGGGAATCGATACTTTCAAATCCATTTTGTAATTTCGGAACTGAGGTTTAAGGCAAACGTGTTGGCTAGGACTTTGGCTTAGTTTTTCTCTCGCAAGTGCAAAATTTTAATTTACGCACTTATTAAAAAAGAAATTTAGTTTTGCAAAAGACCGAACGAAATGATTTGGTTTGCCCTATGGCCGCTTTATGCGATTGTGTTTATAAGATTGTTAAAAACAAGGGCCATTTGAGCAGACCGATTCGATTCGATATTCCCCAACTTGTTATGTTATGAAGTTATAAACTACTTCATAAAATAAGCACTATATCTTTTTTTAGATCGAACAATTTTACCGTATATATGTTTTGTCATTTGGTTCATGGTTATCTCGCATTTTCGTAGTATTTCGCAAAATTGCTTCATTTACATCTGATAACATCTATTATGGCAATGTGGTTTGCCTTCATTCCTACCGGTATATTCCCAGATATTATTCTTTGAATTGTGTTAGTGGGCTGATTAATTTTTATGCTGAGCATAAAGTAAATTACTTTTTGTTTACTTTTTTGGGTCTTTGAGAAGAAATAAAAAATGTAATATTGAAATGTTGCTGCATTTCACAAAAGCGTAAGTTGGGAAGATTTTTGAGTTATAACGAAGTAGAGCACAAAATTTTATAAGGATCGATTTGAAAATTAGTAATTTTTCTTACCATGGGGCGACCCTACAAACTCGAGAGCATTTCCGATGATAGGCAATCCCGCTGGACCTGGAATTTTGTTCGCTAGCTCCACCATGTGCCTTCTTGATATTGTCCAGTAAATGTAGTATAGGGCTATGGCGGGAATCAGAAGAAAATAAAATACGCTGGTGGCTGAAACTACCCCAGCCGGGCTAGCCAAGTCAGGGCTGGCTGTTGCGGCCGTCGACATTTTGAATGAGACCTGGTAAATGTATGGGACGAAAAATTTTATTTGAACTTAATTAATAATTTTGTTATTTACACTGACAGTCATTCTTTTTTATCAGAATAAACCACGTTGTTTCCTAATTTCAAAATTACGGAGCTGGTACAAAAATTCATTTTATCATAAAATTTAGGTTTCTTCAGTGCAATTTACTTATTAATCGAGGAATAGAATAAAATCATAAAAAAAACATTTTCCAAATGTTAGCTTTCTTTAAGTGACGTTATAATTAATAAAAAAATTAAACGATATGCAATAATAATAAAATAAAAATGTAATATACTTAAATAAATAAAAAATTAAGGCGCTATCGGCAAGTAAGAAATCAAACTTATTAAAAAAAGCCAATCTTAATTTTTATTATAGCATTTAAAAAAATTTAACGAACTTATTGAAAGCATTTTTTTTCGTTTTGCAGATTTTACCAAAATTATTTTTACGCTAAATGCAACTCAGTCACATTAAATTTTTAGCTTTTCTTTGCAAAACAAAACGCACTATCACTGCCAAACTTAATTTCACAAAAAAAATAAACACTACCTTTTCTTCCACAACCTTAGTACTAAAAGATCGTCTGCCGCCGTGTGACAGAATATTTGCCAGGCTTTGATTTTATATTCCTCCGCTACGTCAAACTTGCTCGCTAATGCTCGTCAGTATACAGCGTGTCCTCATTAATAAAACACAATGGAAAAAGGTCAATTTCTAGGGTTTCGATCTATGAATATTGAGCAGGTGTGTTTTGACGTTCTGATAACAACGGTTCTGGTTCAAGCAAGGAAAACTTTTAGAAAACTGTTGACGCAGTTCCATCGATTGTTTTTTTGTTTTCGTCTCCTCGGATCTAACAAGGAATTACATAATGTTTCGGATTTGGAAATAGGCTCTATTTTATATAATCATTTTATTAACTGTCTGTTACAGCAGTATTCGTCTAAATCTTTTAAACTTCACTATTGAAAATCAATTTCAAACAATTTTGTTGATAAACTTAAGATTAAGATTAACGGTTGGGAGAGCTAACAGTCAGCCTGTCCGTCACTGCGACCCAGAGGATCTATTGTGACTCTCTCCATAGCTTTAGAGCTTTATCCAGGTTCGTCTCTCTAACCAGACTCCACAACTTCGATAATGGCACCCTCGTATAGCTCTCTGCCTCTGGTTTGGTATCGCCCAGCAGATGGAAACGCACTCTGGCTAGGCCTTCGTAGTGGCACAGTACGTGTGCGGCTGTTTCCTCCTCTTCCTGAGAGAATCTACATTCTGTGTTTTCTTCCACTTCCATCAGGCTTAGATGTCTCTTGTCTCTTAAGCCTGCAGTGGCCCGTCAGCATTCCTACCATTATTCTTACGGCTTTCCTATTGTAGCTGAATAGGTCCTCTGTAATTCCTTGGCCTGTCTTTGTCCCGGCATATCCCTCCACCATCGTCGGGATTCTCGGTCCATCCAATCCCTGATGGCTGTTTTTGCAACGGGTTTGGCCACCCCACAAAAGGGTTCCGGTTCAGTCAGGCGCATTGACGACCCTTCGCGGACTGCGTCGTCTGCGCCTTCATTACCTTTATGCCCTCCATGTCCCGGTACTCATGACAGAGTAACTTTGTTCTGACTTGCTATCTCGTTTAATGCCTTACGGCAGTCCAGAACTAACTTGGATGTTATTTTATTAGATTGCAGGGCCTTTATAGCCGCTTGACTATCGGTGTAAATTGTAATTGATTTGTTACGGATCTTCCTCGCTTTTATTTCTCTTGCATAGTGTTTTAGTGCAGTGATCTCTGCTTGGAATACTGTTGCTAGCTTACCCATTGGAATAGAGATTTTCCTTTTCGTCCTGGGTTCGTATATTCCGGCTCCTACTCCTTCTTGAGTTTTTGAGCCATCAACATACCAGGTTATTTCTGCCTTGATTGGTGGCCCGTTTTTCCAGTCTTCTCTTGCTGGGATTTAAGTCCTGTGGTGGTTAACAAGCAATACTTAGGTGTTGTGCTGTCCGTAGGCAGCCCTAGGACATTGTCCGCCCTTACCTCCAAGTAAAGCTTGTTATGTTTCGTGCTATGTCCACCAATTATTGGGGACTGGCCTTGCAGTAATCTATATACTGTGGATCTTGCTTCCCCTTCTATATAGATCTGTATTGGTGGGATGTTCAGTAGGACCTCCAACCTGTAGCGCACAGACTCGCTAGTCTTTGCACGCTACTCAGCCGCCTTATCGCCTCCCCCTGCATGGTTCTTGTCCACCAGACAATCGCCCCATACGCTAACATTGGTCTCACTACTGCTAGATACAACGTGTCATTTTTGGGCTTAAGCCCCAGTTCTTTCCACACATCCTTCTGCATCTACCTAGTGCAATTGTTGCCCTAAGCGTGATCTTTTGAAGTTTTTGGTCAAATATGACTCCTAAATATTTTACCTCCCTGGAGAAGTGTAGCCTTGTTCCATCTACCACCGGCGGTTGCGGTCCTGTGAGGATTCTCCTATTGGATAAACTTCATTTAAGTTCTAAAGATTTTAATCAAAAATTTAATTTTTTGCGGTCCACTGTAGCCACAGTAGGTTCCATAAGTCCATAAAACTTTCTTTCATCTCAACTTGTTTTTAAGAAATCTATACTTACGAACTATACAAAATATGCCTTACACAATGTATTACCAAACGTCAGATAACAGAAAAAAATCACTTTGGAAAGAAAGAATGCTGAGACTAGGATGACCAAAACTTCCCATCTTTTAAGAAATCAGTGGTAGATATTTTTTCCTAAATAATCAGCATGATTAAAGAAGTTTAAAAAATGATTCCACGAATTTAATTCAGCAAAGCAGCCCTGGAATTACAAAATATCACCTTGTGTGATATTATAAAGGATGTAGAAGAGATCTTTTAATTAAATCTATTGGCAACTCTGAAACACACTTTGAACTCATCAGTTGAATTATTATTGTTCAATTTTTTACCGTATTTCGGCTTCCTACTTGAGAAGAGTAATTCATTTTACTTAAAAATTGTACTTTTAATCAATATCGATATGAATGTAAGAAAAACGTCCTTTTCGACAAAGTTTTTTAATGAATCGATTGTTTTTTATTTCATTTGTTCAAATTTTCGAGTTTTGCTTCGAACAAAACTTATTTTGTTTTTATGGTTATGGTTTATGCTTTATTTATTTATGGCGGATATATTAGGAGAATATTATAAAATAAAAATAAAGCTGTCATGTAGAAAATTCTTTTGTTTTGGTTTGCTAACGCCAAATTTACATATTTAGCAACTATTTTTAAAATATCAACACTTCTTCAATTTCATATATTTGTGTTTTGTTTTAAATAGGCTTTGTCCCAAGTGGGTTGGTGCGTTGTAAAATTTTGAAACCGCGATCGCGCTTGTCGCTTTAATAACTTTTTCGCAGCGCTACGTCATCTGTCTAAAACACTATCACTAGTCCCTACTATCTAGATATTTTCAACAAGACCCCAAAATAGGATAAATAGGAAACTATTTAGGCAATAAACGCTTTGATCGAAGCTCCATCTATCAGCAATTTGATTTGAACTTATTCAGGTATCTGGTAGGTGTGCGCGAAATATGGCAATCATAATTTTCGTGAAAATGTTACGATGGTTGGCATACAAATTTTCCACACCTTTGAATATTTCTCACATAAATATTTTTACCAACTTAATTGGTCTGCATATAAAAAAGGATGATTTTTTTAATGATTTGAATGTTTAACATATGAATTTTGCTTTTAAAACAAAAAAAGGAGAGTGTATATGGTAACTTTTGAACAACTAATATTAAACTACGGTACCAAACTACTACTCCAGTGGATTATACTTTAACTTAGGTAATATATTGAATAATTGCTATATGTTGTGACCGACATATTCTATAAGCTTGGCTGAGAGGACACAGTATAAAGATAAATTTAAACATGCTTTTTATTTAAAGTTTTTATTACACAATCATATAAATATTAAAAATGCATTTCAACAAGGTTTTTACTACAATTTTTATATTTCACATTATACAATTTATTAACTTACGATAAAATAACAAAGACAGTCTTAATTAGATTGCTTATACAATGAATTTCTGACGGTAAAACTAAAAACAAAATACATAAAAAAAATAAAGTAGGTCTACCATGACATAAGGATTAAGAATTTCTGCTGTTGTCTGCGCTATCTGTAAAAAAATGCATAATTAGAATCGAAAAGCAAAGCGCTAGCGTCATTGCAGTTTAAAACTGATCAAGACTATAGGAAGTAAATAATGTCTGACAAAGATCCGGTTTATCCCAGCTGTTTCGATTCATGCATTATTTATTATTTATGTGAAAAGTTGGAAAAAGGTGTATTTCTACATTTAACTAAAAATGAAATGAAGCGTTAGTGGTAATAGAAATTAATGATGGTTTTAATTTAGTAGTTTGTCGTATTTCAATTACAACGTGGGCCTTGTCTTTATTACAGTTTCATAGTGTGTGGTGGGAGAGTATGAAATTGAAAAACTGAAAAGTTGTTTTATATATTTAAACATAAATTAAGCTGAAGTTTTTGGTTTATGACACAGATTACATATAATACTTACCGGTTGAGCTGTTATGTTCTTCCTGCGTTGTAGATTCACTCCCGCGATGTAAATATTCTTCAACTTTATGTTTGACATTTTCAACGACTGGTTCTACGACAGGCTCCACAACATTACGCACTTTCTCCACAGCAGGCTCCACCAAATTTCTAGCAGTCTTTACTGCGGGCTCGGCATAGGCGTAAGCCGATTCTACAGTCGGGGTTACATGCTGATCGACGTATTCCTTGGTACTGTTATAGATCTGCAGAATCAGCTAAGTAAGGGGATGTTATTTAGGACTTGAACGATGAATGATAAATGATGAAAATATAAAAAAATGATTATATTACTGAAAGCCAATTCTTACTTCTTTGGGGGGTAATTTAACCGCTGGGACTTTACTTTCGACATAATCGAGACCAGTGCAAAGCACACCATCTACTTTTTTGATCGGTCCTTCTAGATTTTTCATTACGGGGGTGGTAATTGGCTTGCTGATTTCGACCGCTTTGTGGACCGTATTTTCAGCTGTTGATAAAGTCCAATTGGTTACGCTGTTGTAATCCTGAAATAATACGACTTATATTCTATTGGTCGATGGAAATATCTTTAAGACTCGTACCTTAACTTTTTCGTATATATTAGTGGCGGTTTGGATTGTTGATTCGACTACAGGCAATTTTGCGATTCTGTTTACTGATTCCATGCACGTGGGGTGAGGAGCCACCGTCACGGCGCTGTTTTCATTGTCTTGATGGACAGACATTTCGGCTCTAACAATGATTTGAACAGAAAGATGAATTGTTATTATTAGTTTAATGCACATTTAAAAACGTAGAAATAGATACAAAAAAATTAAATATAAGGATAGCACCAAAATTAGAGCCAATACCTACGAAAATGAAATTTTCAATTTGTTTTCAAATTTAGATAAGTAATGGATTTAAAATAATTACATACCATTACGGAAACAGAACATTATATATATATATATATATATATATATATATATATATATATATATATATATATATATATATATATATATATATATATATATATATATATATATATATATATATATATATATATATATATATATATATATATATATATATATATATATATATATATATATATATATATATACATATATATATATATATATATATATATATATATATATATATATATATATATATATATATATATATATATATATATATATATATATATATATATATATATATATATATATATATATATATATATATATATATATATATATATATATATATATATATATATATATATATATATATATATATATATATATATATATATATATATATATATATATATATATATATATATATATGATATGATGACACTATATTCCGGGATATCATCCGTTCGCTCGTTGAACTCCGACTGGAATCCTGCATCCGACTGGAATCCTGCATCTTGCATCTGCATCTTGCATGTGTTCGAAGTGTTTTCGGAGCGCGAGCATTGAAGATGCCAAGTGAGATTTTGGCGAAACGTCTGCAGGATTCCAGTCGGATGCAAGATTTGCAGGATTCCAGTCGGATGCAGGATTCCAGTCGGAGTTCAACGAGCGAACGGATGATATCCCGGAATATAGTGTCATCACATTTTTCCATCCGTGAATCAATACGTGAGAATATATATATATATATATATATATATATATATATATATATATATATATATATATATATATATATATATATATATATATATATATATATATATATATATATATATATATATATATATATATGTATATATATATATATATATATATATATATATATATATATATATATATATATATATATATATATATATATATATATATATATATATATATATTCTCACGTATTGATTCACGGATGGAAAAATGTGATGACACTATATTCCGGGATATCATCCGTTCGCTCGTTGAACTCCGACTGGAATCCTGCATCCGACTGGAATCCTGCAAATCTTGCATCCGACTGGAATCCTGCAGACGTTTCGCCAAAATCTCACTTGGCATCTTCAATGCTCGCGCTCCGAAAACCAGTGTTCGAAGTGTTTTCGGAGCGCGAGCATTGAAGATGCCAAGTGAGATTTTGGCGAAACGTCTGCAGGATTCCAGTCGGATGCAAGATTTGCAGGATTCCAGTCGGATGCAGGATTCCAGTCGGAGTTCAACGAGCGAACGGATGATATCCCGGAATATAGTGTCATCATATATATATATATATATATATATATATATATATATATATATATATATATATATATATATATATATATATATATATATATATATATATATATATATATATATATATATATAAACACAAGTGTTTATCCGTTTGTTTCATTATGTCGCTTCGTTCATTTACCTTAACTGTAAAGTATGGTTTTTGAGGAACTATGTGGTAGACTCTAATTTTTTAACTCCTGAAGAAGTCAACAAATAAATTGACGAAACATTGAGTGTTAAAGAAAAAAGGAGCTTTCTATTTTAACCACGGACCGCTACCCGATATCCTTTGAATTCAAATAAGTTTAAAAAGGTCGATATAAGAAGAAATTCCAAGTGTTAGTATATATATATATATATATATATATATATATATATATATATATATATATATATATATATATATATATATATATATATATATATATATATATATATATATATATATATATATATATATATATATATATATATCTGTCGGGTTGGTAACTGTCAAATGCAGAAACTTATTGTGGTTGAAACGCGGACACTGAAGACACTTTGAATGAACTACAAATGCATCAGCGATGGAGATTAACTTACAATTTTAAATTCTTCGATTCATTAATTGAGTTCTAATCTCTAAATTCTAAATCAAATCGATCCACATCATCTTTTTTATTTGTGCTGTTCTTTATTAACTCTAGCGGTTAAAATTCAAAGTTATTCGTCACACCGTTGTCTGTGTATAATTACACATAGAATGCCGATGTGCATTATCTTGCTATACGTACATTATAATAAATAATGAAAAACAAGTTGAAAAACATCGTATGTACTTTGGTCAAATGTTTTTTTGTTGTTAGTACTGTTTTGGTTAATAGCTTAAACGTGAGACTTTATCTACCTGATTGGAGTTCGAGTATATTTTAGGTACGTCTACACTGATACGTCGGGCATGTTAAAACAACAATCAAAAAACAAATAAAAGTTATTATTAAACTAGTGTAAATTAATGATAAAAATATTTAGTATAATTTATAACAGGGGTGTTAATATGGACAATCATATAGGGATATAATTTTTTAAAAATCGTTTTAAGGCGTTTCAAAAAATATACTCCGACATTCGGTTAAAAATTACTCTATTACGAATAGTAGAATTAAAAAAAAAACATTAGTTTGGAATAGTTTCTATATTGAAATACAGGATATGATCCATAAAAATGGCACTTAGATATCAAAATAAATAAGAAGTAAAAGTTCAGATTTTCACGAAATGTCATAATATATAATTTCGTGAAAATCTGAACTTTTAGTTCTTATTTATCTTGATAAATGGATTTTCATCAAGTAAAAGCCACCTCAGTTCAGCACTTAGATATATTTAATTGAAAGTAGTACAAACTAATTGAATTGTTTGACCTAGCGGTAGCCGGCGTTTACTTTTAAAACAATAAAAACGATTTTTTCAAAGGTATTTTATACTTTGTTTTATGTAATTTTTGGTAACGCTTGAAAAATACGATTTTCAAACAGTCGTACTTATTAAAATTACAAGTTAAAAACTGCTATAAATTGTGTGAAAAGTAGCCGATACCTTATCCTTTTTTTCTCAAATTTCGCTTCTTACGTTTTTTTTTGCCTCGAATGTTTACAACATAATGTGAAACATATATAGGTGATTAAAATGAATTAATACAATGTTATATACATAAAAATTTTCATTTAATATCCATATATCATATATATTGAATAATTAATTCTATACTTACCACAAATATATGAAAATAACTTAAAAACCAAACTTCAATTGAAAAATGTGACTCAACCAACCAGTGAACGAACGCGTTTATGCTACACACGGTTGTCGTATGCGGTCGGGACGAATGCGCTGTGTGGGGATTTTCACTTTTAAATTTAAGCGGGGAGCCGAATGACTGCCAGTGTAGAATTTGTTCCTACAAAATTATCCTCATTGAGAATTTGCGATAGTGTTAGGGAATTTTGGGAAATTTAATTTAATTTCCTGAATTAATAGCAAAATATGTCAATATTATTCTAATTAATTGCTTAACTAGTTAATAATTATTTGTTTATTTCATGGTGTTTTTATATCATTTACAGTATTTTTCCAATATCAAGCAAGTATCGTTTAAATAGAGTTTTTTTATTTTCCATTTTTTAAACGATTTAGTAATACCTTGGAAATATGTTTTATAATTTGCGTCAAACATTAATTAGTTGTTATATTTTGATCATTCATTTTAAGTAATATCTTTAAATTAGGAAGTGTTATTCCAATATAATTTTTATATATATTTGGTCATTGACAAAAAGTAAATTCACAATAAATTATCTAAATATTTTCAAATATATTCTACATAAAAAATAGGAAACACTTCGAAGTGTTTTCGGAGCGCGAGCATTGAAGATGCCAAGTGAGATTTTGGCGAAACGTCTGCAGGATTCCAGTCGGATGCAGGATTTGCAGGATTCCAGTCGGAGTTCAACGAGCGAACGGATGATATCCCGGAATATAGTGTCATCACATTTTTCCATCCGTGAATCAATACTTGAGGATATATATATATATATATATATATATATATATATATATATATATATATATATATATATATATATATATATATATATATATATATATATATATATATATATATATATATATATATATATATATATATATATATATATATATATATATATATATATATATATATATAAAGTTTTAAGAACCGGAGTTCTAACTCAATAGGTATGCATGTGTGAGATCATGTTAACATTTTATTCCGCTTTAGTTTTTCATCAAAGCAATTATTCGTAAACTGTATGATGACGAAGGTCGTGAAATGAAATTTTTTTTTTTGCATTTCTTGATTTTCACGAGATCGAATAATAGCATCAGCAAAAACAGTCGGCTATATCATATTGATTCCTGATCCTGATCTTCGGCAGCGGATATATGCCGTTTTATGGAAACCATCATTTAAGGCATCATAAACTTATTAAAAAGTCAATATTGATTGAGTCAATTTCAAACTAGGATAATGTGGGCAATTAACTATCTTGGGTATCTAATTTTGAGAGACCAATCAAACGGAATGTACTCTATCTAGTAAAAGCAATAAAACTTTAATCTGTTGTGCTAGCTTCACGTGATAAAGTTCTCGTATGCATTCGAACACACTATATGACAGATCATATCGAATCATCCTAATATCAAATGCAGAGTTCAAAGTCTTAATCTGTCTGAAGCGATAAGGCTTATGAAATATTACGTTATATGGCGGCCTGTTCGTCGGATAAAATGTTCTAGTAAGAGAGATAGCAATTGAATTCATTGAAACCCTTAGTAACATGCAGTAATTGCTGTTAAGTATTTATTATTTATAAAAATAGACACTGCCTGGCGAAATATGATCAATTCGAACTACCTACTAAAACTTTGCGCATTCTTTGGTTGCATTGCATTGGTTGCGTACTCGTATCTTGTTTTCATTCGTTTGTAGCGTTCAAATAATATCTGGGTATAAAAAGCAAAATTATATTTTGAGAAAAATTATTTATTCAATTCTTTACAAACATAGTGAACAGTAATTTCATGTGAAGTTACTCCCTTCTGTAAAATACCGAATTATACACCGATCTAGCGTGCGCAAAGTGTCATTTTACCAAGTCACTTTCGTTTCGAGCTACGAGTCACTTCCGACATTTTTTAGAACAAGTATTGTATGCAACACGTTTGGTAAACTCCTTAATAATAATAATAACAATAATAATTTTATTCACTTATTGATACACATGAAAAGGACACGGTTCGGATGAACAAAATAAGATATTTTGTGCCTCAGTTTTTAAACTTATCCTAAAAAGAAGGTAGCAGCGCTAGTACGATCTGTGCAAATAGAGGGACTTACACTTTGGAAATAGTTTATAGTAGACATTACCTAAATATTTAATGATAATAATACTTCACGCGGGTGTGTGGAAAAGGTATTGTTTAGCAATTTAAGAGAATGATCCAATGCATTATATATTTTAGCTATCTCATATGTAAAAGATCTTTCAAAAATTCCAGTGGTGTGACGTGGAGGGGTGAGCAGGCCTCTAAATCTTAAATTTAAATTGTAAACGTCCTTGCGAAAGCTGTTTTTTTTTTTAAAGAGCGTAGAGACTTCAATCTTCTAATTTTGTGATAAAGATTACATTTATGGAGTTATCGTCGATTTTTCATATTAAGCCATCGGACTTCCTTCAGTTTATGACTAACAGACCTGCCGCGTTTAATTCCAAACATGAATCTTAGACAGTATTTCTGGATTTCTTGAATCCGTTCTGAGGCAGCCGCTGTCAGACATGGGCCATAGACGAGATCACAGTGGTTAAAAGAAGACAAAACTATCGAATCACACAGGACCTTTTTTAATTATTGATTTAAAATATTTTTAGAACCATATAAGCATTTTAAGTGAGCAATGGATTTTTTAATACATTGTGTTACTGTCGAGCATAAGATCAAGGTTTTTTGCCTCCGTTTTCAGAGGAATGCACACATTCGATATTTTTACTTCAATTAGTTACGATAATCAATCAAGATCCACGGCCCTACCAAAGAACATTGCTATAGATTTTTTTGGATTTAGATGGAGTGAATGTTATTATTATATTTATATTCATTTTTTTGCACTTCGTATTTATGTTTATCTATTAGCAGTAAACCAAAAGCGCTGCGTAAAAAAAAAGAACTGGGAATAGCATATTATGCAACAATTGCGTTAAACGGCATTTGACTCACGAGTTTATTTAGCACGGGCAGAGCGCAGCGGAGCGAGTGTTTAATAACGTCTTGCATACTATACTTTTTCTACGACCGTTAGTTTTTAGGCACAGTTTCGCAAAAAAACACGAATGCATTCACTGGCATGACCGTCAGAATTAACAAATAGCAAAATTCTAGTCGGAAATATCTCCGAAAACATCCGATTGCTCCCAAACCCGTGCGGTAAAATCCCGGAAATGTCCGAAGTGGCTTGGTTCCGTGGGAAACGAAGCTGACGCGTAAGGCCTCATTTTTTTATTTCTCTATATATTTAGACTAATATAATAACAAATTCTCTAAACAGCGCTAAATAGCTATTTATCACAGTGTTGGAGAGATTTAATTATTTAGAATAACAATCAAAAATTTAAGCAACCTAAAACGCTTCAAAACTAACTTTTTTCAAAGACTACTGGATGAGCAGATTAAGAAAATTTCTAGGTAGCTGTGTGCGCTACATGTAATGAAATATCGCTTTAATTATTTTTACTTTGTGTTTGATTTTCGCGGGAAGACCAATCATTTTTTTTGTTTAACTTACAACTTATAGAATGGAAATGCACAAATGCTTTTTTTTCCTCTCTTTTATCGGGTTACATAGAACAGTATACTAATCTTTAGAAGACTGAATCTCGCCTTTTTGCCAAAATGTTATCTTGTTGTTGTTATATTGTATATAATTCAAACAAAGACCTTTATTATTATTATTATTATTATTATTATTATCAGCAAAAGTGAAGTATTATAAGTAACGTAAAGTGAATATAATAATGGCCCCAGTACGGAACCTTGATGCTCCCCACATTCACTCAACAGCATATTGTTTTCTACCTGTCAAATATAACTGTTAAGGCCCTTTATCAGGGCCTTTATCAACTGCCCTCGAAACATAGTCAAGAAGGTCGATGGTTGTACAGAGTGTATCATCTATTTCAATATATTTCGCTAAAAATACTAGCATTCTTTTTTTACTTATTTTTGCTATAAGACGCTTATTACGGTAAGTGACCTGCCATTATTCATATATTCTCCCTTCCCAGGCTTAGAAATTGGATATATATTTTACTTACTTTTAATTCTCCTCGAAAATTATCAGACTTCAAGACATTATTAACTAATACCGTTATAATTATTACAATGTCTTTTTTCAGGTCCGTGAGTGTTACCCTGTTATGGCCTAGAGCTGAATTTTGTTTCAGTCCAGAAATGATATGGCTAATCTCCTGCTCTAGTCAGATATAGGAAAATTCTATTCTCAGAAGTTCAGAAGTGTTACTTTAACTGAACTTGCTAAAAGCACATTTGTTCCAGTTAACATGATTGCAGCTTTTGTGTAACAATTAACAAATTTCATTAATTTTCCATAACAGTTTATTATGCAATACTTATGCAGAGATGATATAGGAAAGAGCGAGTTGCTCATTTTTTAAAACAGATTGACACAGACAAATGTGAACAAAATATGTTTTCTGCTGCCGTCTGTAAAAAACCAATTACGCACCGATCTAGCGTGCGGGAAGCGTCACTTTAGCACGTCAGTTTCATTTCCCACGAATCTGAGCCACTTCGGACATTTCCGGGATTTTACCGCACGGGTTTGGGAGCAATCGGATGTTTTCGGAGGTATTACCGCACGCTTTGAATTTTGACGTTTGTCAATGCTGACAGTCATGTCAGTGAATGTATTAGTGATGTTTTGCGAAAATGTAGTCAGAAACTAACGGTCGGAGAAAAAGTATAGTATTCAACACGTTCGGTAAACTTTTTAACTCACTCGTTTATTAAACACTCGCTCCGCTCGTGTCAAATAAACTCGCGAGTCATATGCCGTTTACCGTACTTGTTGCATAATATACTATTAGAAACAATAAATATGCTCCATTTATATCGTGTGTGAAAATTTACTATGGCCATTAATTTTCGACTCTTTTCTCCTCTTGAAAAAATGTAAAAGTTTTTTGCAAATAATAAATATAAAAAAAAACTAATAATGAAAATAATAAAATATTCTTTTATAATTTAAACCTTTAATATCGAAGAGTAACATTTAATTGTACATTAACGAAAAACAGTAATACCATCTCTCAGATGTTTTTGTTCGTTCGAAAGACATCATATAGCATGCTATAGCATGGTTTAAACCGAACTCTCGTAAATAACAATTTGTACAATGGGAGGTTCAATATCTTGCGTAGCCTTCACAGTCATGTCCTTTATCACCGCTTGTAAAGCGTCCTCCCATTCTTTCTCCTTTTCTTTTTTGCTCCTTCTACTCCCCACTCTCCGAGGCATTGACACCTGATGGGAAGAAATATTATCAAGGAATTGCGTTTTTTGTTGATGTAGCAATCAAAATAAGTTTTTCCAATTAATGAATAAGAAAACCAAATACGAATTTTAGAACGAAACAAAATAATTGTGCAGCATTATAATATATATTGTGCTATGATGCTCTCTAATACTGCTTTATTTGCTAAGAGTCTAGTTATTTCGACTTGAATACATCAGACAACAAGACAACTTTTTCATATTAAAGTTTCTTGATTGTTAAGTTGGTTATTTAGTATCTTTCATTTTTGTCAAATGCTACCAATTATTCTTTCAATTCGCAACTTAGCTTAAACTAAATATTATTCTAAAAGCTATTACAGAAATGTCGGTCTATTCGTGTGTTAAAAATAACTTACTAAATTATAAAAATAATGAATTAGGATCGCTCCGCAATAAAAATAAATCGTTTTGTATAGGTGAATGCTAGTTACAGGGGAATTTGTTTATTTAATTTGGCACAATCACAACGATAATCTGGAGATTTAAACTTCACGTTCAACTGTTATTTTCGAAAAGCATATGTTTTTATGAAACCCTAGGCTGTTGATTCATTATAATTAAATACATTGTTGTTATATTATGCTCTAAAGATAGCCCAAGGGTTAGAAAGAAAAGGAGAGCAAAATGATATATTTGTACTTGAGATACAAGTGCATAATTTATTTTTTATGCTATTGTTTGATATCGGTTTTTCCTTCGTAACTCCAAATCTAAAAAAATATTTTTTATCACTATGTCTTATGACTTTTGTTTAATTTTTTACGTTCAACTTATCTCGTTTCTTCCACGTCAATATAATCTATTATTGTGTATAGAACAGAACATACTGCATACCTTTTACGATTATATTTAAAAGAAAAACACGTATGCAGTTCAGAAGTGAAAACCTCAGTGATTTATACGCAGGCTTTCTATTTCAAACTTAACGTTTCCATAAATATTTTTGTAATACTTAAAGTTCTGTTGATATTTTTCACATATTTGACACTTACTACGGTGAGTACTTTCATAAGGTCGTGTTGAAATGCTAAAACGTCTAATCCAGGTGCGTTGTCGGCCAACTTTCGTAAATTCTCAGCCAACGGCCCACGTAAGGCTTGGAGTTGTCGCCAAGACTGCGCGTACTGACGTCGAACTAGTTCTATAATAGTCGATGTTAAAGCCAATCCCACCAAAATGTAGAGTGTGCAAAGGAGCATATACTTCGGCTTTTCTGAAACAAACGCAATAAATTATTAATACAATTTTTGAAAGCAAAAAGTTGAAATCTGGTTATTATTGCTTCCAAACCTAACCAAAACTAAAAGTTTCATCAAATAAAATTTTCGGATAATCAGACGAAATACTCTCCACTCATTCCAGTGCTTCATTGGGAAACTATTTTTTTAGAGGATATAAAAATTGGGCCAAATCGGTCTAGTACGACTGCGTGCGAAAAGTCGAACTTACTAAAACAGCACTGTTTCTTTAAATATATTTACCTGATATTCCAATTTGATAAGAATACATATCAAAGGCCAACTGAACGATCTTTGGGGAAAGTAATAAAAATAAACTAGATTATACTTTAAGCGACGATGTGAAACAGGCATTTTGCATAATCTAATATTTGTTCAGTTAGACCCAATTTCATGATACGAGCAGCCCATCTCCCCAAAAAACCGTTCTAAGTGTTTGTAAGTTATAAATCAGGAAAATTGTTACAGATTTAGGGCGATAACCATGTTTTGCAAGACATTGTTTCGCACATTTATTAATATTGTTCGCTCGAATACTTCGAAAAATTTTAAATTGTATAGTGTATTCCATCTCGAAATAGTTTTTTCTTTTTCTATTAAGCATCGAAAACATCACAGATACATTTTCTGAGTGACGTGATGATTGCACAACATATACAGTCAGGGTAACTGACAATCGTCAAAGTACCTATCAGTATTTTTAATATTTTTCGAAAATTTCACGCCCGAACTGTTTGAATATAGTAACGTCACTTTTATTATAGCTGTCAAGCCAGAGAAATTTCCACTTATTAATCTTGCAGGTAGGTCAGGTAGATTTCCGAGAAAATCCATGCGTTGCCATGGCAATCTGTCAAAAAATAAATTTTAATTGGTTAAAAATTACTCGTGTGAAATTTTCGTACCGAACCTCCCTCGTGCCTAAATTAATCTCCCAAAATTTTTCTTCGTACACGATTTTTTCTAGAAAATTACCGTCTACGCTTGGGTTAGGGGGGATAATTTTCAAAAAGTCGTTTAATCAAAAACGCTGACGCTTCAAAATGATACTTTGCGTTCGTCTATATCAACACATAATTCGGTATGTTACACTAGGGAGTCGAAAAAATTAAGTTACATCGTTACAACAAAACCAACGCACCCTCACAGCCCATTGCCGCTTTGTATTTGCACCGCTGACATTAAAAAAGAATGTTTCAACTTTGTTGTTAACGTCTTTTTTTTATGAAAATTGGGGAATTTGAAATGCGAAAGACAAAATTGTTAAATCTTACACACAGTTTTGGTTATGATGTATCGTATAATACGACTTAATTAAACCATGATTGAAAAGAAATTCATTTAAACAAGCCTGTATTACGGTAACAAAAAGTGTAACGTCTATTAGAAATTCCGGAGACGGCTGATAACACAGGACGCCTTAAGGCCCCAGAAATTACGAGCCAAAGGAAGTGATAAAATTGATTTTATTTTCTCAAGACGTTCATGTATTCTCCTAATTTGGCGGAGTCCCCCTCAATGGTGACAGATATTGGTAACATTGTCCATAAATCTATGTGTCGGTAAAACCGTTCGCTTTATTGACAGATAAGGGATGAGAAAAATAATAATATATCGAGATTGGAAGAAGCGTGTATGAAGATTTCGTTGCTTTCGGCGACGTTGAAAAACGAGACGATCGAGGTTTGTTTTAGCTTTTCCGATTCGTTGAAACTACTTTTTATTGTGTGTGTGTCCACAATAAACATTCCAGAAAATTCCTGAAAATTGCTAAAACTTTGAAACAATCATTTATTTGTTTTGTTATTTGCAGAATCAAATGGTACTTTTTGTTTAACAGTCTCTCAGTTATACCAGGCAATAATTTCAGGGCAACGTTTCGTCTCGGCGAAATCGTCATCAATTTTGTTGTTTCTTCTGCTACATAACTAAAAAAGAGTAAAGTATGATTGAAAAGATTTACTCCATAGTTCGATCACTTTGGATGTTATTCGGAAAGATTTTTAGAATTTTTAGAAGAATTAGAGGAATTTAAAACCACAAATGACTATGATCAAATTGCGTCTTTACCGTTTTCATAATATTAATTTATTGACTAAAATTTATAACCCCCTCTCTTGCTATAAACAACCATATTTTGTAATGGACAATGTCATTTAATAATGATGAGAGCGTTATTTTCATATACAAAATTGCAAGTTGATGGTTTATGCTCGATCTATTTATAACTCGAATTTTTCTTCTATTGTTTCTGTTATCGTGTAAAGCATTTTCATTAGTAGATCTTTGTTAATGTAACGTCCAAAATTTTTGAAAAAAAAAAGCCAAACAAATGCGGCTGTTGAATAGTCCTGAAAATAACTTTGGGACAACGGAATTGGGCTGCGCTGTTCAATCTGAGTAAAACGTGTGGGCAAGTTTATCTTTTAAGCGTTCTATTAAGGAACGATAAAATAAGAAAAAGTTTCCAAAAATATTTAAGAGGGAAAATTGTTCCTCAAAAACGACTTTAACTTTTTGCGGTATCGGCGATAAAATGATTTGCAACGTAGTTTTTCAAGATGAAATTTATAGATATATCCTTGTTTTCTTGTTTTAAAACTGATATCACTAACATAAGAAATGCGTGTCATTCGTTTGTAGGCATTTTATACTAACTTCCGTATAAATATGTAATATAAGTTTCAACTATAAAAAATCACATGAAAGCGGACGTAATAAGTAGAGTTCTTCAGACAATATACTGTTTATTCCACATAATCCGGTATTTACGTTTGGTAAATTGTTATGAAGGTCCAACCACAGACCTACCTCGCTTGGGCTTCTCTTTGGAACCTTCAATAAAAGATTCGAAATTCCACAATGACGTTCCAGAACCGTACTTCGATACTTAGTGCATAGAAATGCTGCAAGCTGACGGATTTAATAAATTGGATTGGATACATTGTAATAAAATGTATATGTTACGTTCAATAAAAAGGATATACTGAATCCTGAAAAACAATGAAATAACACTAAAGTTGGAAATTACTAATTACCGTTTTTAGTATAGGAGATCAACCTATCTAATGGGCAAATTCAACTTGAAATCGAGCTACCTCAAGTAGGGACTGTTTTAGGAGGATTTGTAAAAAGCACGTAATATGAATTAATATAACAGTTTAATCAAATAAAATTTCCCTATTCTTAAAATACAACAGTCCCCAGGGTACAGTCCTTGTCGACTAATATCTTAAATACAGCGCTGGCCTGGAGTATAAAAGAATCGTCCCTTCCCCTTTACAACAGGCTGGTCTTAAACTCATTCCGAAGCCAAAGCCATAAAATGTTGTAAAACGGTATATCGTTCGGAGAACTCTAATATTAAGTAAGTAAACATTAAGTAAGTAAGCACGAACAATATATTTCACCCGTAGTTTAAAATTGCGTAATTATTATATCCTTTCATGTAGAAAATTATGAGACCTCTGATTTATTGACATATTGTATTATTTTTTCAGAATTCAAACACAGGTTAGATTATCGATAAATTTATAAAAATACTGCAGTTAAATTACTTATATGAACTTACTTGGCACCAGATCACCGAACCCTATAGTCGTCATTGTAATGAAACAAAAGTAAAAACCGTCAAAGAATGTCCATTCTTCTTCCCAAAGGACAAAAATGCCCGCCCCTGCTGCTAGGTAGACGAAGAGGAAACAGACGGCAGACAATGCGTATGAAGATGTTCGTCGGGCTACCATGGCGTTTCTGAAAAACAAATATCGTCATCAATAGTTTTCTGTAACGCTGTTATTAGTTATGGCAGATCATCTAGTATTTATTCAAAAAGTCTATCTTATGGGTGCAGTCTATAGAAGATTTTTAATTTATAATAGATTGACAAGTAACGATCAGTCGTTTATAATATTAATAATTTTAAATTTTTATCATTTATTATATTTCATTACATTGTCGCGATGTTAAGCCGCATCAAAAATTGCCAAGAGATATTTGATGTTTATAAAAATCAGTACCGAATTTGACAAATGTCGGTGCCATAATCCATATGTCTTAAAAAAACCATCTCCCACGTGTAAGTTAAAAAAATCATTTGAGCATTAGGAAATAATTTTTGCTTCATTTGAATTTTGATATCTTTTAATATCACAGAAAAGTGTAAACAATAATCGAAAATTATTTTAAGTTTAGTTTAAGAGATTAAACCTACATTTGTATAATTCATTTCGTTGATAAATTCTGCTTTTATAAATTCACACCATGTATAAGCCAAAAAGGAAGCAGAACAGGTGACATCAAAAATATTTGTTTCGCATGTATTATATTCAGGTAGTCATTTCAATTAACTTTGCAAGTAACTTTAGTAAGTAACTTTGCAACTAAACTAACTATATTTTTATTCAAACAAATCAATAAGAGTCTGTTTCCATTTGTATTCCGACGAGGAATAAATTCGGGGTTATGCAAAACATTTTTTGTCATATGGAGAAGGGCGAATGGTCCAGCATAAAGCAAAAAGAGCCCCGAAATTTAAGAAGCGGCTTATTGTTATATATTTTGTAAACATTCGACAGTCAAAACAAATGAAATGGCAGTGCAGATGCTAGTGCTTTTCAGTAACCGCGATGGGTCGGGCTATCTTATTGCTTACCGCAAACTTTTTGGCAAAGGTGGAATGTGCTTGACAAATGTGGAAACGGCGGATGCAAAAAGTCGACCCCAATCCGCGATCACCGTCATGGTCAAAGGAATACCGACTAATGCAAAAACCACGCAAAAGGCTCTCCCTTCAGTAGTCATTGGGACGATATTTCCATAACCTAGAACTCCAGTAGTTAATTACGACTAAGGTACCATTTTAAGGGACACGGAGGGAATACCAAGTGCGAGCAAGCCGAGTCCAATTTGTAAAAATGTATTCACGACAAACACAAAAAGTGAGAGTTACTGCTGCCACTCGAGGTTCATAGTTCACAAGTTTTTGGATTGAAATTCATAGCAATTCTCACTTATTTACTATTATAAATAACACGAGGCTCAATAAATCTCAAAATTTATAATAATATATCTACATAAGGCGCATAGGATGTCCCGTTAAAAATTATTAAGGCAATGTCAGTGTACGATTTCACTTCGGTTAAATGTGCGCCCATAAAAGAAACTTATCCCATAAACCGCGCTTACGATCTTGCTGCACACTCCTGTCTGGAGCCTCTGCCGTTAACCTGTATTATTTCTATTATTATTATAGGGATTCGTTAGAATATCCAATTATGGACTTGGAACTATTTTGCATGGAATTTATGGTTACCGAAAAAATTGACCTTACATCCATTTCACTCATATAATAGTTATGATAACAATACAATAAGCACGGTGAAAATAATCTCGGCATTAGGGTTTAGTCACAAGTTTGTTTTGGCACAAGCGGAATGAGTGTTTAAAAAAAGAGTGTCTGAAGAAATTTGTAAATGTATTGCATAATATAACTTAAAAAATTTACCTTATATTCAATTTACTCATATAATGCTTATTATGACAATACAATAAGCAAGGTTAAGTTACAATATCAAATTTAATCTAGCCATTAGGCCTTAGTTACGAGTTTTTTGCTTTGTTTTGGAGCGAGTTTTTGATAAAGGGGTGTCTGAAGAAATTTATGAACGTGTTGCACACTATATTTTTCTGCGATCATTAGTGTTTTGTAACATTTTTACAAAACAGCACAAATATACATTCCCCGTTTGAGTGTTTTAAATTTACAGAAAACATCGTAACACGTAGCTAACGTTGCAGAAATGCTCGAAGCGGCTCGCGACAATATTTGATGAAGCTGCCGTTTTAAAGTGACACTTTACGCATAATTGGGTATTTTACAACATGGTGTAGAAAAAAAAAACATTTTCGTTAATATCCATCGCCAACTTCAACTGAATACAACAATTTTAATCATGAAATGTGTATTATTTATGTCTTTTTACACCCACTCAGTTAACCCAGATAAAAAATGAATTATTCGTATTTCAATTTGTAATTTATTGATTCAAACTAGAAACTAGATAAAACTAGAACTAAACTGATGGAAACCCAAAATGAGTAAACCAAAATTAAAAACAATGCACAAGTATTTAAATTGTGTCAATTTTATTATAATTTTTTTTTTAATTTTTAACCACAATTTGTGAGCCAAATTGGACACTTTTAAATAAAAACTTAACTTTCTATATTGGAAAAAAGAAAACTAATCACGGTGTCTGGAGCTCAGTTTTTATAAAACTTAATGTTAAAAACCGCAGTTGATTATCTAGTACTGAATCATTCAAAAATATACGGGGAGTCTCGATTTTTCGGTTGATAACTAATAAAATATTAGTATTAAAAATAATACATTTTAATGTTTTCAAATAAACACAAAACTGTCGTAACAGAAAGTTTTTTTTTATGGACATGTTTTTTTTTTATAAAAATGGAGTTCCAGACAATAGTTTTCTACCTCCAAAGTTTTAGCTTAGTGTTCGTAAAAAACTTGGAGTTTGGGTTGCGTCTTGCTTTCAGAAGATGTTTTTCGTTTTAGGATTAATAAATAGATTTATAATAAATAATGACAATTGTTGAAATTGTAAAAAAAATGTAGTTTAACAATTTGTGCAATTTTTTTTTAGTTTGCTTGTATGGTCTTTTTGGGTGTCCAACCGATTGTTAATAAATCTCTGTAGCTATACTGTACCTATCGTGGTCAACACTGTTGAACAGAAGAAAACTGCCTTTAGTGTGGTCCACTTGACCATTTCTGGTTGTAGTTTGAGGGGAATTCCCGCACTAAAAGATTCCTAAAAGTAAATTGGTTGAAGATTTAAATTTCATAAATGTTGATAATTTTTTATATTTAATGGGACTTGCTATGAACCTGCAAACGTAAACCCATCTCTAAAACATTTGCTGTCAATCTGGCTTGTAAAAATAATGAAATAAAATAATTCAAAAGTATTTTTAACTTTGACTTCGAAATAAATTCACAAAATTGATTGCATTTAGATAGAAAGAATGCATAAATGAAAGTTAAAAAGATCAACTTTCGTATATAAGCTACCTACCTGAAGAACCGCTTCATATTGATCTAGTTCGTGTGAAATTAAGTAACCCAAATTCGTGATATCTGTGTTATTAACAATAGTTGCTATGAGATGTAGCCTTTTGTTCGTTAATGTCACATTGTAATAACGCATTCGAGATACTTCTGCGGGATATTCAAAGCGGCGAAAAACCTACAACATGAAGACTTTAATTGGGATACTTTTTAACAATAAACTAACCAAAATGGTTTATTTGTAATACCATTTTTATACCTACATAATTTAAATTTACAATTTAACTTTGTTTAAATTACAACCTAATTTAAACCTAAAATGGCTTGATATGCAATTTTGTTTGTGGTCATTGGCTGGATTCTCGATTTGAATAGAATCGTCAGTAACTTTTAAGATTTATATTGACCCGCAACAGATTGTACCAGGTCAAATATTTTTTTTAGTTTAGTTTTGTTTTAGTTTTTTTGTTACTTTTTATTTGATTTTGAAAATTTTATATAGACGACTGCCATCAAAACAACAATGTTAGTTGCGGTTATATAAACAAAGAGTTTTTATTTAGAAATTTTGCTAACACCAAACGGCTCTACAAAAATATTTATGAAGGTGAAAATTTATTTAACCCATGTAGTTGAAAAATTACTATATTGAAACATGCTAATTTCAAATAGTTATCTTGAACTTTTAACCGAGATATCAATTTTGCAAAGCAAACTTTTTTGTTGTCTTCTTTTATCATTACAGTAGTATAGTTGTAAAGTTTATTGGTTATAATTCGTGTCTATTTGTTGGTTATCATAGAAATCAAGTTTGTCCTATACAGACAACCCTGAATCATTTGAATTCATTGTGGAAAAGTTCCATGGAAACTAGCTTAAAGTCAGTCAAGAATAAGTTTGTGAAAATAATTTTAGCGCACAGTTAGTTCTATGCTAATAAAATCACACAATATAACACTCGATGTTAATTTTAAAATCTTTCTGTAAACTTCGCATTAACTCGAATCCCAAACAAATGAACATCAAAAGAACAAAACAACACAGTGGGATTTTATGAACAACTTATATTTAGATTGTACGATAACAGAGAAGTGGAATGGAGCGCCATCGTTCTAACCTTGGACGAATAATTCGACCCCTCTGGTTTTAAATGAAAATGATTATTGGGCAAGAATACCAGCCGTTGTTGATTTATACTGAGCCTTTCAAAATTAAATTGCCATACCGCAGCATTCGGCTTTTTAGAAAATTTGCTTTTAGAATAAAGTTAAAGACAGAGGCGTAGCTATTACTTAACCGTGGAAAATCGGATTATATTTAGTACTGGACAAGAATATTTTTCAGGTTCAAGTTTTCAAGCCTGCAATATTAGTAACCTCTTAATTATTTTAGTGGGTTTATATAACAGGTTTGAAATTTTGTCACTTTTTTATTTCTTATATTTACCGCAAAAATATTATTTTTAGTGATTGGAAGTAATATTTCGCGATAAATAAGTACTTTATTTTTTGATGTAGCGGTAGAAAGTGAGCTTTTGGGTTTAGTTTTTTTTTTTAATTTTTCCTTGTCACTTTAGTTGAAATATTAAGCCCTCTTGAACTTTTTCATTGTATATGAAATTATAAAGTGCATAATAAAATACAGTATAGAGTGTGCAATCATATCGAATACCCACAATTATGCCGAAAAAAATTTTTTTTTGCAGTTCAGACTACAAATAAAAACTATACATTAAAGCTCTTTAACTATAACTTCTTTCGGGTTCTAATTTAATTATATTTAATTAATTTTCTGTTATAAAGTGTCATTACAGCCAGATTTAATAATAATAACAATTAAATATATTTTAAAAAATACAATTCTGGACATATTTTTTTACAATAAGGTTTAGAATTATAAATTAATTTTCAAAACAAAAGTAAGTTCGTTATTCGGTACATCTGAAAAATTATTTCTGGTAATATAATAATTTTATTCCTATTTTGAAAGTTTTAAAATTGCAAAAAATCGTAGTGATTTAATTTTTTCTCATTTTTTAAATTTTGCTCATATCGCCTTTTATTATTATATTGCCGAATTCCCTCTTTCTTTGTATGGATTATACAAGCCCTACAAATATTTTAGTAATACCAAACAACTCGATGGAACTTTTACCAAATATTTTAAAGCTACTACTACTACTTACGAGAAATACGTAATAAAAACATATCATGAATCACGAGAACAAATTTGGAATCATTCTAATACCAATAAATAATTTTATGTCTGTGCCTACGCAAAACCAAATGCACATGAAATATGCCCGGGTATACATTTTCTTACTAAAAGCATTTAAAAAACACATCTCGACATTCCTTGAGTACATAAATGCTACCTTAAGATGAGAGTCAAGAAACTGGGAAAAATTTTAATTAAATTTGAAAAATCTTGTTAATAAAATATTATAATATGCTATCTTGCTACACGATTTATGAACATTGCGAGTAAACTGCACAAAAGAAATCTTTGACAATTGACGAGTCAACCAACATTGCCTCCTTCGCAGAGAAAATAAGCTTCCGCCCAAGGTTTCATCAAAGGAAGTTGACGCATTCAGACAAAAATTATTGCTTTGCTAAGTTGCTGGAAACTCTATTATCATTCTCCGAATTTCGTATTCTTTTCCATCGGACTGCCAGTGGAGTGCCTAAAACCCACATAACAAATTCGTTTAGATTTTTTATTAGATGCGAAGTTGTTTTATTAGTAACTTTCTATTTTGATTGAAAAAATTACTTTGGTATGAAATTTAATCTTTGGCTTAAATGGCGTGAAAGTCTTTTCTGATCGTAGACGCAAGCTCGTTGTTTTCGACAACATTAGTATAATCAGTATAAGGAAAATTTCAATAAATAGAGATAAAATTTATTTATTTATTTATTTATTTATCAACGGGCCAATCGCCCAATATAAAATAGGATTCACACAAACAAAATAGTAAACAACAAAATAAAACAAAATAAAATAAAACAAAATTAAAACAGGATGAAATAGATAGATCTTACCTTACCCTAATATGACAAACATTGGTTTTCCAAAATATTAAATATTGGTATAGTTAGTCGGCACGACAGTAAGAACTTTTATAAGAGTCAAAATAAATAAGAACTGAAAGTTCAGATTTTCACGAAATTATATATTATGACATGACAATTGTTTCGGCAATACCGTGTCTTTATCAAATGTGATTTGATAAATACACGGTGTTGTCGAAACAATTGTCATGTCATAATATATAATTTCGTGAAAATCTGAACTTTTAGTTCTTATTTATTTTGATAAATGGATTTTCATCAAGTAAAAGCCACCTCAGTTCAATCTTATAAGAGTAGCGAGGCACCAACACAATGGTATACAATGCTATTCCGAGGAAAAGCGGAATAGCCTTTAAGTTCTTTCTTAAATATTCTTGCACTCTGGAAGCAGTCAAGTTGGTCCGAAAAGCGATTCGCTAGTGCAGCTGGCCTAGTAAGAAAAGAACTCTGCCCATTGTTAGTACGATGGAACTCCACCTGGAAGGAGTGGTTTATTCTGGTCTGGCGGGGGGGAACGCGAAGCCCAATCTTACATAACAGCTCAGGTCCATGTGAATTTGAATGCAGTAGATTATAAAAAATGGTGAGATCCCTCTGCATGCCGCGAATCTGAAGAGTTGTAAATTGGAGAGAGGTTTTCAATTCAGAGTAATCAACGTCCTCAAGTCCTTGGCGCTCCTTAAATGCTATATACCGCAGGAACCTATGCTGCACTCTTTCTATGGCCTGTATGTGGGCGTTATAGGAAGGTGACCACACAGGAATAATAATGCAGGTGCGGACGCACGAGGGAGCAGAACAGTAATCTGAGAGACGGAACACTCCGAAGTCCACTGTACAACGCTCAATAAAGCCCAAAATCTGAAGTAATTTAGATAGAATAAATGAAACATGGTGTGTGTAAGTAAGTTAACTTAATATCGAGTAAAACTCCAAGATCCCTTATTATGGAGGCCTGCAATAACGGTGTCCCTTTTATGTTACACGTAAAATGTATGGGGTTTCTGCTCCGGTAGAAGATCATTTGTTGGCATTTATTAATTCCATTCCATTAAATGTAATACATAGATATAGCAAAAATCTTCATATACTTGAGAAACAGCTATAAAATAATTTGTATGTTGGTTATCAATATCAAATTGATTAAACCACCTAGCCTAACATAGTTATAGTTGTGTTTCGGATACACCACTGCTTTTAACCCTCCTTATCATCTCGCAAAAACTAGGATTTACGTGAGGGTGTCTGAACCTAACGCTAATACCTTCGAGCAAAAATGGATCCTGGTTATTAAAGTATCAACTCAAGTTCAGACAATTCGCGTTAGAATGACTCGAAAGATGTGACCCGGTCTCCATTTCCGAAACCATTCCGTCCCTTGGCTAACTAGGCTATCACGTTTAATGTCAAATCCGAAAATTCTACCGATATTCGAAATCCAGAAAATGTGCCTAAAGAACACGTGCATATCCACGTCCCCAAATTCTATCGGAAATTATTTAAAATTTGATACGCACTAAATGGTTTTCTGCGGCGATTGTCAAGTGCAAGTGCAAAAAATCCTTCTTAAATATTTTAAATATATTTGCTTTATCTCTATTCTATGCATAACGTGATGTATGAAACTATCTTTTTAGTATTTCCGCAGACGACCAATTCACATCTCTTTATTTTGCCTTTTCTTAGATGTAAGGAATTCTTAAGGATTATATGGGACAATAAGAATTATGCTCGTTACTGTTGTATTTAAGGATGATTATTTTTTATTTCAACAACTTATTGGATATGTAAAGTTGAGTAGTAATTTGAAAAAAAAACTATTACTTGTTGCTACTCGGAGTTAACTGTAAACTCATTCTCGATCTGATTAAAATAATTTGGCTTTCAGTTTCAGTTTCGAAAGTACCTTCTGGTAGAGAGTAGATATTTTAAACGTTTGGTGTAGTTGCATCTACTTTATTTAATTAATTTTAAATTAAATTAATTTTAATTTAATTAAATTTAATTTTTAAATTAAAAGTTCGTTATGTTTCCTTTGCCTCCCTTAAGTTTGATTATCGACTTCTGGAACACCGTGAATATCATA